TATGTACGCTGCAGCCGGAAGCATAAGCCTGTAGTTGCTCTCAACGGCCTGCTGCTTATGTCCCTCTCAGTGTCGTCTGTAATGCGAACCTACTTACTTACCCAGCTTGAGAGTCTATATTTTCAGTCTGTTCACCTCAAATCTTGAATTCGGAAAGCAAAACCCCCCAAAGTTCCCCCACGAAAAAGATATGCGCCGACGCCAACCTGCACAGGATAAAACGTGCGTGCATATATTGCACATCTGCGGTAAGGTATATACGGATACGTGCAGCTTCCCCAAACTTCCACCTCCGGCCCCGGGGGTAGTAGTCAACAAACCGTACCCACGTACACAGTAAATACGTACGTAGTTGGGTATGCACCTAAGCCCTATTCTCAAGTGTCGGAGGGGATGAAATGATGCAAAGTCTCGGAGAGTATACAGCTGTCAGCCACTCTGCCCCTCTTAGAGCCTCCCATGTGGAAACATATAGTCCGATAGGTTTGTAATAAGCCCAGCAGAGTCATTACCGCAAAAGCAGCCAGCAAGCCACGCAAACCCTATGCATCTTATTATATGGATCTCTTTCTTGAAATCTTTTGCCACAACTCAACGGTTTTCATATGGCATGATGATGATAACGTCGGACTCTGACTCGGAAAATTCTTTTTTGGTTCTTCTCCATCTTGTTGGGTCCAATGTTGAGGGGAATAATCAGGAGCGATTCCGGGCATTTCGTCAGAAATAAACACACTATACTAGATGACCCATCATGCGTGTATAAGTTTGCTGCTCTAGTCAAAGACTACGTCATGACATGATCTCTAGCTCAGTGCCATCGAGGAATCCGCCGGGTCCCAACAGAAGGGTAGAAATCCGCACAGATTCAAAAAGTAAAAGGGAAAACATGTTCCATAGGCAACTAGTCTGATACGTGTAGAGTTTTGATAATGGTCTTTTTTTCCCTGCCAAGGGGAGGACTTTGAGAAGAAGAAAAAAAGGCTACTATAGTACGATACACATTTATGCCTTTGGAAACCGAACTCGATACAAAATTCTTCATGCAACACCACTTAGGAAGACCTAACGAAACGTGGTATAGCATCAAGCTTGTTTCTCTCCTGTTTCCCAGAGAGCACTTTTCCTCGTCCTCAAGCAAGTATGCATTAGACCAAAAGCTAGGATATGTCAACCAATTATCCCCGTCCCTCCCATCTGCACAGGCTTAGTTCTTTATTCCCAGTTAGCCAAATGAGAGGGGGTAAAAGGTAAAAAAGAATGCCGTCAAGCTCTGCGGAACTGCAACCCAGATCCTCTTAGGTCTTCTCTTTTGCACCGATGGTAGACGATGTTGACGATGGCCGGACAATTGGGCCCAGGAACTAGTCTACCGTCTCAACGGAACCACGGTTCCTTTTAGAGGGGAGATCTACGTTCCTTGTCTAGCGGTGGGTGGGCTGCTGATAGCTTATATTACTTCCATAAGCCATCTACCTCTAGCGTCACGGGTAGCGACTCATACGGACAGACATTGTGAATAGTGAAGATCCTTTTAATGTGTGAAAAAAGAGAAAAAAAAAAGTCATGACGCATACTGTGTAAACAGCCCAGTGTCTTGCTCTATTGGAGAGTTTGTCATTACGGAAGTCTTGCCGTCGATAGATCTTCCACGCCGGTGCTGGTTTTTAGTGCAGTATTAATTTCCACGTCCACAAAGTTCGTGCCTCTTGTTCTTCCTTCCACTCCCCAGCGACTCTCTAAAATGACTAAGCGGGCAAGACTGCGAGGATCTCACGATATCGAGGTCAGAAGATCCCGAGAGACTTGGACAATCTCGATGAAGTTTCGCCAAGCAGAGCGCAGTAATGCTGGGACCGGCACGATCCATAGCCGTCAGTGGCCATCACGATGCAGAAGCCATGGCCTGACTGGCTCAACGGATATCTTATCTCGGACGGCTCTGTTCAGAAGTTCCCAAGACCTCTTCTTTCTAGGATCGTGAGTCAAGAAGCAGGAGGTTGTCGACTTCGAATGCCGACATGCATATAGATACGACAGTCTGGCGGATAGACGGCCGGAACTCGTGAGAGTCTCCGTTCTTGCCGGGAACAATTGCGTCCGCTTGCAGAGAACTGCTGACCGGTCAGCTGACGAGATGCTGTCTGCTACACCATGAGCAACCTGTCTACCTCGAGACATTCTACAGCATACCAGGAAGGTGGGCTCATTCTAGGCTCCGGCCCGAGTTCAGGGGCATACTTTGTAGTTCCGACTATCCTATATTCCCAAGTAAGCACGGCTCTGGGGCGCCGCTCCTCTGTCAAAGTCCCCGGTGCCAGCAAGGGGCCACGCCAGCAATGACGGACATGATGCCAATTCCTAGCGCTTGCCCTATAAGGACATGCGTGGAGAGAGATGCGCACATGGAACCGCGAACCTGCACCTTTGGAGCCGTGTAGTGATGACAAGTCAATTGTTTGATACAGAATAGGCAGATCTGCAAACATGGGGAGGGATACATCGTGCTAATGGGGGGCTCATGTCCTCCGAAAGTCTATGTTGAAGAATACCATCATGCTGAATGAGTGGTGTGATTGCGACCCATCTTGGCCCCCGACATCCCGAGAGTTCAATAGTCTACAAATCCCCAGCGTCGGCACTGGCCATTGCAGTTGTAATTGGCGGGCACTCGCTCACGATAGCCTCTGTCTCCGTCTCCAACATGTCGGTTTACGGCGGCAAGTGTTTAAGGTTTGGCGATACAACGCAGAGAGGTCATACCATAGGTGACCAGTATCATACCATACACATATTCAGTTAGACGCATCGGGGAGCATGCCGACAGGTCTCCATGTCTACCACTGGTTTGACGGGAGAACTGTTTCATTCCTCTTTTCCCCTCCGAGCCATTGCCAAATCATTGTTGGGTAAATTGGAAACTACGGAAGCATCAAGAATCCATCCCCGGTGACAGGTACGCACATATGCAGCATACAAACAGACTTTCCATATTCGCCGTGACGTTTTGACCAAAGAAAGCAAACGGGCCCCAGTTTTCTATAACCCAACCAATGCATACGGATCCTAGACTCCTAGGAAGTTATATCGAGTGTGTACTTCTAGGTAAATAGTCACATATGCATTCTTAGTAACAATAAATTAGGAAAATCGTGATTGTCAAAGTCGAAAGAGCATTAGCCCCATCTCATTGAAACTTCAGGGCCTCCGCGTCTCTCCAAATCTCGGGTTGATCTTCGAGTTCCCTTCTCCCTCTATCAGACATGGCGTAATGACGATCGTATGAGGCAGAGAATATCAAAATCTATCCAGCAGGTTCTAGACCTTTTGCAGATTGAACACGAACCTGATGAACCATGAACTGATCGACAGGGACAACGCAAACACAAGGCGAAGTACGTACTGTGTACGATGCACTACGTAGTCTATCCGCCCTGTCCAGAAAGTGATTGCCGGCTCCAATCCACTTTTTTCTTGTCCTGGTTTCCCTCTAGTGTACTACTGCCAACTACTACTCCATGTGTGCAATTGCCGCCGCACAGCCACGCTGAACATAACACTAAAAAGCCACCGGCGTCTCTTCGTATTTTCCATGCTTTCCCTGAACTTGTGGCACCTGACACATGGTCGCGATTGACTGCTATTAATTCTCCGACTCCCCGAAAAGAGCGTGCAGAATGGGAAAATTGCGTAATCATGAGTGGAGCACTCGGCGGGAGTTGGAAACTTCGCAGTGTCGGCCGCCGCCGCCCCCCTTTTTTTTTTCTCCCCTACACGAATTCTATGTACTCGCCATTCAACACGGCACGCCGGACTCGGGAACAAAGGCTACACACGAGCTGCCCGAGGTTTGGCTCGCGTGTTGTTCGGCCTTTGGACGTCGAGGTCGTCATGCTCGCCCCCGCGGCTCACACTATGAACTAAGCAATTCTCCACTCGATACGTTCCTGTCGTCTTCGTCGTGTCCTGTGCCGTCAAGGTACGGGAGGTCACATGTTTGGCCGCGGCTGTGGCTGTACAATTTGACCGACAGTACCTGTAACGCTCCACTGGTTGATTGTCCTAGATGATCAAGATAACCACTGCTTCTTGATCACTGTATGCGCACCATGGCGTGCTTAGCCATACCTGTAGCCCGATTATGAACGAGTACAGACAGATCCAAAACACAGAGAGTCTGAAATGTTCATCTTCCCAGGTCGAATAAATAGTGTGTTAAAAGCAAGGCTTCCTATCGCTGACTGGGAGGAGCTTGCGTACAGTCGACTTCCATTGTGTCATTTGCATTAGCCATTAATATATCTGTTACTTTGGCTCGTGGCGGAATCCTGATTGCTGAGCATAAAAGTCACTGGGAAGTGGATATGAAGGACCTATATGCTTTTGAAAATTTCGCTCTTAATTACGTTGTTGCTGTAGGCTGATACATCACCTACGTATCTAGACAACATTTCATCGCAGTCGCTGATCTCAGATCGTGACTGGCCATAACTTCCTTCCCCATAAAGTGATGCTCGTTTCGCCCTCTCTCACCTTCGCTACCAGTGCCTCTCTTCCTGTGCCTGCTGAGCTTTCTCTAGTGGTCAACTATTTCAAAGCCGGTGCCCGTCAGACAGACCAGCTGCATGGTCATCTGTCAATCGATTATTGCCGCGAAGCACTTCTTTTGTACGGATCCAACGGGAAAAAACGGAGGAAATAATGAATCCGAGGTGATTAATGCAAAAGGTTGGACAGCAAATGTTTGTTTTGGGGCAGTCATATGCACCAGCACTTCAAGTCCCAGTAGTCAAAAGAAGAAGAAGAGAAAACCTGTTCACGCCTGCTATCCAGTTGAGCCGCCCCATGCCGTCTCCAGTCGTCTGATCACACACTCTCGATACAAACGCATGCAAACATGCTCAGTCACCTCGTCACGGGTAGGACAGCGTTCTGAACGACGAAGGGCGCAAATATGAGTAGACAGAGTGAGACCCGGAAGAATCGGAAGGTGTCGGTGACTAGTGAACACCCTGTCCCTTCTCCTGAGTTGGCATCTCCGATTTCCGGTTATTCTTCCAGAAATCGATAGCCGCAACAACATCTTGGTTGTTCTCATCTTCATACGCAAATAGAATCTGTCGTCCAAAGTCAGTATGTTCCTACCTCCCGTGCGGCTTGCGTGATCGCTACTTACCTCGTGCGTACTGCTGTGAAGCATCCTGATGTTTCGGTGTGGCACAATATGCACGGCTCCATTTTCGATGTTTCTAATCTCGATGAAATTCGGCTCGAATGCCAAGATCCATGGGTAGCTCAGTGCAAATGTTTGCGGTGTACCCTCCCAGTCGATGCGCCACTCAGGTCGTGCTCTCCAACCATTGCGATTAACGAAGAAGGAGAAGTCAGTGTAGTTGAGCAGGAACTCGCCATTGAGTCTCTCAATGTGGATAGGCTTGACACCTTCCTTGCGCGCAACAAAGTCCAAGGAAGTATCTGCTTGGTCAAGCAGACTCTGGGTTTCGAGCGTCTCAAGTGATACCACTTCAAAGCCACGTGAACAGGCAACGCACAACTTGCTCTTTAGGAAGTGAACTGACGTAGACTCTGTGGGGATATAGAATTCCTTGAAGGCCTTGAGCTCGTCCTGGCCGGCATTGAACATTTTGCCAAAGCCCTTTTGTTTCTTGCCTTTGCTCATGGCGTCATTAGGCTCATAAACCTTGATCGTGGTCGACAGGGCGGTAGACTTGACGCAACAGACCAAGTGTCTGCCGAGACAAATGCCTGCCTTGAAAAAGGTGCAGTGACTCTGAATCTTCTTTCCACGTTTCGACATGGCTGGCTCGTTGGGCTCCAGAGCCTGCAAGGAGAATGACATCAAGGTCTTGTTGCAAAGAATCAGGAGCAGGCCGTATTCCTCCAGAACATCGACTTGAGTGACACTTTGGACTTCGATTACCCGTCGGGGAGCTGCATCCTTGTTCTTGCGGTCAGATACATAGATACCGGTATCAGTTCCATAAATCAGCTTGCGGCCACCATCTACACTTGCGTTAGTATGCATCCTAGTGTGTTCTTCTTCGTAAAAAACCTACCATAAGGAGTTACTGTGTTGACCTGGTTGCCCGGTCCGAAGAATCCAGTAGACATTTCGTTCACGTTGAAGAAATCAGCTCGGGCTCTAAGCCGTTGCTGGGCAGTGTCGATGAACTCGAGCCACTTCTTGCGTTGCGTGTGATTCGCTGCATACAGTACTTGCTCGTAAAAGTTCTTGCCCAAGTGTCGAAAGGTCACTGGGTAGCCCTCGGTTTTCTTGTTGTCTTGGTTGCCCGCCCGAAGAGGGATCAAACTTGAAGACGACCGTTTCATGCCGTGCTGAGGTATGACTTCATCCATCTCCCTAATTGATAATAATTCGAGCGGGATTGGCTGAGATGTGTCAGTATAATGTGCGTCTCATTAAAAATATTGATAAAATTTCGACTTACTCTCCTGTAGGCTTTGACCTCCTCGGTCTTGCCCACTTGCTTGATCCTCACCAGCAGGACTGCATGGTCAAACAGGAATGCCGTAATATCAGTCGGATCATTAGGTGTCTTCTTGAAGTTTGTCTTGAATACCAGCTCGCGACCATCTTCAGTGAGTCTGAGATCCACACGATCTTGGGGACGAAATTTCAGCTGATCGTGAAGACGTCGCAAATTGAAACGATTTTCTGCCTTGCCAGACTCGGCATTGACGCGGCTCAGCAGGCTGCGAATCATGACAAGCACCTTTGGAATGTCCTCCTTGTCGGGATTGCCGTCCTCGGTGTATTTGAGCACGTTCTCAAGCAGCAACGGGTATCGTGCCAATCTGGTCGTAGGTTTTGTCAGGTAACCGTTGAGTTCCAGCTTTCGTGATTCTTTGCGTCGCTCGATCTCGTCTACGAACTTGGAAAAGAATGTGTTGTTTGAACGCTCGTTCTCGAACTCGAACTTTGCTTCTAGTTGTTTTGAACCATACAAGATGAAAGGCTCGAATTGAGGCACGTATTCGAGAAAGATGTCACCAAGGTTGGGTACAACAGGGTTCTTCTGTTGCCTCTCGGATATCGCCTTTGCGAAACGTGAGCTGACGGTGTGGAGAGCTGGGTGGTCGATGATGTTGGTGAAGATATTCCGAACAACCTTCTCCCTCCTCGCAGCGGGAATGGGCGAGTTCTTTGACTTGAGCGGCAGAATCCAGAAGTCTCTCAGGTACTCCAAATCCTTGACAAAGTCTCTCTCGGTATAGCAGATCTCAGAGATGACTTCTTGCCTCTTCTGCTCCCTGTCACCAACACTATCGGCGATCTCCTTCGGCACAGTGTTAATCCAGAGCTTCTGCTCATCGGTCTGGTCGATATCATCTTCATTAGCGACAGCGTCGTCCTCCCTCTTCAAGCCGGGCTGCATCTTCAGGTTGAGTCGAGAGACCTGTTCCAACCGTCTTGGACAAGCTATCGAGTAGCATAGCTGATCTCTTGTACAAGTCGGCGAATAACACTCGGAGAGTAGTACGAAAACACCGTTGACTGGGGGCTTGTCCTCTGGCTCATCCATCAAAGTCTCTCGGAACTGGTACATTTCCGACGAGGAGTCTCGTAACCGGTGTTCGTAGGTGACATCGTGAAAGAACTTCTGCGCATCTAGAGCACGACCAAGTAGCAAGGCTAGATTTCTGTCTGTGGTGCGGATGATGTATGATAAGACATCGACGGCCTCAGAACCACTGAAGGCATTCTTGTATGTAAGCTCGTTCTTTGTCCTATCTCCAGTAATTATCTTCTGCTGAAACTTCTCGGCCACTCTAGATAGCAATGCAGGATAGACAAGTGGTGTCCGGACTTTGGCAGTCGGTGGTCTGTCAGTTTCGCCAGTAGACCTGGAAGATATCGAGGGGCGATGCGCGAGATCCTTCATGTCCGTAGGCATATCAGACGAAGTAATGGTACTAGCCATTGACATCGTCCGGCTGTGGTCACCTGCGACAGTCGAGGAAGCCATGCTCATTGTTCGTGTAGCTGTTCCCGGGGGTGGCCCGTAGCCATTGTAGTTGGAGTAGCCATCCATTGTAGGTGTTTCGTTTGATGGTGCTCTTGCTCGGTTCGGTATGACTCTGCCGCTCATGGTCTGATGTGCATCTCGGTCCGGCGGGGGATAGCCAGTCATAGACATGGAGCGATCATCGTGGCGTTCCGGCACAACTCGGCCCTGCGCTGTCGTCCGTGAAGCGGAGGGCGCATTTACAGGAGCTCCCCTGAAGCTGTGCAGCGATTGCTGTTGACTATGCGAAGGACTCTGCTGGTACATGTTTGGTCTCGGTACACTGGCGAGGGATTGAGACCTGTAGGGATCGTCTCTCATAGCGGCCGAGGGGCTTTGATGCTGAGGTGGGCCCTGATAATATCTTTGTGCAGGCGCCCGCGGACCATAGCCTGAAGAGGAACTCTGCATTGTTGCCGTTCTTGAGTCAAATCTTGGTGGCGCGCCTCCATGCTGCGGCGGAGGCCCAGGATAAGGTCTCCTGTCAGGACCTGGCATTGGGCCCCTCCCATATTGATTAGGAGGTGGATATCCACCCGATGGATTTCGCTGATTCTGATAATAACCATTCGCCATGCTCGTGTCCATCGTCCGCGTCCGCCCTGACGCTGATTCATCGTAGCCTCGCTGAGGTCGTGGAGGAGGCTGCCTCCGCATGTCATGGGACATGCCTGACATGCTAGAGGACATGGTTGCCGTTCGCCCATCTTGTGGCATTGAACGTGCCGCGTGCATATCTGCCGAGGACGAGGTCATCGTCTGCGAACGACCGGGTGGCGGAGCAGCGCCGAAGATATTGGAGAATGCGGCATCTCGTTGGTTGTTCTGTGGGTGGCCGTATCCGCGACGTTGGTCGTAATGGTAATCAGCCATTATGTCGTCCTGTGTGATAGAAAAGTAGACGTCAGTATGGCGACTTGGACAAGCTTAAAGAATTCCGTTTTCCCATGCCCGAATAGGAACCAGCGAGCAATGGGGTAGTATGGATGCGTGTAGTTATGCAAACAAGACACAGGACAAGATCCTGGTGAGTTGACAGCTGGCCCAAGAACCAGGTGCATTAAGGGTCAGGCAGTTAGGTAGGTAGTACTCACTTGTTCACAAGCCTAGGCGGCCGCGAGAGCCTAGGATAGGACCCTAGCTCTACGCAGATGAGGGTGTTGCTCGTTGTACTGCTGGCCGGAATGGGGATCGGTATCTACGGTATCGGGTGGCCTGATAATGTCAACCGGTCGGTGACGATGGCTACCCGTGACACCGCTGGAGCGCAGCCGGCTTCGAGCTAGGGGGGCGATGATAAGGTGGCCGCTGTGTGCGGGAAGAGGTCGACAACCAGAAAATGTTCTTTCCTGAATTGGACCCCAGGTTTTCTTTGGCGAGGAGAAAATACCGGCAACTCGCACTACGATGTGTTTGAGGGGGAGGGTTTACTTTTCCTGTTTCGCAACCAAGAGACTGGACGAGCGGCGGGCGTAGGGAGCGAAGGGAAATTGTCGGCGGTGGATTCGAGGGTCGCGGACTGGTGATGCTCTCGAACGGTCCAAGGTCCAAGGTCGGGGGGATCGGACAGGGAGTCAATGGGGGTTACGCTGTTGTCGCTCTTGCTTCGCAAAGATCGTGTGTGTGAGAGGACATTTGGAACCTGGGCCGTTGTGTTGGTATCACCCTGCTTGCTGGAAGTGAGTGAGCGAGCCAGCAGCGAGCAGGCCAGCGATTGATTGATTGATTGATCTCCACTTCCGAGCTATTCCTAGACTGGGCGGCCTTCTCGGCTCCTGGATTTATTATGTAAGTCAAGGAAACGGCTGTCGTACTATCGCTCGACTCCTGATTCTGTCGGCAGAGACATCCGCGGGGGCAACCGGCGAAGAACTGCGCAAAAAACACTTCCCACTCTTTTTCCAGAGGCGAGCAAGTCGGGTAAGAAGAGAATTAAGGCACTGGGCAGTTTCCGGATCCAACGATTGGGATGAAGAGGCAGGTCAATAATGGAGGTTTTAGAGGAATCAGGGAGCTGCTATCAATTGCTTGATTAGCGCAGCTGCAGAGACAAGCCGCAACGCGTATCAAATAAACTAGGGGCAGTTGCAGGCTAGACCCAATGACCGTTGGTTCACATGATCTTTCCTGAGGTTTCTAAGGAAAAGGCAATTCAGATACTACACAATCCTGTCTAGCAATCACAAATAATGTTAGTGGCTCATACTCAGGGAAACCAGCATTGGACAAAGATGCGAGCATATGAATCAGTTTGTCCAAGCAATAGTGAATGAATGAATGAATGAATGAATGAATGAAACGATGGGGTTTGGGCGGGGCCTCGTTGGCTCATTTCCGATCCGGCCCCAAGAGGACCAGAGCAAGACCCATTACCTTTGACCAAGAGTCACCAGACAATGATCATACATTCTACTGCTGAATACCATGATACAGATAATACTAGGTCTACAAACATTTTTTTTTCAGCCCGGCCGCGCATAGAGTAACGTGGCTTGGGCACAGCGCAGCGCTGTTGACTGTTAAGCACAAGTGTGCCGGCTGACACACGAATTGAATTTTAGGAGGTGGAATGCAAGATAGTATTCTGGAACCAGAAAGTCTCTCGCCTACACAGCAGTAGCCAGATAGAAACCAGGGCACGGGGCATCCGTCTTTCATGCCGCAGGCACTGCAGCTGAACCAGAGGCAATATCGCACCTAAATTGTACGAGCCGAATTAATACTCAATGCCCTCTTGCGCCTAATACTGTGCCCATATTTGCTTTGATGTGGTCGTGTCCCAGCTGTGGTGCTTCTCCGGATGCTTTTACCATGTGTGTATCGCCTACATTGGATTGGAGACGCGAGGGTAGGATTATGTTATTCTGAGCAGTCATCTCGTACAGTACCTACTTTCCCCCTTTTTGCACGTGCATGGCGTTGCAAAAGGCAACAAAACCCAAACTCTCCCGCATCAGTAAACACATTTGAGAGATCGCCAGAGCCCAGTCACTGACTGGCTTTTGTACTCCCTTGGCTGCCCACTGAAAAACCATGGCTACGTCAGTACCACCAAGCCACCCTTCTCCTTAACTCCGGGAAATATAGGTGGCTTCATCACGTGATTTGTGCTGGGCTAGCTGGTCTGAGCACCTGGAGCTTAGCGCGCGAGGCAGCTTCACTTGATGATTGCATCCGCCTGGTTGACCCGTAACCACGTCGAAGCTCCAAGGTCATCATCAAGTGGCTCGACGATAACCCTCGGAACAACCAAGCCCATCATCTTGCATCTCCTCTCTGGTGATCCCCAAGATGAGCTCCCTCACCACCATGGCCGAGTCCGAAGCGGCTCCCAAGTTTGCGCCGTTTATCGGCATGGTAAGCTTTTCCCCATTCGCGGTTGCATGTTGCGTTTTGGGCTTCACCGAGTGCTGACCTATTGCTCCTCTACAGGCCGGCATCGCCGCAGCTATGGTTTTCGGATGTATTGGTGCAGCATACGGTACAGCCAAGTCGGGCATCGGAATTGCAGGTGTCGGAACGTTTCGGCCAGATCTCATCATGAAGGTGCGTTTCTCTCGTGAGAGTGTATTTCGTGATACCTACGGCAGCTCTACAGCTTGTTTACTGGCATGAGATGTGTCTTGCTAACTCTCCTCGATTTTCCTAGTGCCTGATTCCCGTTGTCATGTCCGGTATCATTGCCGTCTATTCGCTAGTCATTGCTGTCCTGATCGCCGAAGATATGGCCCCGCCGAACCAAACGACTTACAGCTTGTTCAACGGCTTTATGCATCTTGCGTGCGGTATTTCGGTTGGAATGACGGGTCTTGCCGCTGGATATTGTATTGGCATCGTTGGAGACAAGGGCGTCCGCTCATACATGGAGCAATCGAGAGTTTTTGTCGGCATGGTTCTCATCCTCATTTTCGGAGAAGTCCTGGGACTTTACGGGTAAGCAACCGGCAAACTGGCAATCGAGCTGTTATAATTGCTAACCAAAGTCTAGACTGATTGTGGCTCTGATCCTGAACACCAAGAGCCGAGGCTGAGATTATGTCAAATTGGAAGATAACTCGACAGATGATGGGAACGAGTCGGCCCTGCAATTACCAGGATTGGCAACAAGATGACAGAGATGTATGAATTATTGGCGAGCCTTGTCCCGATAGCAGCATATTCAACGGCGTTCAAGGGGTTTACGTAGACAACCATGCATTCAAACTTTTACCACAGCTGATTAAGTGCACACCACATAGTGATCGTCTGTACTGCACCTCCGCTCTTCTCTTGACTAACACTACGAGCTGTTTGCGTCACGTTCTTAGGTGCACTCTTTTGCGCTATTTATTGACAGGCGTTGAAGTAGGATGTAACTGTGAAGATTCGACGCGGCTGCGTTAGGAACATCACGGGTTCGGTATATGGATGGTAGGTAGAAAGCAGCTGACTGAGTGGAAATCAGAAACCGAGCAAGAATCATAGACGACAGCACTGAGAGCACTTGTTCAGAGGGCGCGTCGAGACTCGGGAGTCATAAGATCCTGCTTCTTACATTACTTGCCTGTGTCGTTCTTGATACAGCCAAGAAGATAATCAACTTCAACTTCTTGTCTCGGAGACCAGCTGAACAGCGTACATTGGATATCCTGTGGTAGCCTCTGCTATTATGGGTATCCAATGCTGGGGACGGACTCGCAGTCATATCATGAATAAACGTTAGAGTGTCGTTATATAACTATCAGGTGACATTTCTGCCAATTTGACTCCTCGAGATATTCTGACATATGCATCCTCAAAGATTAGCGGCACATGAAGCGCTCTATCAACCAATACTTTAAGAAAGTTTGGTCGTGTATACTGAAGTGTCTAGGTAGGATAACAAGCTTACCCTGCTACGTATAAACATGATTTTGATTCCCTTGGTAGTTTGGAGAGACGGGGTTTATAGAGTTGAGTTTGCAGTTAACCAAGTTGCAAAATAGGTCCATTAGTCATGAGCGTTCGGGGGGTTCTCGAGCTGTTAGAAAACTGTTTCGAATTCGAGCGAAATAGATCAGACCTACTTGATGGTCAAGAACCTTGCTACCTTGTCTACCTAGCCACTACCAAACTACCCCATTTTTTCTTACAACATCACTGCCATGGATCGGGCTTCAGTAAAGGAAAACCCCTTTCGCATGCTTTGTAACACTCCCGTCTCGATTCCATGCATTCTTGTTCCCCGTCGTACTGATCCTTCTGGATCGCTCATGGTCGATAATGAATGCAGCGAGTCATTCGACATGTTCCGTTGGTCCTGTTTCCCATCGCAGAAAACCAAATCAAATCAATGCCATGACGCCTGAAAATGTAAGATTCGACACGCATAAAAAAAATTAAAAAATTGTCCACAACTCTTGGGCGTTTGAATCTCCAAAGGAGATTACAGACAGTGGCAGAGTATGAGAGTCTACACATTGTCGATGACCAGAAGCTCCGAGTGATCGGACTGCTCCGTCGAGGCCCTTTTGGCAGCAGCTCTGCACATCTACCATCGGCGGCGGGAGCGGCGGCTCTGCTCAAATTGTCGCCAGCTCTCTCGTCGTTGGTCCCAGTCCTGAATCTGGCCTGTACAGAAAGGCGTCAGCACACAGAATGAACAGTCGAAGGAACACATTCAAGCATCGCGTTTCCCTGGCATCGATGCAAGATTTATGGTATCCCAGCTGAAAGCAGATCGGGGCGGGCTTACCCAAAAACCAATCCCACCTCTGATCCTCTCTAATCAGGATATCGTCCCCAGTCTCCCGTGCAAGCCTCTCTCTCCGCGCTCTAGCAGCAGCTTCCTCGCCCACGAGGTAAGGGTCCTCGAGCGGTCGGCTCCGCGTTCGCTCGCGCTCATCTTCCTGCTCGTTGAGGCGGCCGAGCACGGCCCGGAGTGCTCCCTGCACCTGCATATCGCTGTTGCTGTGGCCGTGACCCCCACCGCCCCGAGAGGAGCGGCTGGCCCGCCGGTTGGCCACGGCCTGGTAGTGACGGGCCGTAGGGTTCGAGTGCATCGTCGACCAGGTCGGGATGCGGAAGTCGTTCACCTGCGGAGCCCGAGAGCGTGGGGGTAAATCATGGATCGGAGGGAGTCCGGGTCCGTATAGGAGCGAGCTGCCGTTGGCCGGCGGCACCATGGGCTGCCGAGAATTATTCGTCGGTGTTGAGTTGCCGGTGCGGGCGGGCGGCGAATATGAAGGAAGGGCCTCGTTTGGTGGTAAAGTTGAATGGTAGGAAGGCGCATCAGAGACTGTGGGGAGCCATGTTAGCAAGGATGTGCGCAAGAGTATAATGTAGGCAGGTATGTTTATATAAACTTGGTGGGCTGTTACTACTAACCATATGACGGAGCTGCCGAACGGATAGAGGCCGTCTCAAAGTCTTCAGCGCTCAGTCGCTCAGTGCGAGCCTGCATCATGACCTCGGCTGCCATCTTGACTGGAGGGCTAAGTATAGCACAGCGTGCGGGGGGTGGATCAAGACTGAGTAGTAGCAAGACGCTTTCAAAAGTGAAGAGGTAACCGGGGAGCGGACACTAGCACGTATAATCCAGTCCAGAGTTTTGGTCTTCAGCAGGGTTCACCAAGACGTTTATACTATTGCCAAACAAGACGGCTCAGAAATGAGAGAAACGAAGAGAGTTCATTAGGCAGTCGGTGAAGGGGGACTATGGTAAAGTATATACATGAACTTCCTGGGGAAGATCAAAGAAAGGGCAGCACGCAACGTTATCGGCGGCAGGGGTATTGGCAGCCTACCTGCAGGTAGGGTCCACAGTAAAGGATGACGATAGGGTGATACAAACAAATACACGTCCGCTTGGAGGTTAGTTGGGGTTGGCATACCCAAAGCTAGTGATAGCCTGGTATCAACCTCCAATGTCTATAGCCCGGAAGAAGCAGAAGCTTAGGGTTGGCTTCCCGTGCTTCCCAGCAGCGCCCGTAGGCACGCGAGCTCCAAGATTTTGGGTTTTTGGAGGCACTTGAACATGCAGAAGAGTTGCTTTATCTTCTGTCGAACCGCCGGAGAGCGCCTTGTCATCCCTCGGTATTGGAACTCGTGTTACTCGCTTGGCAGTGAGCCACAGGCCGACGTTCCATTGGGGACCTCAGAAGCATGTCAAGGGCACACGACTCCAGTACTTATCCAATACATCCAATACGGGCGGGCGGGATGGGGGGGTAGGGCGAAGACGCCAAACTGTGCCATGCTTGGCACATCAGCACGAGTGGATGCTTGACTGGGGGTGACTGGGCCTAGCCGAGCAAAAGCTACGAGCTGGAAACTCACTTCTGGGAATTTGGTTGGTATGGAGGGGGCCGTCTCTGTTTGCACTAGGTTCTGTCAAAAAAAAAAAGGGTTGGCTTGGCTGGTAATGAGCTGTCTTGTGAAAAACGGTCGGGTAGCCGAAAGTTTACCCAGATGCATTAATACAGTGCAGTTGGACATTGAAGTATGCGATAACGTCAATATTTTTTACCTTCAAAAGAAACAGAGAGAGAATGGGGGTAAATGGTTCTACGTACTACTTCCGTCCATGCTAATGCTACCAGCCCCAAGCGGGGTAGGCAAGGTAAGTAGCGATAACGACCAGCTAATACACCACGGGTAATCAATATACCTATTCTAATATGTGCACTACCTAATGTAGCGGTAATTCAGTATATCGACGCTTGCTTATTTGCTTATACCAAGCCTAAGCTGCATGCTTTATGGGTAATAAGTCGCCGATTGCATGTTTGCCTGGACCATGACCCGGGCAAATCCTGATACAGCATGCTAACTCTTGTGGTAATAAGTAAGTAACAGCATGTCATTGCCTTGTTGAATTCCTCCATGTCGTTGGCAACCCAGGAATCTGCAGCACGTCCACTGTGGGATGAGTCCGTCATCGTTCTCCAGAGCTGTGCCCACATACATCCACCTGGAAAGCGTTGTTCCTTCGTCTTTTTTCCCAACCTCGGTCAAACATGTCCGCCCCGGATGTCTTGTGCGGTTTTATTCTTTGTGTCTCGGACAAAAGATAGCGAACGAAGCGAGGAGCTCGTCTCGGGGAATAACCACCTCCCAATAGTACCTACCTCCCCCCTGGGAACGCTACTGCGCTTCGGAGATCTGGAGCAGCAAGCTGAGGGGCAGCACACCTAAAGTGGTGAAGGCTTGCGTCTCTAGCGTCGTACGTCTTGCATCTGCTAGTCCTGCATCGAAACCTGAATAGAGTCTTGGAACCAGAAGATCGGCTGGGGGGTTTACTCGTCAAGTTGTTACTGTGTACGCCGTGGCTCTTGGCTGGTGAATGAAATCGATGATCTCAATAAAAATGAGTCCTTCGAGCGAGTAGTACTTAGTATGAAGCGTGCTCTTTATAGTGTAGTTATTAGTAGCCTACATCTGAGTAATCGCAAAACAGTAGACAGAGTTTCGCGGAAGCACCGGCGATGAACTGGACCAAAACGCGACGGACTGAGAGATAAATTTCTACCATTACCACAGCAGCACTTTGACCCGTCTTGCTGACCACGTTGGCGCGTCTTGTCCTGCAGGTACGGAATGATGCCGACGGGGGCATCTACGAGCGGCACGCCGGCAGCATAGTTGCCGGCTAGATAGTCCATCACATCCGCCAAGTTCAGTCCCAGAGGCCTCCCCGGCCAGTCTCACTACTACTGATCCCATGGTCGCAACGATTGTGGTGAAGAGTAGTTGTCCTCGAGAGCGACGTGGTACACCAGTGACATAGTTTCCCTCCCAGACCGCTCTCAACTCTGCCAGATTTGCGGATACCTCCACCTATCCACACTGACCCATCATCTGCTGAATCTGAATGGACGGTGATGTTCTCCTCTTTCGTTGATGGAGTTCCAGCTCAACAGAGTGGATCTCCGTATCGCTGCTACCCGAACAAGTTTGTGCTGCCAGGAACCCGGAGATCACGGGTAACGGCAGGATCGGCCGGACGCCCAATCAAGACGGGCAAAAAATGGTTCCAGGTTGGTTCCATTACAACGACAAGTTTGGGCGAAATGACGAAACCGGTTTACGAGGGCTTTCTAGTCAATGGATTCTGAAAGACAATGTTCGATCAACGAAGCTTTTCAATTTATCCTGTGCATCGTGTAACAGGGCAATGATGCTTGATCATCTACCCCAAGATAAGAACTTGGTTCATACCCCATATACTAAGCATACTTGCTCATCCCGAACCGTGATTCCTATACCGTAACTCCAAAGTACCCATTTGTATGTGATCATAGCCAACCCTTCCCAAATGCAAGCCGTTTTCTAAAAAAAAAAAAAAAAAAGTTCATCGTATTCGTACAATGTTTCTGTTTACCACAATCGTCGCTGGTAATATAGAGGTGTCTCGCCCTGTGACAGTTCCCGGATCTCCTCCTTGATGCGTCGTCTCCTCTCGGCTCTGCTTATAGGCTCTTCCTCTTCCGCTTGCTGTTTGGTATTGTCGCTCTTCTTCTTGCCATTTTGGTCTGATTTGCTTTGGCCCTTGTCCGAGTCACTGTGGCTCTCCTTCTCATTGAGCGGCTTTTGCGATACGTCCTCGGGCACCGAAGGGCGCACCTCAATCACAAAGTCACCCTTTTTTTGCTGCGCGGCATTGCCACTGGGCGCATCGTCGTGATTCTCTATATTGACCACCGTCCCATCTTCTAGCTCCGTGGTTGACTGCTTGAACCGGTCCGGGAGATAGATTTTTGGGCTCGGCCGAGGGTCTGGTCTAATGGCTTTGCGCAGGTCTCGCAGCGTGCGCTGCTGAATAACGTAGCCACTGAGGAAGAGGGCTGTGGTGAAGGATAGAACTATAGAAAATTTTGAGATTTAGCAAATGATGCGAAAAGCCAATCCTTTCCTCGAGGCCGGCCGTCGAGATGCATGCATCCGTGGATAGCATTGGGGTGACGAGGTGGTCTTACTGATGAGCGAAGAAAGCGCCACGGATACTTGGGAGGAAGTCAACAAAACCATTGCTAACAATTTCTCCTTGGAAAATTCGGATGACAAGTCTTAGGAAATGATCTCTTTATCATTTCAATATGCGGTTCTTGATAGTGTAGCACGAACTTGCTTATATTCAACGGCTTGCTGCAGTCGAGTCTTGCGTCGTCACACATGTGATACTGCCAGTTCCTTGTTTAGTAGCGGCAGATCGGTAACCCGGGGCAACAATTGGGGAAGTGCCTCCAATTGAAAAGCCCCGGCCGGGCGGCCCCACGCCGGTATCCGTACGATTTATATCGTACATACCATGTCTTTTAGAATTCAAACAAAGTCACATTCATTCGCATCATAGTATAGTTTGGCCCAAGCAATACAATCATTCAATTCCTGGCATGTGGCCAATTGTGCAGCTTGATGCTCCCCGTGTATCTGCAAAACTTTGATGCACATTATGAACGCTCGTTGACGCATTATGCATCTATTTGAAAGATGTGTTTCCCGCGATTATGGCAGCCGTTACGGCGTTACAATCTTCGCATAAGACCAAGACAGCATTTCATGGCATTGTGTCCGCGCCAATTTCCATGATTTTCAAAGACATAACCAAGTAGCAGTACCTGGACGCCACGATGCTTCAAGATGCATTGCATTTTGCCTGCAATCAATGGAGAGATAGCAACGAGTATATGATCCAGACGCCGCGTCCAGTCTCGAGCGAAGCTGATGGGACAGAGATTGGTGGCTCGCAGCGACAAGGGCTGTTGTTCCAGTAGGCTTGGCTCATTTGGAACAATAGTGAGAGTTCTTTCATATTGTGGTTTGTTTTCCCCTCCTATATTTGATTGAACGACCGAACCAAAGCACGTATTGAGGCATGCACAATCCGCAGCACGATTGTGGTAAAGCGCTGAACTAAATACTAGGAGCTTTACGATCTCATGGACTTGACTGCCGTGGTGGAGTGGGTTGACTCTACGGATTATGCTCTCACACGATGGGAGTACGCGGCCTTGAGGTTCTATCCTTGACTGGGAAGCTTCCAACGGAATATACCTACTCCGCTGCGTGTCTCACCAAAGTTCAAAGTTTAATCGCCAAATCACAGTTTAAACACCCACAAAGATATACACATTGATCACCTTGACAGTAACGGAAATACAAGTCTGGAGTTCTTAGTTGAATTAAGCACCCTTACGAGAAAAACTTGGACGACGAAGGGAAAAGATTTTCAATCCAGGAAGAGAGCGGCCTATATCGGCTTGACTTTGGCTACCAAGGCACGCGTATGGTAGTTGTTATTTCCTTTTGTTGCTAACTATAATCTCGTGGTGCTTGGTGCACGCGCTATACACTCAATACACCGCTCAGATGCTACTTGATATAATTTGGAAAGAATCACGAATGTTTATTGTTCTCCCTGATAGACACTGCGTTTTGTGAACGAATAAACACTCTAGCTGGACGAGGATTGTGCCCTGCAAGCAAAACGAGTCTACCATGTTTCCCTCGATACTCTATGTGCAGACTCGTTGTGCCTTTGAGGCTTGAATTGAAGCGAAATGTAATAAGATAAATGGCATTTGCACCACCTGATGCCACGTACCAACGATGTATACTATCGATTCTTAGATGTCAAGTTTCATCTTGACCTCGCAGAGAATATGCAAGATGAGCATTATATTGAAACCGAAATGAATCCATCATAAGTAAGAGTGGTCTTTATAAATGACTGGAGATGTTCGAAAAGATCAACTATATTTGCAGGCATAAAATAATTTGTTCTGCATTGTGAGATGGCTAAAGTGAACAGGCGACAAGCTCGGAATTTGGGCCATTTCCACTGGTTTGGTGATGCGTTCAATTGGAATAATCATTTGGTATGTGATTATTCCAGTCGCGTGTCGCGTCGACACTCAGTCGCGATTGCCTTGAACAATCTGAAAACTTCTCATTGTTCGCCATTCGTGCAGAACCTCGCATTACTTCGAGAAGACTCAATTGCTCGAATCATAATATTATTTATCCTCTCTTTGAAAACAACACCACCACCATTCCTCTCACTCTCGATCGCATTACTCTGATTGATCGGCTACTTGGACCTTGAAGAAGTTTGGACGAGGTCTATTTGCCCACCGGGCCGCTTTAATCTACCCGTTGATTACAGAAAGGCAACGCGTTTCACCGCCTCCAGTAAACATGTTCTACAGCCACGAGAGTGAGTCCATCCACAGCTTTTTAACACATCCAGGAACCCTCACTGAAATCAAACAGTCCTCGCCAACCACCAATATGGCGTGGCTACAATCTGGTATGTTTACAATAACTGCAAGCTCCGCGAGCCAGTCCATGCCTGGACTGGCTCCGCAGTATCCTTACGAGTCGACGCTGAACTGAATCCAACCTCTTCAGGATCGTGGCGACGATGGGTAACAAATCAATCACCAAACGGGTGAGTAAAAGAGCAATAGAAGATGTCGACCTCGCCAGAGCTTGCGAGAAGATCATTGAGCCAGGCGCTCCGATCGCTCTGCGTTTGCAGGGCAGTCTGCTTTTTGGGGTTTCAAAAGTCTATCAGCGAAAGTGTCAATACATGCTCAGCGATGTGCAGAAGATCCAGGGCCATATGATGAGCTTTCTCAAAACATTTGGTGCAAATCAGCTAGACCCTGAAGAAGTCAAGGCGAGGCAAGTGACCAACATACTTTTCGCGGAACTGTTCCAAGACCCATGAAGCTAACCACGCACTTCCACAACCAGACCCGAGAACCTGATGATCATGGACGACCCCGACTTCTTTCCCACTGGAAACATCTTGCCAGATCCGACCGAAGAAATGTTCTTCATCAGCCAACCCACCCGACAATCAACCCAAAATACAAACAAAACTTCTTCACAAATGTCACCACACTCACTCCAGTCGGCCGGCAGTTCTTCCGGCAATGAAAATTTCCAATTGCAACTCGACTTTCGAGAGTCAAGCGTTCCTGGCTCCCATGCATCACAGCAAGGCCTCCAAGGACTTTCATCTGCACAAAAGCCTGTGAGATTGGCCAACGACGACGACCCCTTTGGAGACGGAGAAGAGCCTATTGACCTAGGCTTTTCAGTTGATGAGCACGGCAACATAATCGAAAGTCTAGATTCTGTGCCTGCCATTGTCAACGAGCCTGTTCTCCCGGACATGCCATCTCTCGCAGGCGTGGAAGGTGCTGGCGTACAGCATCAACAACATTCCGACGACCAAAACGATATTTTCATGATGAATGAAGATCCGCTTCCACAGGCCGAAGGTCTTCCTGCAGGCCAAGCAACAGAGGGTAGCAGCAAGAAGAACGACGTCGTCGCTCCTAACAGTGAGCAAAACCAAAGTCCCGCTCCAAGTCGTCGCCAGAAGAAGAAGCGCAACATCATTCATGCAGATCATGAGATTGAGATCTCTAGGGATACGCTGCGCAAATGGCAGACGGATTATCTGAAGAACTGTGGCCCTCAAGAGCCACAAGACATTGCAGTCCAACAAGCCAGGGAAAATGCGATCCATCTCACTTTCGGCCTAGGTATTGGCAATATTGGCCAGAGCCTTAACATCCCCGGAGTAATCCATCCTCTGGCCATGGAATTCTCTGGAGACCCCTTGTTCACCGCACTGACTGGTCTCGAGATCCTGGAGAAGCAGGTAAAACGTAAAAGAGGTCGGCCGGCAAAAAAAGATATTAACGACGAAGAGCAGGAAGAGCGACGAGTTCGTGCGAGGCTTGAGGGTGATGCTAATGATGATGAGCTGCAACGAGGCGGCGTGGCATCAGATGAGGCGCTCGACTTTGGCTTGGATCAGAGCCCCCCAGAAATTGGGCGAGAGGCGCAACCAGCCATGGATGAGAACCCTTCATCCGTCATGCCGTGGAATCGAGGTTCGTCCATTAGGCACGGGTCCTCGATCCAGAGAGGCGGCTCGGTTCAGCATGCCCGTGACCAGTCGAGCCCTCTAGGAAGACGCGGCGCAGACCAAGAGATTGTGCGCTACAGTTCTGACGTCGACATGGGTGGAATGGAATTTGGAAACGGCGATCATCATTCAGACGACTCTTTTGCCATGGGCCCGCTCACAGGAGCCGAAGCGGAGCCGATTGAGCAACTGTCTACGCAGGACCAGAATCAGAGAATGAGAGAAGCTCTCGATCGCGAAGGTGGTCATTTCCTCGGTTTCGTGGAGACGATGATGAAGGAGCATGGCGAGCGCTACTACGACGACGATGCAGAGCTCCAGCGCAGGTGGCTCGACTTTGACGACATGTTTGTGCCCAACGACACCACTCGTGCAACTGCAGCACAGGCATTTTATCATGTTCTGACGCTAGTCACCAAGGGCCAGATGCTCGTCAAGCAGGACGGCGAAGGCAAGGAACCATTTGGTAGGATCCACACGGGCCTTGAGGGTTTCTCGTGAGCGTGGCATTGTTCTCCTGGGACGGAAAGCTCTGATCTAATATGATGCTGAGCGACGCAAGGATGCTCGGAGGGACAAATACTTGAGCGATTCGGTTATCATTGGGATCGGACCATTATTACGGACAGATGACAGCAGGATTGCCTAGCAATTCTGAGTTCTAGAAGACATGGTTCGGGTTGCTCTCTGAGAAAATCTGAGACCCATATCGCTTCTTTAGGCGTCAAAAGAATGGGGATATGCCATGGGTTGTTTCTGGTCTGAACTGGCGATAAGACTGCAAATTCTGAGGATGATCACGGGTTACAATATTTGCCAAGGTCTTTGCTGAAAGAAAACACATAGATTAATCAAGACATCGGTACCATGAATCGTGAGTTGTTTGCCATTTCGAGTGAGCGTACTACACAAATGTGCATCTTTATTTTCTCTCTTTATTCATACATGTCATCATCATGGGCATCGGCGCCCTCTCGATCCTCGAATATCATATATTCACTCTCTTGTGCTTCCTCACCGGATGCTACCTTCCAGGCGTCCAACACTACATCGAGGTTGGCATCTCCAAAGGCAAGCTCGAGCGGGAGGGAGGGAAAAGAGAAATGTGGCACTGAGCCCATCATTTCTGTTGAGGGCGCCGTTGCACTCTTTGCTTGTTCATAATACAAACGGTACAAACTGATTGGTGTCTCTTCATCTCCAGACGAGGCAAGCAAGAGCTCCAGCGCCTTCTCGAGCGTTTCTTTTGAAGAAGTTGAGGCCACCGTAGTAAGATATATGGTACCTGTTGCACAGGATCTGTTAGTGGCGGAATGCAAAGACGTTGCTGTAATTTGGAAGGTATTTTTTTTTTTTTTGGCAGTGTACATCAGTTTGTCAGATGTAGATATTCGTCAAAGCACAGCTCAGACAATGTAGATAAGTATGGTGTTTTTCATCATAAGACTGTGCTCGAGTTGAGATGGTACACAATTAAAAACTGAACTTACTCTGACCATTGGGACATTCTCCCGTCTCACTCGAATGGACAAGGGCATACACAGGATAGTCGGCCGAAGCATCTGAGGATTGTATGCTGCCCGACGGAAAAGCCACCACGGTGACTGCAGGCGTGGGAGCGCCTTCAACCACAGCCTTGAAAAGATTCCGCAGAGGCGACTTTACCACAGCGATTAGTCTGCTGATTGCTTGGCCATCTGCTGCGACATCCATCGATGAGAACAAGGTTCGGACCTGAACGGAAATCTCGTTGGTCAAGTCTAGGCTGAGAAGGTCTTGTTCGCCATCGGGCTTGATTTTCATTCCGGTGTCGAGCATATAGATTCCTCCGCCAACAGCTCCTGCACGGCAGGCAACTTGTGCCACTTCAGACAAACCGCCCCATTTTGGGTAGACGGCACAAAAGCCGGGGCCAAAGACTCCTATCGATGTGAGGTGGCGGCTGATAGCTGCCAAGCCGTCCTTGACGGTGATGTTTCCATCTATTGTCAATGTCAGGGCGAGGATGGAGTTTCGTAAATTGTCGTCCAATTTGAACTGGGACGTCAAAAATTCCGAGAGAGGCGAGTCGGCATGTGGCTGCCAAGATTCTCTCTGTTCTTCCGAGTTGTAGTCGATGACGAATTTCATGAACTTCATCAAGGCTCGCTTGGATTTGGCGGGAATCGATGAGCTGGAGAAGACATCCTCACGACTGCTGGGAATGCGCGAAAGTTTTGCGGGTCCTTCTTCTCCCCTGGAGGGCTCGTAGATGAAGAACGAGCCAACCGAGAGGAACTCGACCTGTCGATAAGCCCGAGACGAGACGAGTTGCGAGAGCAACTTGGACCTGGTATGAACAATCTGCGGGGCCAGAGCGAGAGAGTAGGCGCGAGGGTAACCCAGCCCGTTTGCTTCAGCTTCGGGGTGCTTCCACGTTGAAGCATTACGAAAGATGCCGTCCTTTGGCTTGGCAGCGCCCTCATCGGCCGCCGCCGGAGCATTCCCATGTGAGACAGCAAAGCTGTCAGCTTCCTGCAGGCTCAAGGCAGCTTCATGTTGTCCATAGTAGTCGTTTGGGTCCAGGTGTAAAATACGCTTGTTTGACCTAGACAAGGCTCTTTCATCGTAGGTCGCGGCTAGGTCAGTCAGATTGATTTTTGTGTCCTTGCTGAAAGAGAGAGAAAGGGGTTGGTTGTATGGATGAAAGAATCGCAGAGCTTACAGCGCAAGCAGTGACTGCTGCAGCCCAGTGCCGCAAATCACAACATCGTAGGGTTCCTCGCCAAGCGACTCCATGATATCTGTCGCTCTGGCTCTGGGACCCAAGCAGGAAAAATGGAAACAAGGGAGAAAAGCAAATACAGTATGTCTCAGCGTGTTTGTCAGGTGGTTCTTTTTCCGCTTGGAAGCAAACGGATTGATTCCATCCCGTCAGTGACCTGTTCAATACCCCACGCTGGTTTGGGCTGGTTGGTGGCTTACAAAGTTGAGGTCCACCATAGCTCAAGTGCCCAGGTACTTGGGTACATTAACTTTGAGAACTGCCACGGGTCCACCCACAGCCTTCAAAGTTCCACCTGGGCCCGGGCATTCAGCAGCCTGCAGCCCCCGGAATAATGAAGCGCCGCCCGCTACCAGTCGTCGCTGCACACTGAAATGCGCCGACCCAATTTCGCGAAGATTTTCTGCTCTTTTTCCCTTTTCCTACAAACTATGCCGCTCTACAACAACACCTGCTTTCTGCTGCTATTCTTCACAGCACTGCCGGCGAGGAGCGCCTTTCATTAGGCTGCTCGTATCAATGGGCGGCAGAGCGAATTGTCGTCCCGTATCTACTGTCCTGGATTCTCTACCTGATAGGATGGTTCGAAGGGTTGATATATGCATTCTAAATTCTGCCAGGTTCCTGTTCCAAGTTATCTTGACGGGGACATATCGGCGTTCCACTAGGTATTCCAGCCATGTCATGACTTTTACAACTAAAGGCAAGGCTGAATTCTGGTTGGGATATTTCTTGGGGGTAAAAAAGTGATCCTTGGTCTCATGATTCAACGAAGATGAAATGTCTGTCTACATGATACACAATGTGATACCAACGCACCTATCTGCTCACTTGTCAACCCGAGTGGCCGACTGCGCATACTGATTGATCCTAACATATTCCTTCTGGCTCATATCAGTATGCAGCCAACACCAATTGTTGTCCGTTCCTTGAGTGCCTGCATTAATCCATACGGCGCCCATGCAAAGACTCGTTTGGGCACACGATGCCACGCAGTCGTCCATGGAGTACGCAGGATGGTGGGACAGGTCGGATCCGTCGTGCGACAAGCCACACTCTCGCTTAAAGTCAATCTCGGTCGCCGGATCCGTGTATGTGGTCCCATTGGCACTGGGACAAGACGGCATCCCGGTCAAGGTCGGCGTCGGCCTGTTGCTCGATGTGCTTGTCGCTTGAGGTGACGATGTCGTCGCCGTTGGGCTATGTAAAATAGATAATGAGTTAGCCATCATGCACATGACTCGCATTGGCCTTCTTCCACCTAAAGTTGCTTGGCCTACCTAGGATTCGACGTCTGGTGGTGTAGCTTAAGGCCCAAGACGATGCCGAGGACAATGGCTATAATGAGCAAGACTGCGCATACCAGGATCCAGCAAAACGTGCGTCTCCGTGAACCGCATATCTTCTGATGCTTGAACAAACGCTCAAAAACGGATCTTTTTGGCGCCACGGGAATCTTTTCGGTTGTGTCGGGCTGGACCACTTCAAGCCCTGGCTCTGGCGGAAGCCATTCGGGTGCTTCTGACTGTGACATGTTGATATTAGTTTCTAAAGGTCTTGTTTTTCTCAGCTGATTCTGACGTTGATGATATTGCTTCTCGAGCAAGTCTGGAATGTAAAAGGCGTCACTTGCTCCATCGTCTGGAATCGACGCCGTGTCTCAGAAGACTTGGTGCCGTGATACCATTGTCGCAGATGCCCAAATGAGGCGAGAAGGAAAAAAAAGAATAAACACATTGTAATACTCTCAAGAAGGGATACAAGAAAACAGAAATCCCCCACTGACCTGAGCCCCCCTCGCGAACATGCTTGAATATACAGGCTCTAAACCTGGTTCTGGAGGATGCCACTCTGGGAGCGTCGACGACGTGGCCAATGTTGAGGCATTTGAAGCGCTCCAGCTGGCATATCGACTGTGTCCGTACAGGGTCTTCTGCCTTGTGAAGCCATCACCGTGCCTGAGGTCTGAGAAGTCGTCCGGCTGACATACATGGCCTGCCTCGGCGCAGTCCCAACAGTACGGAGCATCTGCCGCTTTCGAGTGTGGGCAAGTACTAGTAGAGGCAAGTGTCACAATACGAGATGTATGGTCATTCCCCTCCCAGGTGCTCTGTGTGGGTAATCTGAACCCCGTCTTGCCGTCGTGGTTGGCAGCGGAGGAGGAACCAAAGTCCATTGATTCTATTTTGCTCATCAATCGACGATGAAATAGCGAGCACTATGGTGCAAAGTCGTAAGATGTGGAATAAACATGTTACCTGTGCAGTGATTATTGCACGGTCTGTAGTAGTCGGAGAATGGAGCGAGAACGAATGGCTTCTCCTTCTTCCTCGCAAAGGGATACCTGATCCCTGATCGTTGTATCCATTATTGCTTCATGTAAACAAGTATGTTGGTAGAATCGACGATGTAAGGGACGAAGATTTGCCGCTATACTGGACGATTTTGCTTTGTGCTAGTATTTGTTTGCTCGCCATCGCCCTTGTTCACCCAGGGAGGATAGACCCGCAGCCTTGCCACTTTTCTTACCCTTTGTAACGGAACTTTTTCTAGTCATCTGCTGCACATCTTTCCTATTTGCTAGACTAGATTTGGTTGAAATGTTGCGTACTTCTGACCGTCTCATAGTAATGCCGCCACCTGCCATTCCTTCGTCTCATAACAATAGTGACTTAGTCAAACCATGCCCTATTCACAGCTTCTCGACAATATTACCGCTCACAGCACCAATAAAAGTGATAAAACGTTGCATCAGCAACGGAAAGCTCGGCTTGTTCTCCTTATGGCCGCCAAATGGAAAACAGAGAACGCCATCTGACTTTGGCGTATAGTTATCGGGAAGTACCATAATGGGCAATGCGCATCTCCCACAAACAGCCCACTGCGTTGATTTTCCAAGACATGGCACAACTCGACAACCCCCTCAATGTCCGTATTTGGCAGCGATCGACATATTTTTATAATACCGACATCCAATCCGCGGTTGGTGGTGAAAAGATCTATTCATAACTCGCATGGTTCGCGGCGTTGTGCTCACATTACAAACATTTTACGATAAATGAACATAAACTCTACGAGAAGCGTGAATGTAATGTCAATCCCTATAATTAAACAGCAGCTATGGAAAGCCAGTCATTGACCATGAGAGTTATTGCAAACTTATACACACTTAGCGTTGGTTATTATACAAGACAAAGGACAATGTAGCGGAGTAGAAGGTAACGCAAAGCTTCGACGAACCTACGGAGTATGATCTGTTTCCGAAACAAGGGCTGTCTCGGGTAGTACCGAAACGTCGTCCGGGAGAGAACAACATGTAAAGTCTTAGCCATTATGTCTTGACTCTTTGCCTACTTTAACATTTTAAAACTTGCATACCACCAGTGCTGCAAGTTCTGAGGAATATTTACGCAATTCAATTGCCTGATTGGGCGCAAGCCGTCCACACGTGCTTCTACGGGACGGGACGGCTTTTGCCGTGCTTCTTCCAGAAACCGGCCTGTATATGTCGCCCCGGGGTTCCAACTGGCCATGTCTGAGTTTGTCTCTCCATTTATATAGGAACCACTTATTAAGGTTCACGAATAAGAAATATCCCAACCGTCATGATAATTGCAGGACGCAAGGGGGGCCCCTGGGGAGCATGTCCAAAGGGACCGTTCGGCGGACTAAACCTTAACGCCTATCATGTGAAGTGCTGCAGTGCCGACGCTCCTGGAGGCTCGAGGCTGGCTGGCAAGGTGGGACCAATTTGAGGAACTTGTACGTTGATTGATACCCCATTACCAGAGTGCATCGATGTCATTATAGTATGAGAAACTTCGTACATACTGACTTCATCCAAATAGATTGAGATCGCTCCAGCTCATCAATAAATTATGGCCTGCATATTCATCAAACAAGACTAAACTTAGAATGACGTTTTTATGATGGTGCGTGGTGGAAACTATGCCAAGCCGTTTGGCATGTCTATAGGTGACCTGACCTCGAAGCCGTGTAGGAGAACCAACCTTTTCTCTTTTTGGTATAAACATTTTGCAATTTCTAGCCAATGAGACGGAATATGGAACCCTTGCCGTGTCAATGTAGATGCGAGATCGACAATGATAATAGCCTCATATCGCCATTTTTGGAACAAGAGCTCCGCTTAAAGCTCGCGGGTGACAGAGCAATGGCTGGAAGGTGGCGTCAACCCGAACTGCCTGCCATAGTTGCCGTATGCAATGTCCCAATCCGTATGGCAGCCTCGTGAGTAAGAGGATCGAAGATCTTTGCCATAACCGAACATCGTGAAATGTTGCGGATGAGAGGCGAGAGAACCAACAACAGTCCTTGGCAACAGAAGACCATGTATCAAAAGCTACAAGACAACCGGTGAGGATTTCATGCTGTAAGTGAATATAAATACCAGGCATCTCCTCCCCATTTACCCCGTCTCTTTTGACACCCAGCAATCATCTCCTGATCCAGAAGTACCATCGAGCCTTGCAGTCACTCATCCACAGCATCTCCACACCATCTCTCACAATCTTCTCATAAAACAGAAGTCAATATGCGTTTCTCAACCTCTTCGATCCTTGCCGCAGTCCTCTGCACCACTGCTGTCACTGCTCAAGTCGCTGGTCTCAACAAGTTGACCGCCGACGTCACCAAGTTCCTTGGGGATCTCACCTCAGCGAACATCGTTGTGAGTAGAAATCTCCAGTAAATCGTTCAAAACATTTCCCAAGCTCACATATGACTCTAGGCTGCCTCTGGAGATCTCCTCATTGTCGTCAATGACGTCAAAGTTCTTGGTCAAGGTGCGGGCGGCCTTGGCAGCATTGGCGCTGGAACCACTCCCGCCGTTGGCACTGCTTTCGTCAACCAGGTCGTCAACACTGTCTGCCCTGCCCTCGTGAATCTTGAGAACAGCATCCCGGACCTGCCATTCCCGGTGAACCTGCTTACCGCCACGGCAACCGGTGCCGTAAGGGCTATCATCAACGTATGTTGAAGAAGAAGAAGAAGAAGAAGAAGGAAACCCCCTTTTCCACATGAAGCAAAATGACTGATTGACATGCACACAAACAGACCATCCTTGCCTCTCTCAGGGCACTCCCGACTCCTGTCGATACCACCCCTGCTGTCACCTGCTTGAACGCCGTTGTCAGCAGCGCCACCAAGAGAGACACTGTTGAGCCCATCCCCGTTGCTTTTGCTGCATAAGCGCCGACATGTTGTGCTTGTGGCAAACAGGAATGATGGACTTCGAGAGTTTTTGAAAAAGAAGGACTCGGAGATGACTGATGGGCTGAGGTTTTTACTGCAATCTTTGCCCGGAAGGAGATGGATGCATTTCGGATGCATTCGGGTTACTTTTCTAACCCACACACCCTTTCTCTCTGCTAGTGTCTCGTTGTGTCTTGCCATCAGTGGGCAGCACGTCCGCTCATTCGATAAATCAATATATCCCGGGAACCCATAAATATCCTCTTGTCTTTGAAATACTTGGTGATTGAACGTATAGCCGGCGCGTACAGTCCCAAAAGAAGTAATGAATGAAAAGCCAACTCTTCCATCATTCTCTCGCTTCAACCCTACGCCCGCCAAGATATACACAAAGCTTGGTTGTACGCATGGTTTGACTGGCGCTATCGAGCCTCCCCAACGGTTGGCCGTCTTTAATCCCGTGGAATCTCTCCAAGTGTCGTAGGAATGGGACCGTGGCTACTTCTACATGTCACTTTGCGTAAAACCTGTATCACACTACTGTTACATATTGCAACTACTCTTTGCCATAGCTACTACCTAAGTATACGATATCATATTATAAAGCTAATATCAACATTTCATCAGTCCGGCAAGACATTGTTCAAATCTCTCCTCTCTGAACGGATTGCAGAAGTGACGCTGCTAGAAACCGTCTCTCGCCACTTGTGTCAACCTTCAAGTCATTTGCAGCCATGGTTGATGCTCATTTTCATATTTTTGTCAGCGTAGAACCGCCAGGGTTATCATCTCAATAATATAGGATTGTTAAACAATTCTTCAGAATTTAATATAAATCAATATGTACATAAAAGTAATTGTTCTTGTGTGCCCGTCCCAGGGTTTGTCAGCGCTAGACACCTCTGGCGGCAGCATGAGGCCAATGAACCGGTACAATCATGAGCAAGGAATGCTCCTCAGTAAAATCTTGTGAGAGCTGGTTTGCAGGCTCGGCAATTGCATAGGTTTGCTGTTGGTCCTGTGTACTTGTCCAAAGCTGCTAGTCTATGTCTTGAATAGGGACAGAACCTTGCCATGAATGGGCCTGAAGTAATCAAGCACAAAAAGGTATCGAAGCGACAAGGGCCATCCTATCATAATGTGCCTCTCCCCGTCGCCTCCCTCTCTGGCTTGCGCCTCGCCACGGCACTTCCAAAGACACCGCCAGCAAGCCCTGCCACGGCCGCGCCTAGAACCGCGGTCCCGTGGAACGCCGGCCGAAAGAGACCCCTCTCGAGATTTCGCAAATTTCCAAAATACCGCCCCGTACCATAGAGAATACTCCCGGAACCCAGGGCCATCAGGGTGCCCACCAGGACATGCGAATGCTGCTTATCCTGAGCCTTGCGGCGCCGCTCGTGCTCAACCTCTTCCAGAGACTGTTGTTGCTGTTGTAGGTGGGGTGCAACCAGTTCTGAAAGGTCGAGCTGTGAGAAGCGCTCCACGGCAATGCCGAGGGCGACGAACCCGAGACCCGTCCGGATCCAGGCCAGAAATGTCCGTTCCGAGGCCAGATGGTCACGCGCCACGGAGCCGGTGTTTTGATAGAGCGGCGTGGCAAACCGAGACCAAAAGGACAGCATGTTGGAGGGGGAGAGATGTCTTGTGATTCGTGTTCCTTGATTGAAAGACACGAGAAAAGAAATCTGTCCCGATGAATTGGATACTTATCGGAATTTGAAGTTGTTGATGTCCTGGCTTCCGAGTAAAAAAACGGGAACGGCGCCGCTAATCCAAGAGTACTACAATATATAGATAATCTATTGGCCCGTGCTCTTGGTTAAAGCTCCACCCATGTCTTACAAGTCCCTATCAGATCACAAAATGTCTATCCGATATCAAGTACTATATAACGAGAATCGAGCCATCTTTATTAGTCAAACAAAAAGCGGAGGCTTGGCGACATTGCGCGGCTTGCATACAACCAAGCATACCTTTTCTATTGGACAGTTATATTCACCTAGACTCATAATCACACCTCCAAGAAACATGTTAAATCATCGTCATTCATAATACACTCCGGAGCAATAAGCACCATTTTCTACTCAAGGCTATCTACACATCATCCGCTGGCATTAATCGCTAGAGCATGACATCTCGACTGAGGCAAAAACCCGATCGATGAGGGGGGTATCGTGCTTAACATGAGTCGCAATAACCAAAGGTATAGAAGACATAACACGTGCCAAGATGAAATCCAAGAATCGAGGGAAAATAAGAAGAAAAATCAAGCGCGAAAAGAAAACAACATGAAATGCAAACGCCGTGTCATCAAATGAGCCGTGAGGCTTTTCCTCTTGTGCAGCCGCGAGGCTCCTTCAATCTTTCATGATACCACAATATATTCTTGAGCGACCGACGTACTCGTCACATTCGATCGACGGTTCTCTTTGGTTTTATCTCCTTTTTTTCTTCTCTTTTTAAATCATCCTCATAGCAGCAGGGCTGCGAAATTTTGTTTGAGTGGTGCTGGAATAATCCACCCATATTCAAGAACAAGAAGACGCGTTGTATCGCTCTACTTTGTCCACACGCCTTTTTAATTTCGGGGTTTCAAAGCGGCAATAGCTTCATTTCAAAAATCAAATCCTTTTTTTCGTTGAAGCATTGTCGATGGCGCATATCAATACGTGATCACGCCATTAGCAAGAAGCCACGCTCTAGTGGCGGTGTCGTCTACCTGACGAGCTTCCTTCGTGTCGTTGTGAGTGACTGTGGCTGTGCCGGTGGTGGTGATGGTGACCGTCCCGCCGTGATGAGCTTGAATGTTCCAGCTCGCGTTCCAGTGATTCGACCCGCGAACGGTACTGTCTTACGATGTCTCTTATATGCCGGATGCGATCAAAGTCGAGTTCCAACTCATCTATCTGCTGCATGATGGCATTGAAGCGTGCGATTTCGGCATCGGCGTTGTCAATAATGTTTCCTGCGCGGTCATATTGTTGCATAGTCACAATGGAACTCTGCTCGCTCAAGTACTCGATTCGCTGCTGGATCTGTTGCATCAGGCGGTTTAGGTGGGACGAAAGAGCATGCAGGCTCGTACTATCCAAAAGCAGTCGGCCCTGTGACGACGCACGACTTGCGGCTCGCGAGGAAGAAGACCCCGCGGCTTGTGTCTGGTGGTAGCGAAGAAGCTGGATCTCGTCTTCCGTCAGACCCAGTTGTGTATCTGGGACCGTATTCGCCTCGGTCGACGGCATGGCGCTGCCACAAAAAAGACCCGCGCCTTGTGCCTCAAAGCAGCAGCCACTTGATTCCTGGCTACAGGTTGATGCCAACTAGGTATCGTGCAGCTTCGGCCGTACAGTACAGGGATTGGATCGTCGGCAGAAGCGGCTGCGGCGCGCCGAGGGGCGACTGCGGATGCAACGTCGTCTTGTATCGTTGGGAGAAGGCAGCTGGGACAGCCAGCTCTTGGTCAAGCGTCGAGTTTGGCAGCGCTCCGGGCCTCATTGTCTCAAGCGGTCAGGTTGATAAGCTCATTGCAGTAGTTCCATGGCAAGAAGTCAAGATGCTGAGGCGCCGCCGGGCAGCCGGGAAAAGGAAGAGACGGACGGACGTATTATCACCACCTAGATAAGGGACGGCGGGAGGATGGGAAGGCGAGATTGGGCGGCGGCGGCGGCGGCACAATGACGACTATTGCTCGTTCGGCGGGGGGTTGAGCGATCGAACGACCAGGCTGGAGAGCTTTTGGTGATACAAAAAGAACTGGTGTGAACCAGTTGAACCAGGCAAGGCACCCACACCCACACAGAGTCTTACTTTTCTTCTTTATTGAGTGCTCACACCTCGACTAACAAACACGCTATGTTGCTGTTGACGGGTGGTTGTTTCGACGGCACGGAGATGAGGATAATTGCTTCTTCCGCCGTCAAGTCGCATTAGTTGAAAGGCTATCGTAGCGACCCTCAGAAACCGAAATGCTGCTGCTGCGTGGACCTTTTTAAGTGACGGCAGACCGGTCGACTTTTGAAAGCCTCGTGGGCAATGCGTGCGGCTGCTGAATCCTAGAGACAAGGGGATATGTACAACCCCCCAAACTGAGACCGGTCGTTTGTGTATGTACTGTACCCTACGTACAGTACAGTACAATCCCGGGAGTTTCGTCCGTCCGTCGCGTGTGGAAGGGCGGTGGTTTGAGCTTTTTGTGACCGGACTACGTATGGTGGTATCCAGAGACAAGCCACCGGCCGAGGATTGTATCGAGTGTAGGACGACGCCAAGGTACGGGGTGTGGTCGCATTGACTCAAAAGGATTTGTCCGCGATGGATGGAGAATCTGCTCCAATTCAGTCGTTGTAGGTAGTCAGATCAACCATGAGTCGCCTCTGTACCCGGGTCCGTGGCTTTGCACCTTTTTAGACTTCAGCTTTTCCGGCAGGGGAAGGAAAAGCAAAAGAGGGCGCGAAGTTTCCTGACGCGTGTGGTTTTTTTCTTGAGCTGCAGACAGACCTGCCTGGACTGCACAAGAGGAGCGCAATCATTGATTGATCTCTGGATGGGAAACTGGGGTGGGGGGTGGAGGAGGGGGAACCACAATTGAACCCTCCAGTGGTTTGGGGGGGTTGAATCGGTTGATCAATGACCCAGAAAACTTCCTAATGTTCTCATAGTGGGCCACACGGCTCCTGGGACCCTTGTAGCATTTCAACTCCAGCGTATCGCGCACGCCGGCAAGATACCCTTGACTTATAACATTGATCTTACCTTGGATCATTCCATTCCTTGAACCTTTTACGAACCCACGTCGCGGCACTTGTGGGCGCTTGAGGAGAATTTCAATTTGGAGTGAGGCTATACTGTGGCCTGATATGGATTTTGTTTTCTTTGACATTGAGAACCCAAAGGTAGATAGATGATGCTGGCAGTGACCACTCTCGTTATTACCATCTCAACATCTCGACAAGACACGAAAGATCTCACCTCGGCCCTGGTTGAGGAAGGCAACAATTGATAGGATCGGTTCTGTAGCAGCCACACTCTCACCGAAAAGAAGTGCCACCCCCACATGCAAGCAACTAGCATGGTAATGGCATGGGTTTTGGAGGGCCTGGGAACGGAGGTCTGGGGGAGAGAATCCAACGAGAGTTGAGCGCTGTGCCTGGGGGTATAATAAGCTGACTTGAGTAAGAATACCTCACAGTAGCGCGCGCATCTCCTTACAGAGGTGCTTGTCCGTCGTTGATGGTTGGTCCCGTCCGGCCGGTTTGCTCGAAGATCATTTGCCAGTTGGGGAAACCAAAGCTTGTCAGATGCCCGCAATCTTGCTCTCCGATGAAACACACCCATCGAACGTCTATATAATCCATGTAATAGATGCCTTTCTCGTCCAGGTATTTATACCGCAGAAGCGCTGCCACCAGTTGGTACTTTATATCCCCACGGCATCGTCACATTTCTATGATATTCCAACATTCATCTCATGTCCTTGGGAATTGGACATGGCATGACGCTACACAAATGGAAACGAGAATAATAGAAACCAAGGACAGCAAGTCGGGTGATTCCGAATCGTCAATCCCAGATCATAAAACGGACTGATTTCTTCCGCTTCGCTTGCCGAACCACCCCAAAGCACCTGGACATGCTCGTGACAGATATCCTAGTATCCCTTTTCGCCGAGGCGAGCTCCCGAAGTCCTGATGCTACGTCATTCGACCCCTTGTCTTCATAATCACCCGAATTCCCATGTAGACAATGTAACGTAAATCATTCACTCATGTATGCTCTCGGGATCTCCAAGTGTTCCCTCTTGCAGCAGCCATGCAGGCACGGGATCTCACTGGTTGATTGTCTATATCATTGGGTGAAGTCGCTTGGGGATTATCACAACTCTAGAGCCTCGGATGTTTCTGGAACACTTCTATCGTCTCGCACGTGGGGTGCGTGGCCCCTCGATTGCCAATAATGCCTCGACGTTATCATATTTTCATACATTTTCCTGAGTAATCTGTGTAAACTATTGAAAGGTCCATTGTTTACTCGATACCGGCAGGTAAATGAGGATTATACATCTAGATCAAAAATAGGATAACTGTCAGTGGCTTGATTATGGATGAAGGGACAGTCAACAGAGTCTTGAGGACATCGCGAAATCACAAGACAGAATTGTTGACGCTCAGGCGTTCCAGTATCTCTTCATTGAATATCGTACTGACCTGCGCTCACTTATAGGGAGCGCGAATTCTTTTCAGCAAGATCAAGACTGAAGTGATTGCTTCAAAGGTTTTGGTCTTTCGGAAATTTTATTACCTTATACTCTGTAAACGCATCTGCTTTAAAAGAAAAAAGAAATGCTTTTGCTTGGATATATGGACTGAGAATTAAGGTCACTCCTAGCAAGATAACTAAATATTGCGTCTAGGACATATACAAACGCAAATAAACCGACACATCGATTTTCGGACATGCGGACATGCGCTGAACTTTCAGATGGCCCTAAAACTAGACTCAACATTCATGGCAATCGCAATGAAAGACTTGCTTATGAGTTTGTTGTAGGTAGAGATAGCGAGAGTGTTAAAAAGTGTTCAACCATTTTAATTTATGAAGCCGGTCCCAAGGTATAATCCTCCACCAGCGGCATAAGATAAGCGCTCCTTCAATACCTAGACCAAAAAATGGGAATTTCTGCGCCGTGGATCAAGTGATGTGAAGTAGGTTGGCCGACAAGGCTATTCTGGCACACCATAATGATGTGCAATATGGTCAGAACTTCCCGGTTGCATAGTACTGTCCGAAGCACGACTATAAGCGCCTCGATATAAACGTCAGCATGTGCAGAATTGCGTGATCAACCTTTATTATCAAACCGAATTGCCTGTCACGGGGTCGTTGAGGGATAGACAAGGAGTAACCACACTCTGATGATCCAGGAATATTTAAAACATACACAAATGTCAAGTTTCTATATTCAACGCCAGGTATGCAGGTTATTTCCCCACCGTCATAACAATGCAAGGAGCGAGATATGCTGTGATGCACATGATGGAAAACACCTGAATGATGTGCATATCAACGTTACCAGAGTTGAGAGCCGCAAACGCGCTCCGATCCTGGATTGCCGGCAGCCAGCGAGCCATGTAAGCTTTAGGTTTTACTCGGTCCGATCGTTGGGGCTTATAAGCCGTACCTTGCGTTACGAAGGACTGCTGATATTTGTGGTTATCTCTTCTCCTGCAGTAACCACCTCCTCCTGCAAGGGCCCAGGGGCTTGTTGGTCCTTTTCTCAGCTGTACGATCACTAATGTAGCTGATTGGGAAATCCATGAGTGCAGCAGCGACAGTGAAGAGAACAGATCGACAGCTACAATCTGACAGCAGCGGCGAATGTATTTGCTTGCTTGGTGCGATCTTCATCACGTAGTGTACGCCGGTTACTCAATAGCTGGGTTTATTAGTCGGAGAGATCCAGCGAGCTGTTAAAAACCCACCTAAATTTCCAAACAGTGTCGGGTGCCTTGGAACTCGCAGTTGGGTTGGCTGTTGGACCTTGAACTATAATTGTTTAGGTAAGACACCAAACTCCCAGGAACAGAGGTTATCACTGGAGCCTGTCTGTGCCTGGCTGTACCTGCAATCCCCACCACTACCACTACCACAACGTAACACCATTGAGAAAGTGGCGTGGAGATGAGCATGCTGGCGCCATCGGCTGCCAGGTACATGAAATAGGTATTACGTGGGTACATGGTGTCAAGACAGGTAATTGCATTCAAGACAACTCTATCAAATCCCACAACATATGACATACTCTCTAAAGTACAGAATGCTGCTGCGTAATTTCAAGGCGCAAGAAGATATGTCGGGTAGTGATGGGGGGACCTTCTAGTTTGGCCTGCTGATATGTGCACTGGAAATCTCGTACCTCTGAGGCGCCGGCTGTGCAAGATGATTGCAATGCCTTTTAAGGTGGAGGCCAAAAGCCAAGGCCCGTTGATAGTCTCGCTCTTACAGCTAGAGCTAAGCCTGATGTTGCTAGCCACACTTCCACTGGCTCCGCACTTGATCAGGCCAAGAAATCAGCATTTCCCCCAAAATGGCCAAAACCGTGGCGAATGGAGCCGTGCAGGAGTCAGTGATGGTAGTTGGAGAGCAAATTGTAGTTAGCAATGCCTCTGTCAAACTCTTTGGTTTCGACTGAGCTAGGTTAGGTAGGTACTAACTGTATTGATCATTGCTTCCAGTTGGTGCAAAACTGAAATAGTGACATGTTTCCATACATTATCCTACCAATTTTCATCTGCATACACGTTGCTACATATATAGGTTTGTATACAAGCTCGACCTGGAGGTAGTGATCGGTGTCTTGCACAGCCTGGGCTTGCGTACGTCCATGTCTGGGCTCTTGTCTGTGTCGTGGGTAGACAGCGCCAGTGCTTCTTTGCTTGGATGACCTCGCCAAAGGTATGTGTGTACGTCGTGTGTGCGGACCCCCCCTAGATCCGATCAGATTGCCACGGGCCGTTTCCTAGCGGTGACACGGCGTTTGTGTCAATGTAAGAGAGTGAAATAGAAAGGTTCCGCATGACCTGAGCCGAATGAAAACTTCAGTCCTTTTACTTTCGTTGCAATGTATATCCATGGATGTTCAAGACCTTTCGGGGTCACAAAACTGCTTGAATCACTGCCGAACTGCATGTCCCAGCCTTCCTTGCTACGGTTCCTTCTGAGCCCTTGCGTCCGAGATGCAACATTATTAGAGGCCAAGAATCTCCCGCTTACCCAACGTTCGTTTTATGGGGGTTTGCCGAATGGGGAGATCAATCCCTTCTCCATCTTCTCCACCTTGTGCATGTCTCCCAGGGTCTTCGCAGCAGGCCAAGCTGCTCCTTTAGAACCCCAACTCCATTTCAAGCTCCAAGAAAAACGTCAAAAACCATCTCCAGTACCTTAGTTATAGTGCATCAGCAAACTCTACACGGTTCCCCAGGGTTAGACACTCTAAAAGGGGATATCAACAGTCTGTTTGTGTGCGCAATCGATAACAACAAACTTCATCCTCAACGCGGTTCCCATAAAAAAAAAAACCAAACATCTAGACCCTGAGGTTCTTGAGCCTTTTCATTTCAATCAAATACAGGTACCTGCCAACCCGAAGGCCCTGTCCGCCCAAAACATCATAACTATCCGTGTTCTCCCCGCCACTAACCTCTACTGGACCTGCAAGACCTGGACCTGGACCTGGACCCTGTCCCCGGCTTGACGTACCTGGCCCGGTGCTCTCCACCTAAAAAGAACGAACGCGCGCCACCTTCTCCTGCCATTCGCCCTTCTCTGCTTGCTTGCTTCTTACTTACACCCAGTGCTCCCATCAGCTGCGCCCCCCCAGGTTTCAACCTATTGGTCGTTGTTGATACGAGCTGTGCACCACCACTCGTTATCATCGTATTTCCTCAGACTTGTCACCATCGTCGGAATCCATTAACTTTGACGAGTTTTTATCCCGGCTTTGACGCGACGAGTAAGCATCTACTCACCCGCTACCTAGCTAGCAGAACAGAGATCCTCCTCATTTCGATACAAATCCACTCTCGAGGCCTGCGAATCTCCGTGCGCAATATTGGTTTTCCTAGGTGCCACTCACTACCTAGATATCCTCACCAACTCCCGCAGCATCCAGTCTGTACATTGTGCAATTCTAGACTACTTCTATGCGGCAAACCTCAAGCACTCGTCATGATGCCCAAAACCAGTCCTAGGCCAGATGGCCTCAACACTGCCGCTCCGCAACCAGCACAAGCAACACAACCTGCGAAGCGCTTTCAATTGCCGGCGCTGAACCTCTCTTTGGGCTCTCTGACGGAGGGAACTGACATCCCGCCACCCATTCCATCGCCAGTCCAGGAAGTTCCCACACCACCAAAGACCCCGCCAGCCGATGATGCGCCCAAGAAGACAACGAATGGCGCGGCTAATGTACAGACCAATGGCTTGGATACTTCTCCCAAGTCGGATGTCTCAAGCTCTACGAATGGCGGATTGAAGCGTCCGGTGGACCAAGGTCCTGTATCGCCCACCTACTCGAGCCGTGGCAGCTTGCGACGGTATCTAAGCAAGAATCTACTTCACAATGCTTATGATGAGCAAGCTTCCATCAGTAGCCAAGTTGCTTCTAGACCCCCTAGTCGTACAGCAAGTGTTGCAGCAGAGGAGCGAAAGGCCAAGCGTGGCAGTGGATGGTTCCGACGTCTCCGGTCGAATGACTCAAAACGAAACAGCATGCAACAATTCGAAGAGGTCCACGTCGAAAAGAAGGGGCCACCACCGCCCACGATTCCCGAGATGAGCGCCTTTAAGATTGATACGGCAATTGGCGATGATCTCTTCAAAGAAATCAAATAGTGGGCGTGTCCACATAGGATATCTCTCATTACGACAGCCTCACTACATTGACGCCAAAACACCTTGCAAACGAACAGACACCTACATGCTGCGACGAGGTAATGAACCTCGTCTTGTACTCGCTTTGATCATGTACCTTCTGGAACGACAAAACTGCGAACAAATTATTGCGACCTTTTCCACGACCCAATCATTATTGCATTACAAGACCACTAATTGGCACGGCCTTCAGAGGCGGCCATAATTTGATACCCAGCTCTTATGCGAGCTCATTCATCGACATGACGTCAAATTTTCTATTGTTTGCTTTCTTCGACTACTTATTGAAAACTACTCCCCTTACGCTATATTTGTTTTATATCAGAATTCGACATTTGTCATTGAAACCGAAAGCGCCTACCTCGCAGCTATTGTATTCGTCAGATCTCGTGCTATCTGTTCGAAAGGAGAGATAGGAGATCAACATCGATGATTCATGTATTCCTTCACCAACCATACCCGAAGATGAAGAAGAACCTGGGGCTAGGAGAAACATGAGACTTTGGAAGAGGTCCTCTGAGGCGCTTGATGGCCCATTGCGAAACCAGATGGCAAGGACACCATTGTCTGACTCTAACTATCGGTTGACGTCTTCTGCTACGTGCTCATGGGTTAATGAGAGCGACTGACGTCTTGGATTCATTTTTCTTTTCAATGAGGAATTTATTGCTGGGAATGGGGTTGTGCAACATCCACCACAGCATGTAGGCAGAGATTCATTCCTCCAAAGAAAACAATACTCTACTTCGGCACTTCCCAACCCATGCCATTGGGAAGTGGCAGAGTTTCAACATTACTCGCTTCAACCTTGCCTATGCCTCGTGACCATTGTTTGAATGTGATTACTATTGTTTACAATCCATACGGAACGAGCATTCAAATCATGGCAAAACCCCTCGGCATCAAGTCCGTAAGACAGCATCAACCTTCAAGCCACATCTGAGCTTAATAAAAGGTGGTAAACAGCAGGAGTTTGTCGCGTGGGTCAGGAACCCGTGTAAGCCAAAGAGGTCAAGCTCTGGCCAATCAGCTCAATTGTCTGGTGTGGGTACCGAATAGAGCTATGGACCAACGGCACCTGTAACGTCATTGCCGAGCTGTTGCCGATTCAAAGCTCCAGAAGCTCCGAGACCCTTGATTGCCAGCCAACCTCGACCACCTACTTTTTTTTTTTCCCACCCGTCCGAGTTGCATAAGTGGACTGCTTGAACAGCATAACCTCTGAAGCCATCTGCAAGGAACCACGATCAAATTGTAAACTAAAATATTTCAAAGTGCTCAGCAATTGCCCTCATGGCTTCTGTCAGGTGCTTCAGAGCCTCGGAGGTGTTGTCGACATGTTCGCCCCGTCCGGCGCAATGCGCAAGCAGCAAGATCGCTTCGGCCCCACTAACACAACGTCGATACAAGTCAGGCCCTTATGGATATACACAAGCCAAGTCTTTGGTGTTTAGCAAATTTGGCGAACCCAATGACGTACTCAGGTTGGCAATCCCTCTTTTTTGAAGTAATCAGCTGGATCGGTGGCAGCAATCCCAGGGCTCTCCTCATGTATAGTGGATGAACTAACACGAAGCTTCACTTATCCAGGTTACACACACATTCGATAAGCCCATCGCTCCCATCCTCGTCTCTACTGCTGCGCGCCCTCGCCGCCCCCATTAACCCGGCAGATGTGAACACGATTCAGGGTACGTACGGCGTGAAGCCGTCATTCTCACCGTTGATCGGCACGTCGGAGCCGTCAGTGATCCCCGGCAATGAGGGCGTATTCGAGGTAGTATCGGGCGCAGCGTCGAGCGAGCACGGCGACATCAAAAAGGGCGACTGGGTGATCCCAGCCAAGACGGGCTTTGGCACCTGGCGCACGCACGCCGTGGCCGAGGCCGGCAGCGTGCTCAAGGTGGAGAGGGACGGACTCACGCCCACCCAGGCCGGCACCGTTGCCGTTAACCCGTGCTCGGCCTATCGCATGCTGCGCGACTACGCCGACCCGGCCCTGCGCGAGGGCGACTGGTTTATCCAGAACGGCGCCAACTCGGGCGTCGGCCGCGCCGCCATCCAGCTCGGTCGCCTCTGGGGCTACCGCAGCATCAACGTGGTGCGCGCGCGCGAGACCCCCGAGGCCACCGAGGCTCTGCGCCGCGAGCTGCAGGATCTGGGCGCTGACCACGTCCTGACCGAGGAAGAGTTCCAGAGCCGCGAGTTCCGCGACAAGGTGGCCGAGTGGACGCGGGGCGGGCGCGAGGGCATCCGCCTGGGCCTCAACTGCGTCGGCGGCAAGTCGGCCCAGGCCATGGCCAAGAGCCTCGGTGCCAGCGCCAACCTCGTCACCTACGGCGGCATGTCGCGCCAGCCCGTCGCCCTGCCCACGGGTCTGCTCATTTTCAAGGATATCCGCTTCGTGGGCTTCTGGCTTAGCCGCTGGGCTGACCGCAACACGGCTGACAAGTCCAGGACCGTCAATGAGATTCTTGGCCTTGTTCGCGAGGGTAAGTTCCGTGATACGCCCGTCGTCGACGTCCCATGGTCCTGGGATACGGAGGAGGCGTCGTTGAGGGAGGCCGTTCAGGGTACGCTGGAGGGCTTCAGGCAAGGAAAGGGCGTTTTCGTCTTTGGGGAGACTTGAGCAAGAGGGAAAGGTTGTGGAACATGAATGCCACCAAGGCACAACTGGTATAATGGATTCAATGTACAAACGGCAGCATTACAACGGAGCACTTATTTAGGGAATCTGGCGCGGCTGTTGATGCATATGAATTCAATCTGCACAACGCCCGGCCAATAGAACTAAGCAAATAAATCATTACTGATCAAACTACTTGAGAGGAAGACTGTCCAATGTCCATGGCGTGTTCCATCTAGCGCAAATCTATTTGTTACGCCAACGCTTTATTGCGTAAGAAATAATGACCTTCGCAACCTCGGCCATGCTGTGAAAGTGTTTCCAAAGACGTACCGACATCTTTGGCTCAACTGTCATGATGCTGTTTCCAGCGGAAACCTTGCCCTGATCCAACCTCCGAGAGTAAAAGAATAGTTCTTTGGTATAGCCATGCCAGTTTGGCGAACACGAGTTCCATACGTTCCATCTCCATACCCCAATTTGTGTAAGGGATCATCGACTCTCTACTTGGAATCAGCGACAATGATTGCGCTATCAGCTGTAGCTCCCAGTATAGATGTTACTTTATTGGACGCTCCTTTTGAAGTCCGGTTCTAATCAGACTTGGCATATTGCTGAGTCCACTCTCGTGCAGTGGCAATGGCCTTGTTTTCGTCCTCCTTCCAGCTCTTGGCAACATCGGCTGCGAGAGGGTCATCGGGATTGGGTGCGCCAAGGAGGGCTTGGATCGAAAGTAGGATGGTTCGAATTTGGAGTGCAGGAGACCAGTTGTCTGTGCCAAAGTGTCAGCAAGGGCTATTCTATATTCACCAGTTGAAGCCTTGGTTCTTACTCTTCAGAACATCGAGACAGATGCGACCAAGCTTGTCGACGTTTGGGTGGTAGATCTTGGTCAGGAAGCGGATCTTGGGAGGAACCATGGGGTAGTCATCTGTCAGAAACAGCTCGAGCTTGAACTTTCCACCTGCAATCTAAAAGTTAGCAGATACTATCAGAATGATGGCGGCAAGTGAGGTGGTCGACGCACCCTCGTACGGAGAACCAGACGGTCCGTGGATCTCGACGTCAAAGTATCGGAGGTTGTCCTCGTGGGGGACGGCGCTGATACCGGGAACCCTGCGGACCAAAAAATTAGAGACTCTCATCAAGGTAACAGAAGTATGCAATCGTGAGCCTGGACCACTTACGGCTCTGTCATCAACCGCTCGGTCTCCTTGATTATTCTCTTGGGCAACGCCATCTTTGCTACTGATACACCTGTGGGTTTGGCGACGATGAAACGGGCAGATCCAGATTTCAAGATTCCGGAATAGAGAGTAACAGGTATAGTTGGTGAGACCTGTGTGCTGGTCGAATGCTTTTGGGGGGTCTGTAGCTGGTGCGCGGAAAAGATGGTCGTTCCAAGTAAGGGTAGCCTTGGTAATGACTGGTACGGCTGCTGAAGTCGCGGGCGTTGGTGGGGTTCCCTCTAGCAGGTGACTTCAACGGCGGATCTCGAAATGTAGACTTGATGGAGTAATCGACGGCAGATAGTGAAGGTGAGCAGAAGACCACTGTCGGGAGGGGAAATAAAAGTTGGACGGTGTCTACTTTGCAGCAAGTATATCTGTTTGTCAAGAAGAGTCGCAGAAAAGACGTCACAAAACTTGAACAGAAATTGATATTTCTAGCATTGACGGGCGCTGTACGATAAGAATCGGCGGGGTGTTTATGAGTCGCATCATGGAAGCTGAAGGGGCACTTTATTAAGCGTAGGCCCAAAGATGCCCCTCATTCACACATGAAGGCCAGAGAGGTAGGAGGTACCCTTGGAGCCAAAATATGACGCGGGAGTACTTTCCTGCACTACTAGCTCTTTAAGCATTGTGCACGGATCGTCTGACCTAGTCTGGGCGCTCGGGCCTTCACTGCCAGGAACCTCTCTCTTGTCTGGGGGCTGCTTGAGCTGTGTGGATTTTTGGCCTGTCGAGGCTCACTCACTGATCACTTTCTTTACCTTATGTAAGTTTTATAATCTGCCTGGCGAGGCACCATGGCACTGTCCATCAAACGGCCTTTAATTATCACATCTTTGTTTCTGTAATATTTCTGTGCTAGGACAATACTATCGGGACTTTTAATTGATGGGATGTGAGAAGAGTTTACGCGCCACGCGAGGCAGCTGGGCAGCTGGTCCGGGACGAGCTCGAGTCCTACGACGGACAGCACGCATGCGATAGAGGCCGTCTGTAGAGAGGCAGATTCAAAGGCAGCCTGCAGACGAAAGAACACATTGGGCCACCCTGAAACGAGGCTCCAAGGCCGACGCAAAGATGCCTACTGTAATGGATCAAGTGAAGAAGAAGGCCAAGGTCATTCGGACCGCAGATGAGAGCGAGACCTTTGAGGCCAACGTGACCATCCACGTAGATGGCCTGGTCGGTTCTGCTACCATATCTCCAAGTGGTCGCGATGTCGCTCTTGCATCGTAAGTGGCGTTGCGCCCCCATGTGCTTGCATCTCTGATTGACATTCATTCAGACCGGAAGGCCTTGCCATTATCGATTTGGACTCGCCTTACAACCCGCCTCGCAGGCTGAGCAGTCATGGCTCCCCGTGGCTGGTGGTCGACGTTCAATGGTCGCCATTTGCTGCGCGCGACTATTGGGTGGCCTCAACGGCTAATCATCGTTGTCTCATCTGGAATCTCAACCTCCGAGAAGATGCGGCGAATGGTGCCATCGAACACTCTTTGCAGGGCCACAGCAGAGCCATTACTGATGTCAACTTCTCTGCGCACCACCCTGACATCCTTGCCACATGCGCTGTAGATGGATACGTTCACACCTGGGATCTCAGGAAACCAAGAAAGCCTGCGCTGACGTTCTGTGATTGGTATGCTGGAGCCACACAAGTTAAGTACAATCGTCAAGATTCAAACATTCTTGCTTCGTCCCACGATCGGTGGCTGCACATATGGGACGAGAGAAAGACATCGAAGCCTCTGAAATCTATCAATGCTCATGCATCCAAGATTTACGGTCTGGACTGGAATCGGACACGTGATAGCAGTGTCGCCACATGCTCTTTGGACAAAACTATCAAGCTCTGGGACTACAAGGTTTCTGATGATCCGGAGCGAGTTATGAGGACAGACTTCCCGGTTTGGCGCGCTCGACATACTCCTTTTGGATCAGGACTTCTGGCCATGCCACAGAACGATCCCGGCAACCTCTATCTTTACAACAGGGAGCGTCAAGAAAACGAAAATGCTGATTCTGCAGTTGATCCTGTCGCTGTCTTCCCAGGCCATGGAAGTTGCAAGGTCAAAGAGTTCCTCTGGCGGGTTCGTGGAGGGATTCATGATGGAGTGGATCAACGCGACTTCCAATTGGTCTCCTGGGGCGAGGACAACGAACTGCGTCTTCACCAGTTGGATCCCGAATTGCTTGAACAGGTCGGCCACGTCAGGGGTGGACAAGCCCCTGGTAATTTGAAAGTCACCAGAAAAGGCGCTGCGTACAAGTCGTACCGATCGCTGGGGGACACTAGTCTTCGCGAGAGAAGAACCACCACCATGAGTAGCGGACCCCGTCCCGGTAGTGGAGGCGATCCCTATAGGCGCAGTGCACTTGGATTCGGGATTCACTCTACGGGACATCGTCCTGGCTCTACATCGTGGAGGGGACCTCCAATGAGGGCCAAGATGACCTCAGGCAAGTCCATTGATCGGAAGCCGGATCAACTCGGTTGGATGAAGGGCATTACCATGAGCAAGAAGAAACGACCGCATATTGAGCCTCCGCAAAGAAAGGACTCCAAAGATTCAAGCATGTTTGGCTCAACCTATCATGATCATTGGGAAGAACCAGAGACGCTCAACGAGGAGATTGTCCGCCTTGACAACCGACTTCCCAACGTGAATTGGGACAGTGTCGACATGAATACTCTCATTGTTGATGCTTCTCTCAAAGGTCCCTGGGGCCCAGAAGGTGAAACAATATACCTCAAAGTCAAGGTTGACGTGCCCCATGGCTACCCCAAGTCCAAGGCGCCAAAGTTCATCATTGAGAAGACGGCACTGATGTCGGATCAAACTCACCAGAAGATCGAGGCAGAAGTCAATCAAGTTGCGTATCAATTTGCAAAGAAGAAGCGCAACTGTCTCGAAGTGGCTTTCAGTTATCTCCTCGGAGAGACTGATTTGTCCAGCAGTACATCATTCTTTAAAAATGTTCGAGACTTGGATGATGAACTCGATGCCATGGCTGATGAAAGCTCGAGCGAGGATGAGGATAACGATATACCTGCCGGGGGCTCGGCCAGCATGTCACAAGAGCTGACTGCTAGTACCGAACTCGATCGTGATGCAGCACTTGCGCCTTTGAACATCGGAATTGTCCCCCCGGAGCCTCGCCTATGCGGTGCTCGGTGGTCAAATGACGGCCGATTAGTGTGTTTCTTTCCATCTAGGGAAGAGAGGGCCAAAGCTTTGTTTCTCACGTCCACTGAAGCCGCCAAGGAAAAACCCAAAGGAGAGCCCACGTTTGCTGGCTTTGGAAGACTGCAGCAAGAGTCTCCGGAACCTCGACAGAGACATATTGATGGATCTTCTGTGGCGGATGAGCAATCTGATACAGAAGACGATGATTCCTCGAGTTCAAGTGATTCCGAAAATACCTACATGCACAAGATCAGCATGTGGTACTTGCCAAACAAGCGATTCCGAAAGACCTTTAGTGGGAGCTACTCCATGCGCTCGAGTGGTGGTGGTACAGGCGTTGACACGGGGACTGGCACTGGCACCAGCAGGCGACGTAACGCACGGCCCCGGAATGTGATATCCGTTTATGATTTCCGTGATCTCTTACCATCACGTCAGGACCTTGCTCGAGAATATGCCATATTTGGAGACGGCCCAGAAGTGTGTTACCACAACGCCAGAGTTGCTGCAAAGTATGGCCGCCCTGATTTAGCACAGGTTTGGGAGTATGCTGCCTTGCTTCTCCGTAACGACGTGCCATTGGAGCTCCTGGACCCAGCACAACGTAAGGATTCGATCCTCGTTGTTGCCAAGAACATTGTCACTCGTTTCAAGGATCAGCGGTCGAAGAAACCAGGCAAGTCTCTCACAGGCAGGGTAAAATGGGGTCATCATCCACTCGGCAAAGATGTCATCAAGGACCTATTTGACCATTTCGAGGCAATGGCAGACATACAGATGCTCGCTATGCTGTCGTGCATATTTAGTGAAGCGGCAGCAGAGGACAGCGTCGCGTATGCGGAATCCCGTCTTACACAGCCAGAAACACCACTGCCCATGAAAGCGCCGTCATTCTCGCTTGATTATTTCCCTACGGATGCGTCGTTGTGGCATACAAGTCCAGCCTACCAGAGCTATGCAACATCAGCTGTAACGACGCCGGGTACTGTACACACACCTTCGCGGATGCCAGGCTCATGGGGATCTCAGGAGAATTACTGGCTCGGAGATCCTGGATCCAATTCTTACTCTTGTGGAGAGACGCCCCCCAACAGGACTCCCAAAGACACGCTGTCCGAGCATGATGCCACACAGAGCCTGTCCACATCACCTGAAATCAGAAACTTGCGGCGTGGCAACAACTCCTTGGCACAGGGCTTTGCTTCCAGCTTCCCTCGGCCGTTTACGACAAGCACGGCCCCTTCCTCGCCGCCGACGCGCAAGCGGCCAAGCCCAGGAGAAAACTTCTTGGCCAACCTAACGCCAAATGTTACCTGGGGCGGTAATACGGTCATAGCTCCTGTTTCCGAGCCCACCACCACTCGCAATTCCATCTCAGATGATGGGCAGAAAAGAGACGAAGAACAACCACTTGTATGCACTTCTATTTATGTACAGATGGAAGACCAATCCCAGTTTGACGATGACGGTTGGCTCTCGGTTCCCCTACTGGAGCCTCCGCGCGCTGCTGTTTACGAACACTACCGCCATACATATGCCGAGTTGTTGTTCATGTGGAGCCTACCTCTTCCTCGGCTCGAAATACTGAAATTCAATGTCTTGAAGACATCCACGCAGGCGAACAACTCGTCCCAGCTGGGTGCTCTCGACCATGACAGCTTTCATGATTTCCAGAGTAATGACAACTTGAGCCACACTACCCTTACTCTGACTCAAAATGGAAGCAAATCACCCATTGCGCTTGGAAAGAAGGAGCACCTTCAATCGATTGTCAACTCGAGTCGCGGCCTCGACGTAGTGGGGCTATGCCGTATTCACGAAACACACCTCGAGCCTGTCAAGTCAATCTATGCTAATGCAACTTCAGGAGGAGCAGCAGGGACTTGCGAACGCTGCAAACGTACACAATTGCAGCTCAACTGCGTCTATTGCCGCGAGCCTCTTGACGCAATGTATGTTGCTTGTTTCGGATGTGGCTGTGCGATGCACGACTCCTGCCTGGACGAGTGGCATTCCTTTGGCGAAATGGAATGTCCAGCTGGAGACGAATGCAATTGCGTCGAACAAGCATTCAGTGGCCAAGTGGAATCCTGGGCCGTGCTACAAGGTGCACTCCGGCAAGGCAAAGTTCACCTGCAGCGCCCCTCGGATGAGAGTGTACCTAGAACTCCAAACGGGCAGAAAACGGACTTTTCTGAAAAGAGCGACTGGGAGAGTATAGCAAGTGGGTCTCAATTACCGGCTGCCGATGCTCAAGGCAAACCTGTCCTTGTGGGTGATGGCCAGCTGCCTTTGAGCGCTGCCAGAATCAGCCTCGGTAACCGTCTGAGAAAGTCGGCGGGGACTTGGGGCAGCACGGCCAGTCTAAGGAAGAAGTCCGGAAGTGTATCATCAACATTAGGAAGAAAATAGGGCAGCTTCTCATGAGGGTGTGTCATTTCCGTGAATTGAATTGTATCATAGGAGCGCACGATGGCTTGGCACGAGTTGAAAGCCTATGTACGTATATTATTGATCTATAATTTGCTCATGGAAGTAAGAAGATAATGCACAGCGTTTTGTTTTGAATATAGTGTGTGTACCATGTTATGAGAGTACTGCCATATGGAGATAACTTTTGACCTTGAACACAGCCTTTACAGGTCGCTTGGTGTTACATTCTGTTCGCAAAGTGACCATGGGCTTACGACCAGCCGTCAGTAAAGGAGATGTGACTGTTTTTGAGAATTATAATAGCTTCTTCGCATAAGCGGCAAAAAGTCTCTTATCTTTATAGTAAAACAGTCTGATGACCCGAGCTGGAACATGGATCAGTCTCAACGAAATACAACCTAAAGAAGTTCGAGACAACGACGACTTCGCCATCAACTATTCGTATGAGAGCTATTCTAGCAAACAGTACGACTTTGAGTAACAAGAATCCACAGAGCCTACTCAGGCTACCAAGATGAATTCAAAGAAATAAGAAAGATAGACGGGAAAAAAAAGAAAAAGAAAAAGAAGCGTAGAGCACAGAATCTCGCTTGCTGATCAAATGTTTCCGTGCCAACTTAATGTCGTGGACCTCTGATGGCATTGTTCATCATTAAAACCATTCCTTCCAAGTATCAATCCAATGAATCCATGTTTTACCATGGCAGTGCTGTATTGCCTCTAGTCATCAATGTCAAGGCACTATTTCTTCTTCTGAATCGATGTCATGGATTCGCGACCAGGATGGAGAGTATAGTGAGTCCCGACCAAGACTTTCTCATTCCCGACATTACTCCCCTTACAGCTTGGTATGTCCTCCAGAAGCGTCATACTCAGCACCCAACATGAAAGCTGGTAAACTAATCATTTGAGGTTCTCAGCCGTCGCTTCCGCTCATGTGTGGCTTCCAAGCCAAGATTTTAATCTCTCAGACTTGGTTCTGGGTACACCTGCCCTAGTCTTCAAAAGAGCAACTATAGAGTCGTGTCCGGAGTGCTTCGCAGTTTGGAGCGCATTGCGTCCTCTATAGTTTCGTATTTTCCAATCTGCGCCGTACCTCAGCAGTGTTTCAACAATATCAACATAATTCGATTCGCAAGCTCGATTGAGACATGTATTTCCATCGGCATCTTGCACTGTGGGGTCGGCGTGATAGTCAAGAAGCATCTTGACGAGGCGCACATTGTTGTTGGTTACAGCCCATGAAATGGCAGTTTTACCATGAATATCAATCGCATTGACGCAACTGATTCCCGCTGTGAGAAGAACTTCGACCACGGCTTCCAAAGGGGGCACAAAACTTGACTTCTTTTCGATAACCCATATGAGTGGGGTCTGCCCGTTGTTGTCCTTGATAGATGGGTCAGCCCCTCTGTCGAGAAGTAGCTTGACTTTATCGACATCGCCTGGCCATGCAGCTCGGTGCAATGGTGTTTTCCCATCTTTATCTACGGCATGTATATTGGCACCGCTTTCGATGAGCAGTTTGACTTCATCGACATCGCCATGAATCGTAGTGTAGTCCAATGGTGTTTCTCCGCTGATATCCGTGGCATTCGGGTCAGCGCCGCGTTTGAGAAGCAAACTGAATATTTCGATACTTTTCGACAATAAGGCTTGGTGTAACGGTTGCATCCCGTCTTCATCTTTAGCCTGCACATCAGCCATCTTCTCAAGAAGAAGATAAACTACCTGGATGTGACCGTTGAATGAAGCAACATGGAGTGGAGTGCGACCCTCATTGGTCGTACAATTGACGTTGGCACCCCCTTCGACGAGTAGCCTGGCTATCTCCAACCAACCATGCTGTGAAGCAACGTGTAGAGGTGTTACCTGATAGTCGTTGGCAAGATCTGGATTGGCCCCTCGCTCGAGAAGCAGCCTGACTGTATTGATATATCCTTTCCACGACGCAGAAAATAGCAAAGTCGACCCGCGAATCCTTGTGTCTGGATCAAAGCTTGCGTCTAAATGACGCGCAAGATCTGCCATGCTAGCCAAGTCGTCTTTGAACGCGCTCTGGTATCCTGGTACGTCCAGTGGCTCATGCAAAGGCACCGGACCTGGTGCGAGCTCGTGCTCGTCAGTTGTGTAGATATTCTCTAGCTCAAGATGCTGTCGAGTCATTTTAGGACCTGTGCTAGCTACCAGGGCTCGCTTACGATTGTCAGCTTCCGTAGCGATATGGTCTCGGACATCTCTCAGCTCTGTATAGATATCTGCAGCCTCATCGCTAGATATGCCATACAGTTTCACTGCGACTGTTTCGGCCGATTGTAGACATTCTTCTGATGTGTTCAAGTCGCCAGCCTTTTGTGAGCACCTTGCTAACCCACGAAGTAGTGGTAAGAGAGCTTCGTCACAATCGGGTACTTGCGTCGTTCTGAGGTACTTGATTGCACCCTCGAAGAGCTTTGAGGCAACACTATAGTCACCGCACGAGAACAGCAAGGGCGCTAGGCGCGAGCATATGTTATAGTACTGCTTGGCATATACTCCATTCGGTGCCTCCAATTGCTCTCCTGGAACGTCGACGTCGAGCATCTTGAGACAGCGAGTTGACATGGGATGGAATTTGCGCGATACATCAAATGTTTCCGACTCCCGTGATTTTCCCTTTCTGCATTGTTGATCTGGTTAATATCTTTGTTGAGAAAAGGAGCCTCGAGTGACAACACTAACCTTTGATGCTCTGTCTTCGATTGCAAGTAAGTTGTGAGCGATTGAAGAGCTAAAACAACCCATTGCGTTCGTTGGTCGCCAATAGTGGCATATCTCCATTGGCAGACAGATCCATGCAACGAGAAGCTCAACAGTGACTGGTCGGTAGCATGCTTCTTTTTGGCAAGGAATACCTCATGCAGCTTTTTGATAGCTAAACCAAGTTTTATCTCATCTTTGAAGAGCTCTTCAAGCCTGTTCCAGGGTTCTTGGATTCTCGTTGCATCTCCCGTCTTTTCGATAATCAAATTCTGCAAAAATTCGATGGGGATTTCCCAGGGTCCATAAATGGAGCACAGGGTGAGCAAATCGCCAGCCACACTGTCCTTGGCCACAAGGTTCGCGTATAGTGTATCAAATACGTCGAAGAATGTATGGCGCTTCTCCCAGTTCCAAATCAGAGGATCTATGGTACTCAGTTGCTTATACTTGGTTTCGAATATTGAGGGAGGCATGGTATCTGGTCGGACGATACCCTCGTGGATCAGATTGCCAGCCAATTCGAGGCCCAAGGCATAACCATTGAGAATCCCAGCTGCATCTCTCGCCCATTGTTTCACTTTAGTGTATTAGCTTTTGTCAAAAAACGACGAAAGGTTCTGTGAACAAGAGGCTTGTTCAACGCGTTGAGTACTCACAATTTTCATCCTGCACTTCTATAGTACCCAGTGCACGCCAAAGTATCAATGAGCTGGCAGGACCTATGCCGAGGTGCTCGACGGAGACTTGTGAGAGCCTACAAGCCTTCGCTGCATTCGGACTTGTTGAAGTGATGCATATGGCCCCAGATGCAGACAGCAGATTATCAAATGGCTGAAACAAACTTCTAGATGTTATGGGATTATCCATGCCATCGATGATGACTAGCCATTTGCGAGATCTAAGATTCCTCAACCATTCAAGAACAACTGACTGGTCCGAGATATGGGAACTATTCTGATGGAATTGGGGATACCTCAGGTGTATACGTTCTGCGCCTTGAGAGAATGATTGACTGACGGTCTGGTCCGAGGCGGCATCAATCCATACAATAGCTGATAGCTTGTCTTGCTCTCGAGAAACATATTCTCGAGCCAATTGGGTTTTACCAGATCCGGAGATGCCGCAGAGGACAATACCTCTCCGGCTTTCGGCACTCTGTAGCAATTGTGTCATGCCAGTCAATTCAGCCTCACGCCCAAAGAATCGATCTGTCTGCGATGGCAAGTCACACAGAATCTCACAGCCTACGATGAGGCCCGACATGGCTATTAAAGCTCGTCAATTTTGACAGTGGTGATTGATTATTGGACAGACTGACCAGCGGCTAATGGTGCCTCTTCCCCTTGCCCAATCTTCATCAGGATTGCTTTGGCGTAGCAAGCTGCCATGGCTGCCGCGTATGGTTGCCACTGCTTATTCTTGTGGCTGTCGCCATAGTCACACACACCTCGAATAACACCCACAGGCAGGCTGGACAATATACCGGCAGCCTCCATCTCCAAGCCAATGATACCGTACTGGTCTCTCAGACGATCGCGCTCGCGAGAATTCTTCATGAGCTTGTCTCCGGAGCCTATCGGTCCGTACCAGACGCGAGTGCGCTTGCTATCGGGGCGCTTCGCCCGGTGCACTTCATGACCAGTGCCGTCTTGACCAATGCTGTAGAGTTTGTCTTCGTCTTGTCCAGGATCGCGAAAAGTTTGATCCTTTGAGAATTCAAAGGAATGCTCTTCGTCTTGCATAGCTTCGTAGAAAGGAAGAAAGAGCCTGCTATCATTCGGCGCATTGATCTTGATTGCACCAATAGCAGACCTGATAACCTGCTCTGTTTTGGCAAGTACGCGACCTCCGTCAAGTAGCTCGAACCCGGCCTCTGTCGTTTTGCCCAAGTCGTACGATACCAATCCGGCACTGTCACCTTTGGGCAGCGCAACGAGGACATCGCCAAGGCGAATATCAACGGGCGGGTTTCTCGAGTGGTTCGGAAGACCCGCAGCGACGCCAACAAGCAGGCCAAACCATAGGTTGCGGAAGTAACTCTTTGTTTGACTCGCAAGAGCTGCTGCAGATCCGGTCCCGTAATTTTGGCCAGCTGGGAATGTCGCGATAATGACATTTCGACCATTGATATCGCCAGCATGGAAGACATAATCGTCACCACGATCGAGAGAGAATTCGCCGTCGTGCCTGTGGTCGAGCATATGCAGGGCAGCCTGAGCCTCGATCTCGAGGACTGCGATCAAGGCGATCCTATAGTCGAGTGGATTGAGTCTGACCATCTTGTACAGAATGAATCCAACATCCGACTAGGGTCAGTTGTACGCGAAACGAGCAATGTTAGCGATGGACTTTGAAAAGAGGCATCAGTCAGACGACACGAGAGATGTTTACCCCGCTTGCACTCAAGGCCACAGCCTCATCTTGTAGCTGATACTGTTGCGGTCACATGATTAGCCGCATATAATGTTTAATGCACGATTATGATTCGTTGTTATCGAACCAATAAAAGCGTCGCGAGGCCTGGATCGCTGTCAGAAGAAGGCCTGATAATCGTTTGGCTCCGTCCACTCTTTACTCTTCACGAAAACCTGTAGGAGAGGCAATGCAACAAGTTCCAGTTCGAGCATAAGTCAATTGTTCAAAGGCGCAATGGCCCTGTGTCTGTAATGAGGTAAGCTCAAGGCACTCTGCGAAGTGTAAGCGAGTTTATCCAATGCCCACTATTATACCTTCTTATCAAAGTTGATCTTGAAACTGATACCACCTTTATGCTTCAAAGGTCTTAATGGTCGTATGTGAGGCTTCTTCTTGTGCGCCGACATGCTGTATTTCCAATTCCCTGGACTGGTGGGCTATTTATAAGAAACATATTCTCCCAGTATGCCTTGGCCCTGCCTGGATGCTTGGGTATATACCTGGCCTGGTAGTTATAGAGATCCAGGAGCCGTTTCAAAATCACCTGGAGTTCTGATTGCTTATAATACATCCAATTAAGATCCTGTATCTTCTCGACGACCTTGCAAGATTATGCACTTAAAAATCAACCCCAGGTTACCATTTGGGCAGAAGTTGGCTTGTCATTCTTGGCGATTGCTGGTAGATTCTGCTCACGTTTCCTTGGCTAAAACTCCACTGTGTATGATGCTCTTGCCATTCTCGCCTTTATACAGACATTGGTTTTTAGTGTTCTTGGTTATCGAACTCATCTTTTTCACCTCACTCTAAAGTACGAATCTGTCCATGCTGCCATTCTTCTGGCACCTCGGTTCGCTCGTAGATCGATTACAGTTGTCCAGTCTGCAGTACTACTCTTTAAGGTGGCAAGTTTCGCAATGGTCATTGGCGTTGAAGATTACCAGTGTCTCGATGAAACACAATTGGGATATTGCAGTATTGCGCCAGCGATAAAAACGACACAAGCGATAGTAAAGCCGATTGTGCACTGGATATCATCTTTGGCCTCCTTAATATGCGATATTCCATTATTGCTTCAGCCTCTTTGATACTCGCGATAGGATATTACCTTTATTCTGACAGTTTGGAGAACTTGCTTTGAACCTCAAGACTCTGATTGGGTGAGAGTATTCCTGATTACAGCATGTTCTTGCATTTCATAGTTATCAAAGTCATTGCTCTTGTTAAAGTAAATAATTAAATAAGCCTCAGCTGGACAAAGCAACGAGATGGGATGTGATTTGTCTCTTATGTGTGGCTTTTCTGCACTTGGGGTCGCTGTGGGCATGTCAAGCCGTCTGATTCACTCGCTTTACTTGTCCAAAGACTTCTGAAATTCCGGTCTGCTTGAGATCCTGCTTAACGTTGAATGGACACATCTACGCAAGCCCCTGAAACGACCCCCAGGGGGCAAATCCACTGGAATAATCAGTCGAATAATCATTCGGATAACCAGCACCCACACCACGATTATTACAATTGGGGGCCAATGGCGCGCAACCTTCACAAACGGTAACACAACAAACGTACTAGCGCTGCAACCCCCCCGGGTACTTTCGATTGACTTCATCACATACACGGAATTGCACGCACACCTGATCACATCATCACTCGCGTGCATTCACATCGACACTTGGATTCAACCCATACAGTCGGTCGAGAATGCTCGCGAGAAACCGGGCTTGACATCAATCATGGCAATCGACATACCCAGAACGCCGCTCTTTGAGGCAACCCCCGACACTCCCAGTGTCGCACCCACCATACTCTGCATCTCAGCAGAGCTCCTCGACATGATACTAGAATCACTGTCCAAAAAAGACTTGTACAGGTCAGTATTCGCTGCCATTTCTTTCCCATATTGGAGTGTCTTTTGGGGGGTTATGACTCGGACACAGCTTTGTCTATTTCCTGATGCGTGTCAATTTACTCTTGATCTGGCTCCTTCACGGCCCGAAATGAGTAATTACTGACGTCTTGTGTTGGGTAGTACATGTCTTGTCAATAAGCACTTGCGGTCGCATGCAGAGCGTTTCCTCTACTTCAAGGTCTGCTGGAAGTGGTGCTCAAATGCGCCTGAAGCGTTTAACGTGACGCATCCCGCCAGACCTTACTTGCAGATCAAGACTATTTCGTGCGGAACAGGTGCGCCTGAAGTGCATACCGTAAATCCTCCTAGGCCTACCATACCTTTCTTGCAGAGCATTTCCCGCCGAGCAGCCCTTGAAGCTTCCATGCAGAGCATTTCGCGCCGCACAGATGCGCTTGAAGCTGATACCGCAACAACGCCTCCTGCCATATCTTTCTTGCAGAGCATTTCGCGCCGACCAGAGCTTGCAGACTTTGTGCAAGAAGCCGCGTTGACCCGTTATCCCGAGATCTGGAGGCCGGAATATGACAAAGATTACGCAACACTACGCTCCATAATTTTGGAGAAGACGGAGATTCCCTACCAGTTGTCTTGGGTTACAGAATCACAAAGTGGTAGTCTAGATGCCTCTGTCGCACTCATACTAGCTCAAGCCCGAAACATAAAACGACTTGAGATACCTGAGGCTCTTCTCATGACCAACAGTCTCACAGGCATGGTCATCAAGTCGGATTTGTTCGGGTCTGCACATCAGCTGACCACCAAACCAAACGTTCTGTGTCGTCTGTCCAACCTGGAAGTCCGGTGCTGGAAGTTCCATCGGCAATACAGAGAGCCAAGCAATCAATTGGACCCTTTATTTTGGTTCTACCTGCCCTCTATCCAGAGCATTTCGGTTTTCATCGACAATCCCACGACTTTCTCTTGGCCTGGGGCGTTTCCGCCAACACCCTCGAACCTCACAACCTTGGAGTTAGACATACTACGCGAAGGACATCTCGGCCGGGTGCTTTCTGTGACCAAAAATCTAAGACGTCTTGCGTGGACGTGGTCCTTTGACCCAGACACGGCCGGCCCCTTCATGACAAATACTATTGATCTCACACAGATTGCCTCAGACCTCTCTCATGTACAGCATACCCTCACTTGTCTGGAAATCAAGGGTGCGAATATGCCACGCCAATCTACATATAGACATTCGCCGCTGCATTTGAAGGGGTCCCTCGAGCCACTCGCGAGCTTTTGCAAGCTTGAAGACCTGCGAGTCCCATTTGCATTCTTGACGAGATGCTTGGCAGCAGAGAAGATGCACCCTATACACCATTCTCTACCCAGCAACCTCCAGCACCTAGAGATCTCTTCCGACCTCATGACATTAGGGGTTGACGGGGTCAGTTACCCCTTCTCTCGCCCAGCTATCCAAGCATACATTACAGCATGGCTGGAAGACTACAAACCGTCCGCACCACATCTCTTGGGGGTCGATCTTCGGTTCATGGGGACACAGGGCTCTAGAATGGCGTCAATGCTAGCAGAATGGATGCAGAGGATGAGAGATGTGCCTACAGACACAGCTAGCTACAACCATATGCCCACTGCATTGGAAGCATACTACAATCCACCGATCCATAATGTACTCATCCGGTATGATCCCTCAGCGGATTCTTAACTGATTCTTTATGGATGAAATCATTCTAATGCCTTTTCTGAGAGGCAACAGTCGTGGGACTAGTGCAGTGTGAAATTGGATGAGGTCCCAGGATTATGGAGAACTCGAGCCGGAGGGAACAGAGGTCAAGGAATGCAAATGTCCAGCGCTCTAAATGCGATGTTGGCGATTCGAGGTGCACGCCAAACTGGCATGGTTCCTGTATTTTTCTGGCAGAAGGAAGAAGTAGCTGAACAAAGATGTTAAGACACAAAGGAGACTCGTTTGTGATAAAAGCTTCTCACAAGCAATGGAGATGGCCAGGATACTGCCTCTACCTAATGCTGCTCATTCCCATTATCTGTTTCCGGGCCATACCCATAGAACTGAAGGTTCTTCTCAGGATCAGATAGAGAGAACACTGTCATAATTAAGTAGATGTCGTGATCTCTACCTCTTCACCGCATAGAGCTTTGCCAATAAGGGACCCTTTTCCCAAGTGAGATAGCTCTTTTGGTTTGTCCAGCCAGCGTTGCCAGGGAGCAGCTCAAAGTCGTAATGCCAAAGCATCATGGTAAGAAGCAGCCTCAACTCAAGCCATGCCAAGCTAATTACCCGTGTTAATATGGTTTTCCAGTTCTCAAGAGGAGCATTGAAACTTACTTTTTGCCAATGCAGTTCCTTGGCCCATACGAGAATGGCTCGTAAACATCCCGTCGATCTTTTGCAAATGGCGCATCATCTGTGTTAATCCACCGCTCGGGCAAAAATTCCCTGGGTCTGGCAAAATTCGACTCGTGCCTATACGCTGGGTAGTGATTCATTGTGACGGCTGTTCCTCCAGTGACAAACTGTCCGCAGATCTCGGCGCCCTCGGGAGGCACAATCCTCGTCATGCCGCCACCACCGGGGACATAGAGCCGTAAACCTTCCTTGAGAACTGCATTGAGATACACCATTTCGCTCAAAGGCCCCAAAGCAATTTCGTCGCTTGTTTTGAAGGTTGACCGGATCTCCGCGACCAAATTCTTGTATATCTTGAGGTTGCGGCCCAGATAGTACACCACACCTGAAAGAGTTGTTGCTGTCGTCTCCGTGCCAGCAACCATGAATGTTGAGGCATTGTTATACATTTCGTTCTTCGTCAGTCCCTTGCCGTCGTCACTGTGTTTCAACACAAAGCTCCAAAGATCAGGCTTGCCGCTGGGATGGTCGGTATAACTCAGCCGCTTGTCGACGAGGTTTCTCGCAAACATGGCGTGCTCTTCAGCCTTTTTCTTCAATGTGCTAGCCGTGGCCCAGTTGAGAAGTGGTCCCAGCAAAGGAACCCCCAGCAGCACGGCGCGAAAGACGACGTACTTGAGCCCGTCAAAGATGATGCGGACCCAGGGCACGTAGTCGGTCTTTTCCAGCATGCCGAGGGGCTCGCCAAAGGCCAGCTCGGCCATGATGTCAAAGGTGGCAAAGTTGAAGAAGTCGACCACGTCGACGTGGCCATCGCGGCTCTGTGCTTCGCCCATTTTGGTAGCCATTTGTACTGCATACTGCGCCAGGAGCGGCTCTTGGGCGACGAGTGCCGTGTTGCTGAAGGCGGGTGAGAACAATTTTCTCACTATTGGGTCGAGCGTCAGTCAAATATTTCCCAGCTATATGTTTGCCAAGCATCTCATGTTCGAATTGGTGGGAAATGGGTAGCCATCAAAGAGATACTCACTGCGTGCGTGGTCATCATACGGCGCCGTCACCAGATTATACGCTCCGTCCTGAGTCTGGCCAAAAAAGGCCTGATCCTTGATCATCTCCCGCCTGCCAGGGCGCCCAAAGATGTCGCGCCAGGCCTGTGGCTCAATGTACGAGAGCTCGTTGGGTGCGATGCGCACCACGGCCCCGTAATTTTCGTGCAGCTCGACGCCGGCGTGGCCAATGTTGCCCGTGATCCAGGACCATTGCTTCGGGATTGAAGTCGCGCGCCACAGTAGCGGACCTGGGTACTTTCGTAAGGGGTGCAATAGTATGTTGTATATACATTTTGCGAAAAACTGAACTGTCTCGTTAGTACTTTTTCTCTACGTCGGTTTATACGCAGGACAAGACAGCACCTGTAGAGTGTACAGCGCAATGGTAGCCAGGACTGCTGCAGTTATTGAAATGGCCATGTCAACTATGTCATCTATCAATATGAGGCTCTTGTCGTCAATAGGCCCAGACAGTGACGTCTACGAGTTGATATTTAAAGCTCGACAACCCAAGCGAGTTGGAGTTGCATGTTGAGGGCCGACCGAATACGAATACGGCTTGTGAAGGATACTACTAAAGCAGGACCTAACAAGTAGCTACAGTTGGTAGTAGAATCATAAGCCGAGATACCTAGACTCCTATATCTGATAGTGCTGGCCGATAAGAATTATTATACATCGTATATCGTTTTCGGCTTTACCGTGATACGACTACGAAGATGCGGCCCGAACTTTTGTGAAATGGCAAGGCAATCAGGTATACAATTTGTATGTTCTTGAGTAAGAGTGAAAGCTTCTACATGTTTTTATATGTGATGTATCAATAATCGGATCATTGCAAAGAAAAAGAAAGTATTACGTTACTATCTCTTTGGAGTTCAAATGCCACTGCACCTAAGAGCCATACACCTGTAAAACATATAGGCAGGGAAACGAAACAGTTGTAAATTGACCCGAGGAAGAGACAATGCGCAATATGTGAATGAAGAACTCTCTCTCGAATTAATTAACCTCTGATGATACATATGTTTGGGTTATTTTGTAATGTTATTGCAAAAAAAAAAAAAAAAAAAAAGAAGAAGAAGAAACCCAAGGAGGCATTTGCACCGCGATTTTCTGATGTTATCAATCTAGTGCATACAGAGTTTCCTGCTGCGCTTTGGCAAGCAGTAAAAGAACAAATGCACAGGATATTCTGTACAAGGATGATGGATACATAAGCGCCCGATGAGCTTAAGTGCACGTCACAATGTGAGACAATGGAAAGCTACTTGACGCCAGAATTGCATAATACAGCGACGGAGAGTACACTGATGGCGTGATCAAAAACCCGGAAGGAATGTGGTTTGTGTCGGGACTGGGCATTAGAGAAGCTTCGAAGCTGCCCACCCCCCACCAACGACGTCACAGATACGACTGTCACTGTCCACGGGTGATTCCCGCAAAACACAGGCAGTTACAATAGAACATCTCGAGTTCAAGGATTCTTTTATTGGAATCAATGCGCTGAACACTTGATCTGTCTGCCAAGCACAAATCCACAGTCAGTAACTCAATACTACCATGTCTTCGACATTTATTGTGGGTGGCACCCGTGGCTTAGGAGCCGAGTTGGTAAAGCAGTATGCTTCCCAAGGCTCTGGTCAGGTCTTCGGCACATCCCGTTCGAGTTCAAAGCCAGACGGATTCCCGGAGAGTGTCAAGTGGCTGTCAAATATAGACTTGACAAAGTCCACTGTCGCAGATGAGCTCACAGGGCAGCTAAAGGGAGAGAAGCCTCTCGACACCGTGGTAAGTTCTGGCAGTAGCATTGTACCTGGCAGAAAAGCTTATCATGTCTAGATCATCGCTGCCGGCCGCTTCACAACAGAAGACTTCTTTGACAAGGGGCCGAATTGGGAGGAAGAGGTCACCATGTATACGACAAGCTCTATCGCACCCGTCTTTATTGTCCACAAACTCGTGCACACGGGTCTGCTCAAGTCAGGATCAAAGGTTGTCTTGGTATCAAGCGAGTCTGGCAGCATCACTCTTCGACATGAAAGCGAGGGCGGCGGCAACTATGCTCACCATGCGTCCAAAGCGGCCCTTAATATGGTTGGCAGTACGTACATTGGACTCTCCTCATATCTAAACAAATCCAGGCTTTTTGCGTGGGGTTGAAAACATGATCCACTCGACCTATACCCATGTCTACTAATAAGATCACTGGCTAACTCTTATCCCTTTCTTGAAGAACTTTTGAGCCTCGATCTCAAGGACAAGGGCATTATTATCAGCATCGTACATCCTGCATTCATGAGAACGGAGATGACCAAGGGCGTTGGTTTCGACAAGTACTGGGATGACGGTGGCGGCAAGTGGACTTGTCTCCCAAATCATAAAACAGGACAAATATAACTAACAGATCGACAGCGGTGACGCCTGATGAGTCTGCTAAGAGCCTCATTGCTTGGACGGAGCAGCTTGATATTAGCAAGTCGGGAGAATACTGGGCTCCACGTGGACCAGGCGACATTGGCACCGCGGAGCCGGTGCTAGGAAAGGGCCTCTCGACTCCCTTGAAGTTGCCATGGTAGAAGAGGGTTGTATGGTTGGCGCAAGACGAATGGCGCAATTGGTATTTTCGTATTACATCTTCAGCGAGTGAGACAGGAAGTAGATTCCTTCATTTCCCACGTTCTTGATGAAGCATATTGGCGTCCTTCTGCCATGCGTCCAAACTATTACTATTACGCCCCGAAAGTCGATCGTCTCGGCGACGGATGCGTGATTATGGCAGTCCTTCTTGGCTGCGTACTATGTAGCTAGAGCACCTGATAGCGTAGCCGCCTCGGGAAAGAAATGGTTCCTCAAATGCGCGCGTGGCCTGGGAGCTTGATCGTGATCGTCGTGGTAGCGCGCAGAAGAGACGGATCTCATGACTCGGAATGATCTGGCAGACTGGAGCTCCCCCAGCTCACTCTCGGATCTCTAGCAACGCATTCCAGGACTCGACTCCAGCGCGGTGGTTCGACGGGCTCCGTAGCGCGCGCGCTCGCTCTGCTTTAGCCCTTACTGTGTAAATAGGCCAGCGGCAAAAGGATTTGGATGACCAGAAAGCCACGAAGAGAGTAAAAAGGAAAGGCTCGTGGGCGGAAGGTGATCCCTGCTTGTCAGGTACCGGGCGGCGGCATCAGCTGGTCGGCTTAAGAGCCCAAGAGCTTTGACCATTTACCCCACAATGGCCAGCAGCCACCCACTACCACCCAGCCCTGGAGCTACTGGAGCCGGAGCGTTGGGTGTGGAGGCTTTCTGAGCGGAATAGGGGGGGAAGAACTGGAAGGAAAGCCCATTAAATCTCCTCCACTGTCATTAATTTGGCTTTATGGAGATGATCCTCTTTCACTTCCATCGCATTACGCAGTACAATGCGAACTCAGGGGACCGACCACATGTATTTTTACTTGCCGCGATAATGCTGATAGATTGACGCGATATGCCCTTCCGCTTGCATCGTCTCGTCGAACCGCAAGTGGTGATGCGCCGTTGCATTGCTTGTACGGAGTACGGAGTAGATTGTGCTGTGAATAAATGGATCAATAGAAAGGAAGACAGCAGCAGAAGAAGCAGAAGCAGGGACCCTTTGCGGTTGACCACCCGTCAACCGATCCTTTCAGGGGTCTAGCCTACCTTGGGCCTGAGACTTGCTGATCCATCGCCAGAACATCACAAGCTGCGGGGCAAAGCATGGATGCTAATATATCTTAGTGCTAAAAGGGTCCCCATCAGCGATTCTTAAACCCACTCATAGCCATTTGGGCCCGTCGTCTGCATGTGGCCGGGGCCAGCCTGTTCCCTGCTCTCCGTTGGGCGGGTCTCTTGAGTACCTCTTCGTTCCAGTCGTGGTTGGCTGTCTTGGGGGCACTTTTGTTGTTGTACAGCGAGATTGTCGAGATCTCGCCCGCAACGCAACGCAGGTGCCCGAGAAAGCAACTTCATGTACGCAGACCCCAGGGTATTTGCTGTGTAATTGAACACGTATGGCCCTGTCTGTTCCTCATTGACCCGGACAAAGAGAGACAGACAATGTCGCTTATTAAACCCCCCTCCCCGATTGTGTACATATTTTGCATGTAAGGCCTTGTGAACTTGATCCTAAACTACCTACCTGAGTTAATTGAACCGCCGTAGCCTGACAGGGTGTCTAGGCGTTGACGAGGGCTTCTCTGCAAAGCGCAGTTCGTATTGCTGGGGGCAGCTCATCAAACCCGGGGAAGGTCCCAAGCTACGATGGGTGGCGGTTGATTAGAGATGCAAGACCATGCCTAAAGGAGCGGCGCATTTGATATCAAATTGACCCTAGCCAGTTGATATAGGTGGCATTGCGGGCAAGAGTCGAGTCTGGGCCATGATCGAGACTATCAACAGTACTATGGTAATAATTCAGGTAAAGCAGTGACCAAGACTTTAGACTGCAACTGGGAGAAACCCAAAAACAAGGACCAATGCCAACAAACAACAACAAAAAGGTGAATGCTACTTCGTGTTGATCTGTTGATCAGGTTCATCCTGTCAGGCCTGTCCTGTTGTGTGGGATCGGTGATCGTCAGGCACATAGTACCACATGACTTTGCGGCGAGCATCAACTGATTACTATATTCCATCAGCTTGGCAAGACAGCTCTCAGCTCAACTACAGCTACATGTGGTTGACTCCAAATCACATACCCCTTGCAATAGCTGCAGGCGCCTCATGCTCGCAGCCATCCTTTGAATGATGTTTTTGCAGATCGACTCTTCCCAAAGATAGGTTCGGAGAGGGGTTAGTGAATCGATTGATTCCCGTTTTGTTACTCCGTACCGAACAGATGAGCTGGAGCCTAGTCCTGTTGGTGCGGTATACAAGATAGAGCTGATCGGCTATATTCAATAGTTGGAGATGGAGGAAATACCCCAATGGCCAAGCTTAGAACATTCCGGAGTAGTAGCTTATAACTCTCCTTTCCCCATTACTATTCCATAGACTACCTAACGTGGTCTGGGCATGAGCTGGGGAAGCCAAGTATACAATCCTTTTGTGGCACATCTTGAAGCTATTCTCATCCCGAATTTCTCGGGGTGATATACATACTTCTTTTGTAGAGAACTTGTCTTGATTCGATACGTGAACGCCCAGCCGGCGGTGGTTATTTGGAGATCCCATCATCTTTTCGTCCTTCTCCACGAGAGTGACTGTGAAAAATGTAGACGTACGACCCAAGTCCCACCTACTCTTGCGAAGCAAACCCCGGTGCCGAGGCTCTCACGCCGACCCGACATGCCATGCCATCAGCGCAATAGCTACCTGCCTACCAACCTACCTCCCCCGTTGCTGTTTCCCCCTTCATGTCATTCATTAGACTAAAAAGAATAGCTACCGCGCCAGTTGGGGGGTATCAGACTTGCCTTCCGGACACGTTCGCTAAGGGCCGCAGCTGTCTTATGTCTTGCAGTTTTTCTCACCGTCAGTTTTTCTTCTTTTCCTTCTTCTCTTCCTCCTTCTCCTCTCCCCACTGTACTCGAGCGCGACAACTGCAATTCTGCTGCCTGTCCTTCCGTCCAGCCAGTCAGCCAGCCAGCTCTGAGGGCCTTCTCCTCCTCTGACTCTCTCTAAACAGAAACCCCCATAAGTCAGCCAGCCAGCAATTCCTCACGCGACAGCTGCAAAGTCACCTGAAGTCTTAGTGGCGGCAAATATACAAATAGTATATCAAGACCGCTCACTTCCTCTCACTCGCTCATAATACATACTACTACCAGCTACTACTGCTATTTTCCCACTGGATCTGGAACCAGACGCACTGTTTTCTGGCTTCGTTGTTTGCCACGGCCAATATCCCCTGAAAGCGTGCCGCCCATGCCCTAGTCTAGAACAAGCCAAGACCGACTAGGAGGTACATTACCTCTACCTTACTTACAGCACTTTAGGCGAAGGGGGGCCCGCGAAGATCGCAACATTCAAGCCCGCCGCGCCGAATAGAAAAAAAAGGTCTCCGCCAGGTCAGAAGACCCTGATTCTTTCGCCGATGCGCGCCACCCTACTACAAAATCGTCGATGAAGAATTTTTCCCGAGTGTCCTTTCTTTGAACAATTCTAGAGCCGACAAAGTGTATTTACTTGAGCGGCTGTCTCTCATTTTTAGAAGTCTTGTTACACGACAAAAGGAAGCTGAACCGACGCCTCGTTGGTTCCTCCCCCTCCAGTTTCGTGCTCAGCTCCCACAGTGCTCCCCTTTCACCGACGTCCCTTGCATTTGAACGGGGTCCCGTTGGAGCCAAAACTTTTAGGGAGTTCCAAAGGAAAAGACCAGAGACCACCTCGGCCATTACCGCTTACGACGAGCCCACCCGCGAATCCCGTCACCGCCGACAAACGGATTCAACTCATTACCGTGACCACATAAACAGAGGCGGTTCTGCGACCTTTGCTTTCCGCAAATTTTAGAAGCAGGCCGCAGATTCTAATTCTTTTTGTTTTTAATTTTTTTTTCTTTCACTGCAAGCCACTACTACAGTACCGTCTTCCACCACATCAATCACAATCTAAACAGCATTCGACACACTCGATTCACACCCACGTGCAACAACGTTCTGGGCCTTGTCGCAGCGGCTGTGCCAGAACCAATCCAATCCAATCCGAACCAATCTCACCTCTGCACACGTCATAGGCTACTTGGCTGCTGGCTACAGAAGTTGGCAGCCTGCACGCGCGCGCACACAACCAATTCCAGTCTCGGACACTTTGTTCCCTGACGATCTGTCTGCTTTTTTCGCGATCAGCGTACCGCCACTCCCAGCAGCAGCACCAGCAGCAGCACCAGCAGCAGCACCAGCAGCAGCGTTGCGTCCTGTGACTGGCCTGTCCGACATTCGTCGCAACTTGTCAACCAGGACCTTGGCAAAATTGATTTGCGACCGCACCACCGGATCCGATCAACGATTTCCTGCTATTGTACGGAGAAAGAAATTCGAAAACCGACGCGCCCAACAGGACGAATTTGAGACTTGAGGCACACGGTCGCCAGGTAGTTTCCACACGGCAATCAGTGCACCGTTCACTCGGCATCTCGATTGCGTACCTCCCTTCTCAAAATCAATTCCCCATTCCACCTCGAATCTCTCAGTTATTCACAGGGGTCTTGTACCCAGAACACAGCAAGCATGTCGGCCGATCTATCAGCGGGTAAGATAAGATTGATTTCGTTTGTTTCTTCTTCCTTTTCATGCCTTTCCCCAATGCCGTGTTTTCCATCCCCTTTAGCCCGCCCACCATCTCCAAAAAGCTTGGAACAACACAGCATCAGGTCTTCGCACATACGTCTCCAGCAGGCGACAAAGGACCCCTTTTGTAGTCCCTGATTTTCATTTGCAGTGGATAGGCAGGACGGCCCTATTGTCTTGCTACGACTGTCTTGGGAAGGTTCCAAGCTTTCTTCCTTGCTGCAGTGCCTTGGTGCGCTTGAAAGATTGGCAGGACGCCGCTCCACTTAACCGGGCCTGTGGTCTGTGTCAAATTTAAAGAGTCTCATGTTTCATATCCCTATCACCGTCGTCATTTGCTATCGCTAACCTACCGTTTGCGTCTGCATAGGCCAATCTTATGGGCGATCTGCCGGATTGACGCTTAATCTCTCGTCAAACAACCCCTTTCGCAACCGTGCTGCGTCGCCTAATAGCGGCCTCAGTCCCAACTCCAACTCCTTTTCCCCTCCGCCTCCCCATTCTCCCTTCGACGATCCTCCCGCCGAACGACCAGTCTCGAGAAACCCATTCTTTGACAACACAGAAAGCACTCGAGGACAGCCTCTGAAGTCACCAGCAAGCATGGCATCCTCTGCTCCAGATAACAGAAAGTCGCCAACTGCTGAAGAGTTGTTTGTAAGTTGACCTCAAACCTTCTTTGAACCTGCCCCGCCCCGCGCGCCCAATCAACCATTATCATGCCTGCCCGATGATGCGCCCGTCGCAGCAGACTGGCGATTTGTCTGCATGTCGCGTAGCCTTTATAATTCAATTTTTAAATTCTCGAGTCTATCGGAAATGCTCACAGCGCGCTTTCAGGACAAATTGATTATCATTGACGATGACGATAAGCCCGCGGGCCAGCCTGCATCGAAGCCTGCACCACCCCGACCAGATGGCGCTCGAGGCCCCCCACCACCCAGAGGCCCCCCAGGTGGTCCTCGCGGTCGAGGTCCCCCGCCGCCAGGACACCGACCAACCCGATCGCAAGAGGAGGCTATGAGAGCCCGTCGAATGCAAGAAAAGGCCGGCCAGAGCAGCGACAGAAAGAACATGGATTCTCCCATGAAGCGCCCAACCGAGCGACGACCTCGCCGCAATTCTGACTCGTCCCTCATGGAGAAGCCTTTAACTGAGGAGGAGAAGAAGGCAAAGGAAGCGCGTCGCCGCGAGCGCGAGAGACGCCACAAGGAGAGGAGCAAGACTGGCAAGCCCAGCAAGAGACTTGATCTTATTGATCAATTGGATGCCACGAGTATCTATGGAACAGGATGTGAGTGGTTAAAGTTACTTTGTGTTTCTATCTCGAATCTCTGCTGATACAGAACCAATAGTGTTCCACCACGACGGACCTTTTGATGCCTTGATCCCTCACCGCAACCGCAACGGTACCCGGCATGCACCAATGCAGGCTTTCCCCAAGGACTCTCTCAACATGGCCCTGGGCGGCTCCGGTCCTCTCAACGCCAAGCCTGATCACAAGACTTTGATGGGTCAGCACGACGAGGAGGCGTACCTTGACTACAATGCTTCCAGAAAGAACGAGGCGCCATTCTACGAGCCGCCAGTAGGCTCAAGCAAGGAGGCCAATGTTTTCGATCCCCATGCACGTGCCTCGGTTTTGCACGGCGATGAGTCTCTTGGTCTTGGAACTTCGACTTTCCTCGAGGGAACTCCTGCTGCCCAGACCGCCATTCAGAGGCGTGAAGCCGAGACCGCACAGCAGAGCATGGAGCAAGGTCTGCAGAGAAAGAAGTCGCTGGCTCAACGCATCCGTGGTATCAACCGTGGTCCCCGCGATATGAACAACCGTGGCCGCATGACCAACCCCGACGGCGCATATGGACCACGGTCTGGAGAGCTGCCCAGCGGTAACAGTACGGGCGAGAGAAACCCCTTCTTCAGCGACTTCGACAAGGCCGAGGAGCGCATTTCAGTGAGACGCCAGGACTCTGGCCCCATGTCTCCTGGATCTCCTAGCAGCCCTCCTCGGGGCTACAACCTTGAGCGCCGCTCCACTGCTGATGCTTCGGCCCCTGAGCCCTCGAAGCCTTCGGGTGGTGGTCTTCTCAACCGCGTCAAGAGTTTGAAGGGCGGAAGGCGACAGCGACCAGAGATACCCACGCAAGCAGCTCCGACATACACCCCTCCGACTTCATCCTAGATGTTGCGCGATCTGGACTGCATGGATATGACTCTCGCATTGGTGGGCAAAGTTGGAAAGCATCACGCTCTGGTGGAAGTAGACGGTCCATGCTTCTACAAAAAATGGGCACAGGCGTGATTTTAGTTGGAAGGTGGTGAAATCGAAACACTCCTTCTTTGCAGTTGCTTTTCTAGTTTCTTTTCTTTTCTTTCTTCTTCTGTAGGATACCTACCTCCTTTGCGTGACCGCTGGAGACAAATACCAGTCCAAGCACGGTCAAGTCATTTCATGAGATCTGAGAAAATGAGAGTACAGAAACAAGAGGTCGTTGAGGCGTACTATAAGCAGTCAATGACCTGAATACAGAATGCCCTAGAGACTTAATTTAAGAAAGTTTTAAACCAATTATGTTGATGTCATTGTTGTCGATCTGTTAGTAGATGATTCCAATTCGAAGAGTCATTTTTCTGTGTATATTGAGCTGCGTTTCTTGCTTTTACAAGTATTTATCTAGGTGAGATGTCTTTCCATACTTGCGATAATGCACTGTCCAATTCCCCCCACCTGGACTTAATTGTCCCTCCACTGAATGAACTCCACTCAATGAATGACGGCCTAGTTCTCAATTCCGCGAGCCCAAAACCAAACAATAAACAATACCTTGCCAGTTTTCATTGTCGACGATTCGTCCAAGTTTTGAACAGTGACTATGGGGGAAGACATTCAAAAATGACCGTACACATCGCATACGCAAAATATACTTGGGCACTTCTCTGCAGTCTCCATTGCTGCAGATAGTGTTATTTTGGGGATCCTCCCAAGCAATGTGAGCATGGATCAGGAGCCGCCAGTATCGCAGGTGAGCTCGCATTTTCAGATTGAGCCCATCTCAGGTTCCACGCTATGCAATCTAGAAGATGCCAGGAGACATCAAATCAACAGACGAGGGACCCTCAGGACTGGATGTACGGAGATTGACGAGCAGGTGCTGGTCGACGGCTTTGAGCGTGGCGCCGTGGTGGGAATCAGTGCCGAAGAAATCGACTTTGGACTTGTGGTGAGTAGTCACTCGCAGCTCAACAACATGCCCCTTCCAGACTTCATCACGGTAGCTGAATAGGGTTTTCTTAGCTTTCTCTTCAAACGATTGCCCATGACGTGGTCCATGGCCGGCATGGAGCGCCAGCCCTGAGCAGAGCTGCAATTATCACTACACTTGCACCGCAGGCTATTCTACCTACTCTGAGAGATATCGTCAAGTCGCAAGTGCAGAGAAAGCTGGGCACCGGCCATGCCAATGTCAACGCTCAAGTCCGCGGATGCTTGGAGCGCATCTCGGTATCACGAGTCTTTGATATAGAGGGTCTGTGGGAAGTGTTGAGCGAACTGGAGCTGGAAAGCCCAGCGTTTTTGCCAGAAATGAACACGGAAGCGATAAGAGAAGAAGAAGAGGAAGAAGAGAGTGATGCTGCCGCTGCTCCACAGGAGCCGGAATCTTCACCGCTTTCTTCGTTAGGGTCAACACCTGATTATGAGCTGCCTCCACCGTCGATGGAACAGGTCAGGAGAACCGAAGTCATGGACAGCGAAGACGAGGGCGACCTATCCTCTATATCTCCTCCCTCATCAAGTCCAGCCGCGCCGCTTGAACCGGCGGCAGAAAAGGCAGCATCGCCCAAGCCGGTACCCGTGACCGAATCAACACCAGTGCACGACCATGCTCCAGAGGCCAATGACCGGATCCCGGGTGCCATAGTGATCACCCACTTCTCTACACTGCTAGGCACATTGTTCGCCCAGCGGGACAAGTCGTCTGCCCACACGACCCTGCAGCTATTTTCTTCACACCTTCGGTATCTAGCTCGTTCTTCCGAATCTCTCATTATGCTCCTGAACACGACGACGAATTCCCCACATAATCCCGTCTCCAGCACGACAGTTGCCTCGACCGGCGCGGCTCCTTTGCCATCAGATGGCGCGCCCGGCAAGCGCTCTTCAGCAGCAGAGCGACCAATGGACCCTACACTGCGCTCCATCTTCAATCCCCCGCCCCCATCTCATGGCGGCTACGGAGCGGGCAGCATCGCCCTGAGTAAGAAAAACAAGCCTTCCTTTGGTTTGACGTTTTCGCAATTTCTTGACCTGCATCTGCTGTGCACTCGCCTGCCCAAGACCCGAGCCGATGCCGAAGCCGTCTTTGCGCCCACGACGGCAGGGGCAGCAGTTGCTGCTGGGGATTACACTATCACGGGCTCTGGGAAGTCTCGATACGGATGGGTTGTAGAGGTCTTGCTCGACGAATCTGGATTCTGGAGTTCCAGTGGAAAGAGAATCGACAGGGAGCAGAGATGGGGCGCTGTGGACGTCCAGGACGGCATTAGAATCGTGGACACCTTTGAAAAAGTGCAAAGACCGCCCAATACCGAAATGTTTAGATTAGCTGCTGGATTTGGGGGTCGTCGGGTATGAAGTCCCCTAGGGAGACAAACACGTTTCGGCGGCATACAATCAAAACATGACCGTGTGAGAACACCACTTGCCCACTGACGCATTCCCCAACGACAAACTTTCTTCAACGCCCTTCTGGCTTTTATATTCGTCACGGCAATTTGACCATCACTGATCTGGAGCACGGAGGGCTCAATTGTATTCATTGACGAAGCAGTGGTCAGTTATGCACTGAATATTTACCTGGCCACGGACTATTAGGATACCGAGGTAGAAATGCATTAGTATTAGGCTATAGGCTCCAATCTACGGATGGAAATAACAAAAGTATCGATTACGACTGGGCCGAGCCCCGCCTTTTTAGTTGCTATGTAAGCACAAAATCATGAGTGGTCAATTTCAATGCCAACAAGTGTGTCATGACGTGGGGTCATTCGATGTACGACGTTAAGGAACGTGGGACGGCGGACCTATTACGACGGCGGCAATGCAGGCAGCCAAGGTGATAGATACACAAGGCATGAAACAAGTATTTGTATAATAATTGAGTTGAATTGAAACGACAACTTGAACACGTTCCTAAAAGACTTGGACCGACGCCTCGTCAAAGGTTGAAGTTGAATAACGATCGAGTTCTCAACTACTATTCCCTAGGTTAGGTGGGTCGTTCGGATACAACGGTAGCAGTATAAATGTAAAGAGATCAACCCAATTGGGGAAAAGGGGAGGATCCATTCCTCGGAAGTGCCAACCGCATACTCGGGCCCGCTGAGACCCCGAGGGAGGGAGGACGACGACCCCAACGACACTTGTATTCCAACAGAAGGACGCCACGACCCAATGAAATGTCGTCGTGTCAGCTGAAACGTACGACGCATCGTTGCGTTTCTGGGGGTGTTGCCTAGAGACTTCTCAGGTAATCATGACGCTGAGATGCTCCCCGTTGCCCCCTCGTTATTCATTGGTTGTCACGCCTGGGGCTTGCTTGATGGCGTGTGACGCTCGGCCAATGCTATGAAAAAGGTTTACATTTCCCTCTTCCTTCTCTGTCCGGGCCGTGGTCATCAATTTTATCAAGTTCATGTCCAATTTTGCTTCCAAAGGACCAATCAATTGACAACAGTCAGGTGGGAAGTTACTGGAGTAAAGCGAAACCCCAACAAGATCCCTTTGACGTCACAGACACTATCAGGGAGTCCCTTGCATAACTATAGCTTGTCCAACAAGAGGCCGGCGAGAATTCTAACCTAAAAAAAAGAGGTCATTGATTGCAAATACTTTGGGAGATATTCGCAAAGCTCGCCGAAAAGATGAAGTATAGTGCATCGCTGCCCTTGATAGTGGCAGCTGCCACGCAGGCATTTGTCATTCCAAATGAGGCCATCACTGAGCAGCTCGCTCTTCAGCAACCCGAACCGGCTCATGATCACGATCAATGGTCATCATCATGGCTGGACAGCATTCCTTCCCTGGACGATATTCGTTCTTCAGCTGAAGACACCTTTTCCAACGCCATCGATGCAGTAAGCGACGGTGCCAAGTCCCTCCTTGACGCGCTCCCGGATTTCGACTTTGACTTTGAGGCTGCCGATTTCTTCTCACCATTGGTAGATGTAGAGCGGGAACGACCCGGAAAAGGTCACAAGGGCCACCATGGCCACCACGGCGAGCCTCACGGGCCGTCTAACCTGACCATTTACCAGGCCATCCATGCGTCCAAGTACTCGACCAAGTTTGCCGCGCTGGTGGACGAGTATCCCGACCTCGTCCAGACCTTGAACAGCACAAAGCATAACATTACGGCGTTTGTGCCTGTCGACAAGGCCTTTGAAAAGATTCCCGAACACCACAAGAAGCCGCCCAAGGAGTTTATTGAAAAGGTGCTCGAGTATCATCTCGTCCCCGGTCTGTACTCTGCCAAGAGGGTATTGGTCAGCCACACGCTGCCTACACTCGTCAAGGAAGATGCTCTGGGCGGCAAGTCCCAGAGGCTTCGGACCAGCGTCAGCTTGTTTGGGCTGAGAGTCAACTTTTACAGCAAAGTTGTTGTTGCAAATATCGTGAGTTTTCCAACTTTTGTGGTGGTATCCTGAGTAATACTTACAAAATCCATCAAGCTCGTCAGCAACGGTGTCATTCATGGCATTGACAGCATTCTGGTCCCGCCACCTCCAGCCACCCGCATCATCCAGCTGTTCCCGCAAAAGTTCTCCACGCTGCTCCTGGCCGCCGAGAAGACGGGTCTCAGCAAGGACGTGGACGATATCAAGACGACGGGCGGCACCCTGTTTGCGCCCACCAACTGGGCCTTTGAGAAGCTCGGCCCCGGCGCCAATGCGTTCTTGTTCAACACGGAAAAGGGGCTAGGGTACCTCAAGGCCCTGCTCAAGTACCACACTGTTGCCAATGAGACCTTGTACTCGGACGCCTACTATGGCCGCAGCGAGGTCGATGCCGAGACTGCGCAGTTTCATGTTGACCTGCCTACACTTCTTGATGACAAGAGCCTTAGCAGTATGTCTTGAACCATGACCCTCTCTCTTAGCTCTCTCAACTATCGCGTTCATTTCTCATGCTAATCTCCACAACCTTTCTTACAGTCGACATTGCTCGCTGGGGCGGTCTGATTGACATAAGAATCAATGGCTTCACCCACGTCTCCATCCAGGACGGCATTGCCAAGGACGGCGTTATCCAGGTCGTGTCCAGCGTGCTCATCCCGCCGCACGGAGAGCATGGTAGCTACGTTGACGGCAATGAGATTGCCGTCGAGGAGTTGATGGAGCGTCTGGAGCCGTTCCTCGAGGACGAGAACAAGGATGGCATCTCGGTTGGCGAGTTGTAATATGTTCCCAGCAAACCATCATTGCAAAGCTACGAGGCGTGGGAATTAGGTCAGGCTCCTAAAGACATGATCATGTATGATAAGAGCAAGAAATCACCAGAATGAAATCAATAACAAACAAAGGATATTCCGTCATCATATAGACAGTTGTTTTCAAAAGCGTCCGTTTATTCAATAATGCCTGGCACTCCCACAGCTAATCTAGATTTCCAATCCAAAGTAGATGAAGGTCATGATGATTTCGATTCACCCTTGATTATTAGAACTTGGAAGTTGAATATTCAAAGCATACCTATATAATAGCTGATTTAGATTATCAGCCCTCCATGTCCTCTGGCCAACCAGGAATCTGAAATTTGAACTCACTATTCTAGCCGTTTTCTCAGGCGAATAAGTCTGTCATTCAATTGATCTGCAAATAGATGACTCCGGTAACTATCATGACATTGAGCCTTGCGTATTGTGCGTAGATTATGACTTGCCCATTTTTATGAGTTCTTGAATAATTACAAATATATATCTTTTTTTATTACATAAATAATTGATTGAAAATAGAATTGGCAAAATCAATCGAATGAAAGCAACAAAGCGCGCCAATTACTGTAGGATGTTGAGTAGAATTGATGAGCCGGTTGCCTGTCGCCACGTTGCCTGGTCGAGCTGGTATAAAGAACATGGTGGTCTATATAACCAGTAGTGAGTTCAATTTCCATGACAAGTTCTACCTTTGGTGCAAAGCCATCTCGAAGCAGGACTGGCGACCATGTCGGTACCAACATGGACCTGGAATCTGATAATTTGATGTCATGTCTAGGAACATTGACGTGTGCCGGTGGCCTCGTGTGTTGTCAACTCACTTGACTACTATATTGCTTACCTGTAGTTATGTTAGTTTATTTTGTCATGTGTTTTTCTCAATTTATTCTCTTCTTACTTGTCCTGGAACCCGAAGCTTCCGACTTGTTTTGACACCTCACGCGGCCATTTAGTGTCCTTCTGTGAAAATGATGCGAGTTGTGGACTGTCCTACTGGGCACGTCTTTCCATTAAAATCATGGTTGTTTTACCTACAATTGCAGGAATTATAGCTGCTCGTGATATTCCATTATCAGCCACTGAGCAACAGACGAGCAAGGCAAACATTTGGCGATGCAAGGGATGTCATTTTTATGATTATGGCGCATGGGTCGAGGGATTGACTCTCATTAGTTTAGATTACCATCATTTAACATTTATTCCATCTTCTCACATTTGTGTTCAACATCTCCTCCTTTTGTGCTTGAGTCGCCGCTGTTCCCCGACCTGCGACTGTCGGGAATATCAGTACTCACTCTGGGAAGAAAAAAAAAAAAAAAAGGTTGCTCGCTTAGGTGTACGCGAATATGTAGCCATCCTACAGCCACATACCCCAAAAAACCCTGCAGCAGCGACGGAATGACCCTAGTTCAAGCATACTGCAGTCGGCCGCATAACCGCTTGAAGCCAAAGCTGAGCTCAGCTCCAAGTCGAGTAATATGCATGTTCCCTTGACCATCCGAATCACGGTTCTTGTCCCTCTCTTGCCCCTCACTTCCCAGAGCAGCCCTACGGAAGAAAACCAATTGTGAGCCGTAAACGTAGGCACGCGGCACAGAATCGCATTATACCCACTTGTAATCTGGAACAATAGGAGAGAAACAATAAACAGTAAATGACTAATGGACGGCTGGTGGCGCTCAACTGCAGATTTGGCGCATGTCTAATACTCTGTAAACCACCAAGTTCCGAAAGCTATACAGTTGCGGCCGTCGTACCTTGCTTACCTGCCTAACCTAACATACCAAACCTAGTATACAACCTTGAAAGAGGAAACACATGTAACCGATTATTCACCCACCCTCATTCGTTTTGATCCCTGCAGCGCCGTGGCTACAAGCTGCAAGATTATTGAAATATTCTTCAACTGGTGATAACATAAACCCTGTACATGTACAGGTGCTTCAGCCAGATTGGTCACGTTCTTTTTCTTCCCTTACCTTCTGCTACTCTCTTCTGCTCCCTCCTACTCTTCCTGCCTTGCATTCGGATAATTTATCCTTGTGCAACTCCAGTCCACTGTCACCACCACCTCCTTCTCCTCCTCCTCCATCTCACACAACAATAACACCTCGTCGGACAATAGCAAGATGCGCTGGCAGAACATTCTTGTCGCCGCAGTCTCTGGGCTGTCGGCCATGGCAATGGCAGCACAACAGCACAAGGACACGGCTACAGAATACTCGTATCGAATGGCTGCCAGCATCATCTCGCGCGGTCAGGGCATCATGACGGGCAGCGGAGGCTCCTCGGAGCTGCTGCAGGCGGGCTTTACGCAAAAGGCCTTCACGGCGCTGCTGGTCAAGTACGCCGAGACGGGGCAAAACGAGACGCGGGACAAGAACGGCTTCATGCACAAGGTGCGACAGTACATAATCGACAGCGCCGAGTCCGTCGTGCCCTTTGTCGGCAACGCCACCAAGGACGCTCTCAGCTACCCCATGGACCGGCTCAGCAACGGCAACGCGCTCCTGGCCTTGTCCGAGCGGGCGTACCCCGGCGCCAATCTGACCACGGCCGCCTTGCGCGCCGCCGCCCGGGCCCTGCGCGACAGCATCGATCTCAACCGCCGCAACGACGAGGGCGGCCTGTGGTACTATACCTACCCCTACTGGAGCTACCTGGACGGCATGTACAGTTTGGCCCCCTTTTACAGCCAGTGGGCGCTCGTCGGTCCCGCTGGCAACAGGACCAATGCCACAACCAAGCCCAGTCTCGACGACATGGTGCTACAGCTCGACCTACTCTGGCAGCACTGCCACAATGAGACGTCGGGCCTCCTCGTGCACGGCTACGACGCCAGCAAGACGGCCGTCTGGGCAGACGCGATCACGGGCGCCAGCCCGCACGTCTGGGGCCGCAGTCTGGGCTGGTACGCCATGGCGCTCGTGGACACGTTGGAGATTCTGACCACTTCTTCTTCTTCTTCCCATGCGCAGCCAGCTTCCCCCCTTTCCTCGTCTTCTTCCTCCTCGTCATGCATTGATCTCGGACCTTATTCCGCCGACATATTGGCCAAGTTCCGCTCCCTCGCCTCGGCCATCATTGCCGCCGCGGACCCGACGACGAGCGCCTGGTGGCAGGTTCTCGACCAGCCGGGCCGCGAGGGCAACTACATTGAGAGCTCGGGCAGCGCCATGTTTGCTTATGCCCTGCTCAAGGGCAGCCGGCTCGGCTACCTCGACGACGACGACGACGACACGGCCCAGCGGGAGCAGGCCGTGGATCTAGGCACCAAGGCTACCACGTACCTGACCAATAACTTTGTTGTTGATAATGGCAACGGCACTCTTGGGTACAATGGGACTGTCTCAGTGTGTAGTCTCAACTCGACTGCCAGCTACGATGTGAGTTACTTTCCTTCCCCGTCCAACCATTTCTTTTTATTGTGAAAAAGTAATGTTACTTCCTTCGAAAAGACTGACTTGTGCAATTCGCCAGTACTACATTGGCCAGCCTATCAATTACAACAGTGTACTCGGATCTGCAGCCTATGTGCTCGCGTCGCTCGAGGTGGAGCGCTTGGGATCATGAGTCGCGAGAGAGAACTATTAATGGAAGAAGAAAGCCAAAAAGGACAAGGAAATTAATGTCCAGTAAATGTATTGAGCTCTTCTCGCATCACTACAAGAGATAGACACGTAGATCAAAAGACAAAACTTCATTACGGATTCAGCCTTTGTTTTTCCCACTTGCCATCTGTGTATGGCCACTGAACAGCTTCAATGGTGGCCAAAAGTATTGGACTAAAAGCGGCAATGCTCAAATGGCTTAATGAAAGTCTTGTCGACAAGATGATACTCACCACCGCTACTGAAAAGACAAGGATCACCATCTTTGAAATACGCAGACTAAAGCCCTGGCCAATTTTACGCTTCAAAATATTTTTTATATCTATGGTCGGACTTGTATGGGGTATCTAGAAAAAAACATGACACTTGACCGATGCTCATCAACGTGGAAGGAAAACAAAATGGGTACTGAACAAGTACCAAAGACAACAATTCCGCTTTCATGAATATTCTGACAAAGTCCCGGGGGAAAAAAACAAAACAACGCTGGAGCCTCTACACATTACGCTCTCGGTCGTGCTGTTGGCCGGACCACCACCCGCCATGATATAATTCATACAAAACCTGCCACTACAAATGACTATGCGCGGTGAAGGATGTCGAAGAAGGATAGTTCAAGGGAAGTGGAACAGTGTGATAGATATCGCGTTTGGAATGGAGGTGGAGGTACGTAGTAGGTTGCCCTTGGGACACAAATGAAGGTATCTTCCCACCGCGCCCACCACTAGGTCAAGTTAGACGTTGTTCCCAACGGTTCAACACCGGGGAGTCGCAAACATACCTATCTGGACATGTCGGTCGAACGGGCACTTCCGCTGCCATAGTACTTTGTCCGTGTGTATTTGATTTCGTCGAATGGGACTTCTTGTCCGTCATGTAGGCGGAACTTGTGAAGAAAGGGGGGTAACCTGCGGCGGAGGTTGGCTTCATATCGCGCATTCACATAGCTCGATCTGATATTCCGGAGATGGCCCAAAGAAAGCTGGGGCACGACGCCCAGATTGACACCATGAGAGTGTCCAGAGGCGGCAACTTGACTCTGAAGCTGTGCAAACTCTTGCAACACGAGCGTCGAGGAGGCATGGGCTACCTCGCTCTTCCAAGCAGGTGTAGGGAAGACGCTGGCATCAGCCACATAATGAGCGGCGCTTTGGTGCCACGAAGTTCGTGCCGCCTCGTCGGTCACGATGTCGCAGACCCGCGGATTGAGCATGCCCCAGCAGTTCAGCCAGCCAGGAATCATAGGGAATTGGTTATGGGCCAGATTTTGGAACCAGCCAGTAGCCTGAGCGAATTGACAGTCGCCAAGATTTTGCCAGACGTCTAGAACAATCTCAACGCTCTTTTCGCCGTGGACGTGGAACGAGATGGAGTACTCGGTAGGACAGTCCTCGCAACGCTTGATAATACGTGGCAGGGGCCCATCTTGATTGCTGCCTGATACTGATCGCTCTGCCAGAACATACTTGAGACCTTCACGAAGGGGAATAGTAAAATTGCTTATCATTTCGCCAGATTGAGGTCCGTGGTGCATGCAGATTTTGAAGTCACCTGCAAGATCGCCAGCACCGTATCGAATAAGGACGTCGGTTCCCTGTAGGTGAATCGGCACCCATAGTCGTTGGATTCTGTGGACTTGCAGGTGGCCATGGTGTATGATAGCCTCGGTGTCCAGTTTTGTATAGCTGACAAAGCGCTTGAAAGGCGACCGCGAAGCGTTGTGGAGGTTTTTGTATGCCTTGACGAAAGTCCAGTCGGTAGAGATGCACAAATCGCTAAGGGGAATACCGTGTTGGCGCGATAGTGCATGGTTTGTCATGATGGCGTAAATATCACGAAAGCCAAAGCCCCATTCGATACCCAGACGCCGGAAATGGACCTCCTTGTTGTCACAGGTCAAAGCCCACTCAACCCCAGTGGGAGCGGCTCTCCAGAGAGATTGGTCTTGAAGCGTTGCTCGGGGATGGAAGATGCGGCAGTAATGACATAGTTCGAGATGGGGGACCTGGGGCTCGAGGCCCTTGAGAAAAGCCCATCTTTCCTCATCATGAACTAGATCGTCACCTTTGGCTACATATTTGACGCCCCTGTTTTTGTCATTTTGGATGCTACACCGGACTTTGGCCCACAATCGAGGGTCTGTGGCTCGATGAAGCCGGCGACTGGCAAGGCCAAGTTTGATGGCATCATAAAGAGGCAACTCTTGCTGAATCATGCCAATGAGTTCGGTAGGGAGGTCCAAGATTGTCTTTGGAGGCTCTTGAGGGTTCATCTCAACACTGAGAGGGGTCTCCTCGATCGCCATTTGAGGCCCCTGTGAATCCATTCCGACGCCGAGGGGTTGGTCTGTTGCCGCTTGGTCGGCAGCTCCTTTTGCAGCTTCTGTTTGACGGCGGAGGCGAGAGTGTTGGCTGCCTTGTGGCGTTGCAAGACTGGCGAATGGTAGTGAATGTTTCTTGTACAATTGCAACCCTAGCAAATAGGTGCTCATCGGAGGGATAGCAGATACTGTGAACCCATCAACAGAGAGGCCCGACGACAAAATTGATGGATATCTCCGTCGAGGGCTCTGATCAAAGCCTCTGGAAACTTAGGTTTTGGCGGCTGAAAAAAGGGCTGATGGAGGGGCAGAGATGTTTAAGGTGTATGAGTGTCCAGGACCCGGGCGACGGGGGGTGAATATGCAGCAGCGATTGATCATGGCATGACAGAACCGTGATGACTAGTAAGAGTATTCAAGGCCCCGCTCAGATGCAGAAAAAGCCTGCGCTCGTGAAGAATAGATAGTGCGCATAGGAAATCAGCAACCGGGGATGAGCCTTGAGGTTGGCGTAGTGAGTTAGTTGTACACACTCGGTTCATATGCAACATCAGATCCAATGTTTTGGTGGTGGGACGAACCGAACCCGGTTTGATGTAGGCAGGCCACCAGGCGCAGTGCAGTGCGAGCAGGGGGTCAGTCGAGGTCCGTCCGGGGGAGCATTAAACCGCTGCAGATGTACGTACACTAGTGCAGTACGTACCTATCTTTAGTATCTACCTACCTACTAGGCAATAAGCAGCACTGAGCCATGTACATCAAACACTTTGATACATTTAAATTTATATTGTTACACAATTGTTCAACACACTGAGAGAGCAACATGAAGCCACGGACAAGCTCCCATACCTATATCACCAGCCAACAACAACTGGACAACTAACAATTTACGTCTACTGTACAGCAGTATGCATCCACCGTGAACACCAAGAAAATGGCATACGGGGAGTATTGCCATTCAAATTGACGAGTCGCCTTCGAGATTGCGGGATCTTGACTGGAAGACTAAATGTGCCGCAGGTTCGATGAACTTGTCAAGAAGTACCACATCACGACATTTGTTGCCAAGTTTTGGGGCACCACGGCATAAATCGAAATGCAAGACTCCTCTACTGTGGCCACACGGCTTGCCAGTCATTACTTCATTCGAAACTACGTGCCCAAATACAATTCTAGTCATCAGAATTATATCTTTTGGGGCTGTGGCGCCAAGGCAAGATGTGATCATGTTCTACTATTACCAAGTATTCTTCATACGGTTCGTATCTGCCGTTCGCCCCTGAATCGAGTCATTAGCCAAGGACCAAGAAAGTAGGAGCCTAGCATCACGTACCTGATCTATTACGAACGACGCTGGGTATCATAAAAACCTTTCCATTTTCTCTGCTTTCCGCCGTGCCAAATGCAAGCCAGCGCCGTGTATCGTTAGGACATCTCCTTGATCAACTTGCGCACAAATTTCTTCTGCTGCTCAACGCTCAAAGCCTTTTCGTCTGTCTCCTTTACTGCCCTGCCCACCACCAGGATCGTCTTGACGCTCTCGCTGTTGACCCACATCTTGCCATTCCTGCCCACAGCAGTCTCGAATGCGAGCCCGGCAGCACCGAGCTCTTCCAACACGGCAATCTGACCCTCCTCGAGAGACTTGCGCATCAGCAGTCGCCTGGCCATGCCCAAGGAAATGTCGTACAGCATGCCACCAGTCAATGGTCCCAAGCCGTCTGCCTTGCCCGTCGTGGCCGAGACGCACTCGAGCTCCGGGTCCATGTGTCGGTTGGCCAAGCTCACCCGAGCATAGACAAGTGCACCCGAGGCAAGCTGAGGTCTCGTCTTCTTTGTTGCCATCTCAAACGCCAGATGTGGCAGGGTTGCATTAGATGTGTAGTCAGAGAGATTAACATAGTAGAGATCCGTGGCGCCCTTGTCCACCTTGCCAATGACCAAGTCACCCACAGCTGGGGTATACTGCTGTAAAGTTAGTTCTATTCGTGCAGAGTGTTTCGGTGTAAAAAAAGAAAAAGAAGAGAAAAAAAGACATACACGACCGCCACTAGACTCTACCCATATCGAGTTCTTCTTGCGATCTGTAACCAGCTGCCCGGCGATTGTGGGTACTATTTCACTGGGCGGAATATGTCTGAGTCCAGGTCCAAGTCTCAGAGGATATTTGGGGTGAGAGGGAATGAGTGAGGGGTCGACGCTGTCGCCAGGTAGAACGACGACTCTCTCGGTTGAGGTGGCCATGGTGGTTTGAGCCTTTGGTCTGCTCTTTTCAACTTTTCTCACAGCTCAGTCAGAGGTTGTAGTGCTGCGTTTGGTACAAGGGCAATATCATTCAGACAGTAGATGGATAGACTTGAAAATGTGGTTAGATGTGGCGCAGCCCCCAGATGATTTCTTGTATGTGTTGGAGGGGCAGCTGTGGCGGTGCAGCCTACTTACCTTACCTAACCTCTACTACCACCACCACCAGCCAGGGTCGGCACGGCCGTCGACTGGATGGATCCGATTTGGCGGCAACTTTTTTTCTTTGACTTGTGAAATTTTTGGGACGTCTTCATTCGTAGCCTCCAAGCACCCCCACTACCCGTCCTTCTGATAGCAGATTTCTCTACTACAGCTCGACTGTTTCTGGGCTTCTGTCAAAGACCTTTTTACTTGCTGGATTTATTTTTTCTATTTTTTTCTTCTACTTGTTACCACCAAAATAAGCAAGATGGCCGAAAAGAAGACCGGCGTTGCGCCTGACGAGCGCACCGTCATTGGACTGTCCTTTGGCAACTCTTACAGCTCCATTGCATGCACTGTTGACGACGCTGCTATTGTTATCGCCAACGAGGATGGTGACCGTCAGATCCCAACTGCCCTGTCATACGTCGATGGCGAGGAGTACAACGGAAACCAGGCCAAGGCTTTCCTGATCCGCAACCCCAAGAACTCGATCATCTCCTTCAGGGATTTCCTCGGCCAAGAGTATGTGATACCAATTCTGTAAACTTTGGGGGAATTCAGGAGAACCCTCGACTAACCACTTCAACCACTCTAGATTCAAGTCGATCGACCCCACACACTGCCACGCCGCAGCTCACGCCGAAGACAAGGACGGCAGCGTCTACTTCACCGTCCAGGACAAGGCTGAGGGTGAGCCCTCGACCATCTCGGTATCCGAGGCCGCCACTCGCTACATTCGCCGCCTCGTGCAATCTGCTTCCGACTACATTGGCAAGAAGGTCACCTCGGCCGTTCTCACAGTACCCACCAACTTCACCGAGAAGCAGCGCGAGGCCCTGATCAAGGCCGCCAACGATGCCGACTTGGAGGTTTTGCAGCTCATTGCCGAGCCCGTTTCGGCTGTCCTGGCTTATGATGCCCGGCCCGAGGCTGACATCAAGGACAAGACCATTGTTGTTGCCGACCTCGGTGGTACCCGCTCAGATGTTGCCGTGGTTGCCTCGAGAGGAGGCCTCTACACCATTCTCGCCACTGCTCACGACTACGAGTTTGCTGGTGTCCACCTGGACCAGGTCCTGATGGACCACTTTGCCAAGGAGTTCATGAAGAAGAACAAGGACGTCGACCCCCGCGAGAACGCAAGGAGCTTGGCCAAGCTCAAGGCCGAGTCCGAGGCTGCCAAGAAGGCTCTCAGCATTGGAACCAACGCGTCCTTCAGCGTGGAGAGCTTGGCTGGCGGTATCGACTTCCAGGCCACTGTCAACAGGCTGCGATACGAGACCATTGCCCGCAAGGTCTTTGAGGGCTTCAACCGCCTGGTGGAAGGCGTCATCAAGAAGGCCGGCCTTGACGTTTTGGACATTGATGAGGTCATCATGACCGGTGGCACTTCGCACACGCCCCGCGTCGCCGCCAACTTCCGCTACATCTTCCCCGAGAGCACCATCATCCAGGCTCCTTCCACCAGCCCCAGCGCCATCAACCCCTCGGAGCTGCTGGCTCGTGGTGCCGCTCTGCAGGCTTCGCTGATCCAGGAGTACGAGTCCGACGACATTGAGCAGTCCACACACCCTGCCGTCTCCACCGTGCCTCACATTGCCAATGCCATTGGTGTCATTACTGTCGGCAGCGACGGCGAGGAGTCCTTCACTCCCATTATCGCCCCCGAGACTGCTGTGCCCGCCCGCCGCACCGTCCACGTCGAGGCCCCCAAGGAGGGCGGCGACGTGCTCATCAAGATTGTCGAGGGCAACACCCACATCAAGGTCACCAAGCCCGAGCCCAAGCCCAAGGAGAATGGCAAGAAGGATGGCGACGACGATGAGGATGACAGCGACGAGGACTCCGAGGAGGAGGAAGAGGAGGAGCACCGCGAGAAGATCTGGAAGATTGGCACCACCCTCGCCGAGGCCGCCGTCAAGGGTACCAAGAAGGGTAGCAAGGTCGAGGTCACCGTACAAGTCAATGCTGACCTGGCCGTGATAGTCACCACCCGGGAAGTCGGTGGAAAGGGTGGCGTCAGAGGCACTGTCAAGGCCCCTTGAACGGAGCTGAAACTTGCTTCAACATAGAAGAGGGCTATTTGTCTCTTCCTCTCTCTTTATAATGATGACCACCAAAACCCTCCCAGAAACAAAGATCGCGGAGTACCAGATGCCCCTGATTTATTTTTCTCCCATAGGTGCGGATATGTTCGGCGAGGCGTCCTAGAAATTGCTCGGATGAAAATAGATAGATTGGATCCCTCACCCCCGGCAACACAAAAGCTTCAATGGGATCAAACATACGGATGTTATGTCGATAGAGCAATGAAGCCAGAGAAAAGAAAAAGTTACTCAGGAAATGATTTTATAAATTTGTCAAACATACCATTGACTGAAATCTAAATCTTGCAACTCAAGCAAAAATTCGAGAGACATGGGGCAACAAATAAAATGTGTCTTGGCAGTGTATCTCGACTAGTTCGAGGTATACCTGTGATGCTCCACCGTCTTGTCTTAAGCTCGCCTCATTTCTCGAAGCGCAGCCGCGTTATATATACATAAGAATGTTGATAAGAAGCCGAACATCTGTGGAGTTTGGCTAAACCCTCTACCAAAAAACAGATAAACTTTCCATCTTCCTTGCCGAAAAAAACACCCAAAGCAGCCCCGAGGCGGCCACCGAAAACCCTTTCGCTATGCGCTTTGTAAAATATATCTCTAAAAATAAATAATCCTCATGTACCAAACCAAGGCAACACAGAATGTAAATTCTAATTACATCCACGAGTCTCCCCATTTGCTTGCGTCTTCTTTTCCGCAAATCTATCCCATTATCCCAAAGTCGAAACTTTATATACTTTGTTCTTTTCATAAACAGGTTGGTTCGTTGAGATGATGCCGCTCTCTCCAATCTAAGTCGAAACGGCCGCCGTCCCCGGTAGAGCCCAGCTGACGAGGTCATCGCGGACGTCAAACTCGTTGACCTCTCTGTAACTCCTGCGTGCAAATCCATGATCTCGGCTGCTGCCACTGCCACTACCGGCGCTGCCCATACTGCCGAGTGTGGGCGTGAGTGAGGCCATGCTGGCGCTGTGGTCGAGACTCGGGCTTTCATAGGGGTCTTCGCGCAGATGGCGGTGTTGATACTGCTGGCCGTGGCTGCCTCCTTGCTGTGGCTGCTGTGGGTTGCGCGATCTAGCACGTCCGCTACTCCTGAACGTAGCGGCAAGCGATCGCTCTGAGGCGCCGCTACGAGATCTCGAGTGCCTGCCGCGACTGCGGCTGAACTGATCGCGCACCTTGAGCACGTCTGACGGCCGCAGGGTTCCGCTGTTTACTTCTTCGCTGCCCGACGATGTACTGCTTACATCCTCGCCGTTGCGGTCTCGGCTGTGATCCTTCTCACTCCTGCTACTGCTGCCAGTTTGGTCCTTCCAGCCGCTGCCGCCCGAAAAAATGTCTTCGATACACTCATCAGCGGCGAGCTCGCCAGGCTGACTATTCCAGGACGCCGCGAGCGCGCGGCGGTACATGTCTTGCAACTCGCTCGCGTCACGCGACTTATTCTGGGTTGTTGTGGTGGGCGCAGTGCCCAGAGGTGATTCGTCGACGGGCTCAACTGTCTCGCCGGCCATAATGCCTGCGATGCCGCCAAACATGGGTGCCGTCTTGAGCGGAGGTGCAACGTAGTTCCGATCACCGTCGATCTGAACCATGAGAATGCCGAGCTTGAGCGTACTATTGATTTTGCTCTCCTGCATAAGGTACCGGCGTACAATGCCCTCGTCGGCCGTCTCGTGCTCCTGCTCCTCTGCGATCGGTGCCGTCCCAGCGCTGGCGGTGCTCAGACGTCGTTTGCCCTGGAGCGCTGGCCCAAGTATATCCCTGCGCGCGTACTCCAGACTGCTTCCTGACCGACTGCTCACGCTCTTCCGGGGAAAGTTTTCACTTTCTTCCACGTATTCGCTCAAGTTCAGTCTGACAACACCGAGTGTAATCCTGTCGTCCCTCCCGCCCGAGGCTGAAAACTCCTGCACCACCTCAAACTCGATGGGACATTCCGACAACTGATTGTTCCGGTCTATGGTGATGCGCAGAGGCACGACTTTGTTGTAGTCATAGGTTACGCGATGGTTGATACTGTCGATGGGACACTTGTTGGTCCGACCGCGGTGGTCGCCATGCATGGAGTGTGGAAGATGCCATTTGATCTGCGAGGTGCCGCTGACGAGCGGGACGTTGTTGAGATCGTATATGGTCAGATGAAGGTCGAATTTAGGCTTTCGCGCCTTATTTACTATGGGTAGGAGAGAAGGCATGTTAGCGACTGGCGGCTTCTGGTGTGATCGACATGCATGCTATCGCACAGAAGTCGTTGTTCGCTTTTGCATGAGAGGTGTCGGGCGATGACGACAATGTCCAGGTTTCAGTTGCAAGGATGCGGCGACGGCGCAAAAAGACGAGATCATGCGCATGTTTGGGGGGTCTTGGGAAGAGAGTGAAATTTAAAGGCAGTTGACAAGAGATGATTATGAAGCAGACACAGAGCAAGAAGTAAAAGCTTCCCACGAGGGTTTGAAACAATGTCTTGAATCTTGCCGGAGCCTCGTACTGTATCCGTTTCCGTCAAAGCACGGAATGCTTATCTGGCCAGGACCTGAATCTGGAATGCGGCTGACATGGGTGGGAGAGAGAGGGAAAGTACGGACGAAGCTGAAGCAGCGACTTGTCTTAATGCTGCCGCAGCATGAATTTGGGGAAACCAAAACAGCGGGAAAGGATCTACTGTTGTATTGGATGGATGACAGGCAGGGTGGGATGGGGAAGGAACGGGTAAATAACACAGTAGATAAGATAGACTCCAAAAGAAAAGGGAAAAAAACACAAAGAGGCGGCTTACTCAAAGATGCCATGGTCTCACTATAGTAACCTTATCCAACCCAGTTGAGCTTACGTCGGCAGATGAGTCGCAAATAGTCGTAGGTCGAACATGCGTTCGCTCGGGAGACGGGGGCTACCGAACCGGGTAAGGATGGGACGCGGCCGGCGCATGCAGTCATAATTCTGCGCGAAACGAGCGACAATGAAAGGGCGAGCGTACCAAGTGGCTGGGTAGGTAGGTACTGTGTAGGTATGTAGAGAGGTAGGCTGAGCGAGTCGAGTTGGGCGAGCTTTCTCTCCCCTTCTCTCTCTCTCTCTCTTTTTCCACCCCCGTTAACGAGCCAGTCTTAAAGTTAGTTCGCGGCTTCGGGTCTCGTTATACGTATGTCTTTCCAGAAATAGTCTCTCGTGTTGACCAAGCAAGTGTCCGGATGGTCCGGAAAGCGAAAGCGAATAATTGAATGGGTTCGGCGCGCAACCTGATTCGGAAGAGCAGGACTGGGAATCGATGTGATAGAAGAAGTGCGAGTCACCTAGTGTACACATACGACGACAAGCAATGACATGGGGAATTCTAGTTTAGAAAATGCGTATTGAGAAAGGGGATCGACCCAACCCAATCCAATCCCAGGAACCCAGTCGGTTTGTGTCCAAGTACTAAAACCGGCCTGGCTAGCACAGGTAAGAATCAGAAAATGTTCTAGCCGCGTGTAGAACTTTGGAGACCCGTCGAAATGACATGCAGCAGAAGGAGTCGAGCAAAAAACAAGGATTCGAGATTCCGTCAATCTTCTTTTTTCCCACCAACGTCCAGTGCGTCATGGTCGCGACTGGGCAACTGGCGCAGCAGCTTGGAATTGGCCGACCCAGTATTTCAGGTCGATTCGAGGATCCATTTTCTCCATCGGATATTTTGTTAGGGGTCTGGGGAGGGGCCACTCGTAAATTCGTAATTAATGTGGCTGCTCATCGCATTCAAAACCAACCGCTAGCTTAACAGCCTACAGGTGTGGCCGTGCGACTTTTAGTGCATTTTCACTGGGGAAGTCTGTGCTACTATGTAAGTTTAGCTGCACATCACAAAATTATGGGTACCATTGGCCGCAGCTTGGGAAAATTTCCAGCTTGCGCCGACCCGGTCTAGTGCTACTACGCGATCCGCCAATCTATCAAAAAAGTGCATCCATCGATTTTTTTGGTCATCAGCCTCGCTGCAGATGCTCATTTAGGCTGACTCAGATCTTGGAGTTGTCCAAGTCTAGCTGCGAAGGGGGATATCACAATTCAGAAGAGTTCGGCAGATGGACCCTTCCGTGTGAGCCCGGCAATTTGCTCGACATCAAAGGTTGTCCGTGTGCAGTCGAGGTAGAGTTGACCATGGCCCCCCAGCAAGGCCGTCAGCCTGGTGACAAGCTAAAGAAACGACCGGCTGAGGCTTCATTGACATCTTCTTCTGTCAAGAAACCCAAGACAGACGCCAGCGGGAGACAACAAGGCAACGCAAATGCAGGGCAGCAAAATGGACGGAGTGAGATGAAGCACAGCAAGACCCAAAATGGGCCATCGAACACGAAAGACGTCAGAAGGCCGGCTCCGAATTTTAGGGATGTCAGAGCTATTGCAGCCCAGCCTGCAGACGCTGCCCTCAAGGATGGCGAGCTGGATGTTCAGGCCTTTCTCAACGCTCGAGGCTTCGAGATCAAGGCTTTGGACGAAAGTATGAGGCGCACCCAAGTCTCTCAGACTAGCCGGGCTTTTCAAAAGGTGCCCTTTACCATGAGACGGAGAGCTGCCGCTCACAACCACAAGAAGGTCCCGAAGCGATTGTACAGGAGGGCCAAGAGGGAAATGGAGTTGGACAACACCCCTACTGTGAACTCCAAGACAAGAAAGCCAAAGTCTAATCGTGCTCGCTTACGAGCAGAAACAGCCCTTCGGCTAGGAAAATTGGCCGAGAGAAAAAGACGACAGAAGCTCCGCAAAAAGGGAAAGGACGGTAAACTTGACCCGGTCACTGTGCAGACGAGAGTCGCTCGTCCAAAATTAAGGAGGAATACTCTCAACGAGCCTCCTGTCATGGCCAAGAAATTCAGAAAAAGACAACTGAACAAGACCTGGCTGCCAACTCACCTCTGGCATACCAAGAGGGCAACAATGACTCCGCCAAAAGATCCTCTCTGGAGATTTGCAATCCCCCTCACACCAACTCAAAAATGTTACCGACCAACACATCGCGCACTCCGCGAGAAGGGAGCCATGGCCTGGGACATGAGTTATATGAGTACCATTGGCTTGTCTGGAGCTGAGAGAAGTGTAACTCAGGTTCTCAAATCACTTGGCTTAACTGCGGAAAGTCTTTGGGATGAAAGCGGTGCGAGATGGAGATCCGGCGCTGTGCATTGGAATGGAACCTTGACGAGAATGAAGGAAACTTCTCCGAGATCTATCGGACCAGCCACAGTCATCTGGGATCCCAAGGTGCAAGAGGAAGACGTCGAAATGACCTCGGAAAGCAAACCAGAAAGCAAGGTTGTGCGACGCATATTCATCCGGCTTCATCCCTCGGCATTTCTCGAGACATTCAATGAACTCCTTCGGCTGGCAAAGGGCCTAACACCACGTCCCTATATCGAAGACTTGCGTTATGAGATTGGAAGCATCGAGGTATCTGGTCCCGACTCTACAGAGGCGTTGCTGGGTGTCCTCTCTCCATATCCTTCAAAAGCAGAGGCCACTCAAGAACCACATGCAGCAAAATGGCAAAATTTACTGGGCGTTAGTCCTTCTGTTCTCCCAGTTGGGTCACTACTTGCTTTTTCAGTAATGGATCCTCGTTTACGATACCCCCCAAGACGGGTACAAAATCCGAGTTCTGCCACCCAGTTGCATCACACAAGCACAGCGTGGCATCGAGAGTTGACGCCCAAACCTATTGCTCTATTTGACCGTGATATTCGCTTCAAGGCCTGCCAACTTCCGTCCCAAAAAGCACTCAATCGTCGAAAGGGTAAGAATGCGCCAGGCTCTTTCCTCAAGCCAACGCAAGCTGACCCGGAAATCCCTGTCGTTTTACTGGCCTCAAGACAAGTCGAAACGCCGGGGAAGTGGACACTGCTTATGCCATGGAAATGTGTCCTTCCCACGTGGTATGCTTTGATGCACTATCCACTCTCATCGGGCGGGAACCCGTCGCTCGGCGGACTTCAAGAAATACAGCAGAGTTGCTTTGAGCAAGGGCTTCCTTGGTTTCCCGGAGATTTCCCCGCCACCGACGCCGGCCAGGCATGGGAACTCGAACAGCGAGAAGCAAGGAAGAAGGCTTGGGATCGAATGCCCAAGGGCAAGAGGGTCAATTATCAGACCTTGGATCTGGGTGCCGGTCGAAAGGGCGAAATCGGAGAAGGCTGGGCCTGTAATTTCGAATCCATGTTCGACTCGAGCCAGAAGAGCACGGCCACCGAGAAGCCGGATGTGGTCATGGCAGACCAGGACGACCAGAGTGCTGGGGGAGCCGAAATCCGCCAACCGAAAGCGGCAGATCCATCAGAGCATCCATTGTCACAAATGACTCAACTCTCCAAAGTCAAGTTCAACGCAGTGCTTGCCGGTAAAGCAGATACGCTGCCGCCCAACGCCCTGGTTACTGTGAAGCTCAAGCTGCAAGGTCGAGGCGTTCCTGGTCCTTGCGCCCGCGTGTACAGACTACCCACCAGCAAAGCCACCAGCATGGCAACACAAGCCGAAGTCCCGGCCACGGACCCGTTGGTAACTAGCAGTAACGGCCTGCCATCGAATCTTGCGGATAAATGGCTGGCGACATTACCGCAAAAGGGCAAGCAGCCCCGGGCTACGCCCAAGGTGAAACACAACTCGACGGCCAACATTGATCTTGAGCTGCGGAAGCGTCTCCTGGCGCAGGAGCTCACGGCCCCTCCGAATACCGATGGCGAAGGCATCAACGGCCATTTATTATGCCCAAACGCAGAGGACCTGATGGGATTCGTCACGACGGGCAGTTTCAGCCTGAGGGAAGGCCAAGCAGAGGCTATTGGCAGCCTGTCGGCGGAAAAGGCCCTCGAGGCGCTCAACAGGTGCAAGGGCAAGAATGATGGCACGTCTAGGCTAGTCGTCGTCCGTAACGCTGGTCAGAGTATCGGGTGGCTCGCTCGGTGGGAGCTGGTGTAAAAGCATCAATAAAATCGAAATGGCAATTAATTATGCATTCATGTATATCTACAAAGCATACGTGTCCTACGCCTCGAAATGCAAACGTGACTCTAGTCGTATAAACCCAGAATCTCCCCGACAATGCTCTTGAAAGTCTCGTTGGGGTCGAACTTTTCGCGAACAGCCTTGAAGCGTGAGAGATGCTAAAAGAAGGAGAAAACAAGACATGTCAGCAGAGCAGCTCATACTGCTATGGGGTCGGATATTGACATTGCTCACCGACGGGTCAAGGTTCTTGGTGGCATTGCCAAACACTTCACGCGTGTTCTTGGTCCAGTGCGGACGACATGGGAACTCGTTGATGAGGACATTGGCCAATCTCGGGTCTAGAGGTAGAAATGAAAAGACTTGTCAGCGACTTTGGTTTCCATCATGACAGTAGGCCAGGACACGGGAGTTGAGCACTCGAGGATCGGGGAAAAACAGAAGAGCACTTACAAAAATCAGCATTATAGGGCTCTCCATCACCAACACTGGGCTTGAAGTGGGGGAAATCAAACATGATGGCGCCCTGGGTCCAATCGGCACCATCACTGGTATTGTACGTGACCTGGCCCAAGAAGTCATAGTAGGGCTTGCCAAACTTGATATTGATGCCGGAGCGATACGTGCTCGTCATGGTGATGCCGCGCTCCGTCTTTTCGTCGTCAAAGAACTGGCGCACGCGCTTGAGCATGGCGTTGGCCTGGGTCACGGGGAAGGCGAGCTCGAGCGTCAGCCCGTGCAGGCCGTACTCCCACTCGGGCTTCTGGCCCGGGTACAGCCCGCCAATGAGCACGTCGTAGTTCCACCCGTAGACGGGCCAGAAGAGAATGGTCGCGTCCGTCTCCTTTTCGTGAAAGTTGGGCGCGCTCCAGAGCGTGAAAAAGGTCGTCTCGGCCAGCTCGTTGGACGTCTCGAGGTACTTGCCGCTGTTGAGCAGCGCAATGGCGGCGCCCGCTTCAATGTCTGTCAGCGAGAAGGTGTTCTGGAAGCCCTGCTGGTCGCTGAGCGTCGTGGGGACCTCGTCGTAGTAGCGGTGGTGGAACTTCTTCAGGTAGGGCCACCACTGTGTACGTTCTTGTTATTAGCCATTGAGTGATCGAACGAAATGTCTTTGTTCAAGCTTACCCAGAAGTTTGCAGTTGCATACGGTGCAATCATGCCATAGATATCACCATTAAGTACGTCATCCTCGTCATACTACAACCATTCCAGGTCAGTATTTCTCTTCCCTCTTCACAGGCGAAACTTTCAACTTTTCAAGCAAATATTTACTCACTATGTCCTGTTTAGCAAAGACCTTGAAGTCGGGATAAATCTTGAACTTCATCCTCGCAATGACGCCCAACAAACCCAGCGAAGTCGACGCCGCCAACCAATCATCATTACTCTCGTCGCGCTCCACCGTGACAATGTCACCATTGCCATTAATGATATCCAGCGAGAGCACGCCCGCCGCGACCATGGAGTCTTCGCGGATCGAGGAGCGGTGCGCGCCCATGGCCACGGCGCCGGCCATGGATATGTTCCAGTTGACCAGGGTGTAGCCGATGGAGGCGTTGCGCTCGTGCAGCCACTCGGCCAGCTGCAGAAACGTGACGCCTGCCTCGATCACCACGGACCCCGAGTCGGCGCCCGCTTCGAGCTGCAGGTCCGAGATGCCGTTGGTGTACTCTGTGCGAATGATGACGGTGCGCGGGTCGTCTTGACACTACAGAATGAAAACATGTGTAAGCTCTTTGCTCCTGCGATGAGATGTCCCGTCTATATCCCGTTTCGAGGTGTTACAGTTGACTCTTCCAGGACCGAATTCAACCGAGCCTCTCCGTGTATAACCATATTTGACGAAGCGAGACCACATGAACTTGGTTCTTACCATTGTATCGTACCACATGTGGCCTTTTCCGGAAGCACGAACGGGAGTACCATTTGCAGCGGCTTCCTTGACAATGCTAACCATTTCGTCGACGCTGGTAACGTTGTGTACAGAGGCGACATCGTTGCAGGCAGGGAAGCCAGGACCGTCAAAAGTATTGTAGGGTCCAGCCAAGACGCCGACGGCGCAGGCGAGCCAGAGTAACTGGCGCATGGCAGACAACATTGTCAGCCCCAGGATGTTTAGGGAATAGCAAGAAGAATAGTAAACCTCTTCGCACTCGAGACCAAGGTTGCCCCAAGACACCTCAAAGAACCAGCACTTGGCCCGCCGCCTCAAGAGACACGATCCGCCTTTTATATTTTATCGGTGCCTTGCCTACCCTGTCGCTTCGGTGCCTGACAATCCATCAATCACGAGAAGTGCCGTCGTGCCATCATCTTTGTCACCGGATTCTGTCCAGCGCGACCTTGGCCCAGCCGCGGCAAACACCTGCCTTTTGGCAGCAGATGGAAGGAAGAAGCATGTGACATGCGTGTGTGACCCTGTACCTGGATGGCTTCTCCAAGTCTACAGTTGCACTCAACAGAAAAGGCTTCCTACTGTTGGATTGTGAACTGTAGTGGACAAGGGGGTCTGTTTGGTCGCCAAATAGGGCCCCTGGTGCCATTCATACCTGACCACTCGGTTGCGAGAATGCAGCATTCTGGATCAGTCGAGGACTGCCTTTGTAAGGTCGGAAGACTTTTAAGCGCTACCATTCATGACATGAGGATCGTCTTTGCAGGGGAATCGCATCGATGCAAGAGCGGATATACGTCTTGGCATAATGCAACACCCCGCAACCTCCAGAGATGCTATGACATAGACAAAGGTCAGAATCCCTGTCATATGATACTCTTGGTCTATATCAAAAAACACCGTTTACTTGCGCACGCATGGCTTTGGACACATAAGATACAGTTTTCATCACCTTTGGTATGACTGGAGATCATTGTTCGATTAGCTCGGCTCTATTTACCTTGATCCCGACATGTCGTCTATCTTGCTGACTATATTGTACATGAAGCGCTTTGACAGTATTTCTTGTTCCCCTCACTCTGATCAAATGACAGGCATGTAGCAAATTGTTGGCCGTGAACAGCTTTCATGTTACAAGCTCGAGATCTTCGCTGACGGTGGAATCCATCGAGCTAAACGATAATGCAATAAGCATGAGCAAGTTGCCGGACTTGTCAGTGTCTCCGGCAATTCGAAAAAGAAAACGTTGTCGAAAACTGAGACAGGAAAGCATCGCCTAAAGAAAGGGGGAGAAAAACTGAACAACGGATGTTGCCTAGAAGGAAAAGCTGACAAAGACACTATCGGTGCTTGAACGTCAGACGTCGAGCTAGAATGGCAAGGTCTAGCTTTGAATATCAATGGTGACGCCGCCGTAAGCCAACTTCTCAAAGTCTAGAGGAAGCTTGCTTTTTTCCATGGTATCCTGTCGTCTTTCTTCGCTCCAGGAGTTCGACATGATGTACCGAGATGTCATGGCAAACCGAAGCTTTCCCTTGGGCTTCACTTCGTGCTAAGTCTGGTGTTAGTCTATTCACATCGATCAATGGGGTCCCTATACGTACCTCGTAGTTCTTCTGCAGCTCTGTTCCGTGCATTATGACAATATCGCCATGGTAGAGAGGAATTGAAACAACAGCAGGTTTCAAGCTTCTCAGGTTCTTTACTTCAGGGCCGACCTTGCTTTTCTTCTTTGGTCGGAAACGCATGATCGATGGAGACCCAAGCGAGAGTGTAGCAACAGTCGGTCCCAAATCCTTCTCTCCATCATCGTGATACTATCAAATGAGTTAACTACTCTGTGAGAAGAGCACCAAGTGAATTACCTACATTGATGACAGAGCTCTCAAAGTAGCCCAAGGCGAGAAGTTCGTTAAAAGGCTCGGACTTCAAAGTCATAGACGTCGAGGAGTATGTGATACCCTCTTCTTCAATCATAGACTTGGTGTCCTCTATGCTCACCCTTTGTGCCCAGCTCAGCTGGGAAACACCACGGAGGATCGGTTCTGGTGCGTCTCTGAACGCGACTGTTTTTACAGCCACACCAAACTTGTAAGGTGCCCCCTATGCTCGCATTAGTGTGAGTTACAAAGGCACAGCGGCGTTTGATAATAGGGTGTACAAACAAAATTGCTGGTGAAATGGGAGCAAAGCTCCTCGTGGCGCTTGCCTGTTGCACATTGTTAGTATAATCCCAAGCCGAATTGGGTCGTGCTATTCTCACCGGTGTGCCTGGCAGCACTGCGCTCAAGTTTGAGATCGACATTTCGATCTTGCATTGCCATGTACAAGGCGTCTGGTCCGTCCTCTTTGGCACAGATTTCTTCTGTAGCTCGAAGAACTATGGCAGTTCCACAAGTCTGGCCTGCCTCATCAGGGAAGGTGTATACCTGAGTAGCATAACCCTCAAGAAGTCGATCATAACACTTCACCAGTGAATCTGTGAATGAGCCTTGCTTGTACCTGGACTTTACCTTGCGGGTCTCCCGCGCAATTTCCTGAAGAGGATAGGGTCGCGTTTGCACCATGTGCGTAAAGTTGCAACTTTCGGTATTCTCGCACTTCCAGCCATGCCAGGAGATGCGGCGGCTGGCGCATTTGCAGAGAGGACATACCATTCCTCTCTTGAACTCAGCTTCCGTACCGAAGCTAATGCTGTTGTCGATGGTGGGGAGAGGTGGGATAAGATCCTGCCGGGTGGCCTCGGCCGGAAGAAGCGTCCGCTCATACAGAAACTCGGCACTGTACTGAATCTCATTAAAGCCCAATCGTCTCTCCTCCACTTGTCCATTTGAAACAACCTGGAAGATGAAAGCTCGAGCACACGTGTTGTGTAGACAGGCCCAGCCCTTGTCGTATATCTGCTTCGATTCTTTGCCGCAGCTGATGCATTCAAGGGATGGACATTTGTACTGACCAGCGACAACATCATGACTGGTGGACTTCGGCTTGAACCATGACGACTTATTGAATTCGACTTTTTCAAGCCTCACCATCCAAGAGGCCACAGCTACAGAAGTTTGTACCGAGTCGGGAAACTTCTCCAGCCACAGATCCGTCACCTGATACTCTCCCAAGACACAGTATTCTTCAGAGACATTGGCATGATCGTTGTTTTTCCCTGCATTGTGTTAAATTCTTTAAGCATGTGATTTCCTATAAAAGACAGTGGCCACCTACCAGCAATGACAACGACAGTTCGTCCTGGGCTCTCATCAGACGCATTTTGGTTTGGCATGGTCGCCTTCAGATACTGGTAGTTCCGAGCGCTCTCATCTTGGTCCTCGACTGAGGCCCTCTTGCCCGTTTTGTCTATGGCCACTCTTCCACCACCACTGAAGCGCCGGTCAGTTTAAAGACTCTAGAGAACTGAAAGACGACAAAAGACTCACACTGCAGTGATGATTACTGTGCCATCCATGTAGTCCCGCGGAGAACCATTCGAGTCAAGCAGAAGTCCCAATGTCACTCTGTCGATGTGGTAGTTGCCACCTTCGTGACACCTGAAGTAAGGCAGCGCATCACACAAAGCACTTCTAGTCTTGGCCCACACCGTAGGATGCTGCAAGGCCACTGGCGAGGAGTAGGCTGTGTCCTCACTATCGTCAATTGATGCGGGTGTGAAGGCATCGTCGATGGCTGGGGTGGTATTGTTCGTCGGCTGATCAGACCCATTGTCATGATTGTCTTCGAACAGCTCACAGAAATCAGTGGCATCTCCCGCGCCGCTGAGGTCAGATCTGAATGTGTCGACTGTGTTTACGGGTATCTCTGGGAAGAGTTCCTGATCCGGGCGCTTTGCCGGAAGGGAGGTATCGGGGTCATCGTCTGAGAGCTCCAGATCCGAAAGTTTGCGCTTGCGGCTGCTCTGTTCTATGTCCATGGTCACAGACAAGGGTAGTTGAAGTTGAAACGGTGAAATGATAGTTGCTGGAATGACTTGCGCAAAGTGAAATGTGAAAAGAAGAGAAAAACAGATGCGTCGTAGGTCGTGTTATATATTGTACTTGGTGATGGCTGCGTCAAATAATTGAATTAACTCGATACCCACTCAAGGTCAAAGACTAGAAAAGGAAGACGTCATTCAGCCAAGTTCGTAGGGGAGTCTGCCTGTGAAGTTGTAGAAGGAACGCGCTTAGATAGCCGGTTGTGGATGACGGAAGGACTGATGAACAATATCGATGTGTGGAGGAAGGAGAAGAAAGTTCAAGTTGTGATTTGACCAGACGAGGCAGATGATAGATGGACTCTTTGCTTCTTGACGATCGCTCTGGGTGGCATGAGCTGATGTTTGCGATGGGCAGAAGAGCTAGAAGAAGAGACAATTGCCGTGGTGAGATGACAAGACCGTGATGGTAGGCAAATGAACTTTGCAGCAGCTCAATTTGATGATAACAACTTGACGAGAGGCAGCTGTGCAAATCAGTGTTCAGGATATGTGGTGGCTGGGGCTGACTGGTCGGAGAGGAAGTTACGGAGAATTGCAGTCCTTTTGATTCTGTCCGGGACTGGTCCGGCGATTTATTTGACAAGTGGGGGAAGGAAGGAAAGTCGGAGAGATGATGACGAGGAGCAGAAAATTAGATTGGGAGGCAAGTAACGGGTTTGTTGATTCCCAGTTCAAGAGAGAAGGGTGCGCGGATCAAGTAGTTGTTGTCAAATTGGGGGAGAAAAGAAAATTGAGTATTAAGAAACGAAAGAGTTCAATTGGACCCACGTACCTAGGCAGAAACCTTGTAGTATTTACCTGCACCACACTGTGTTGATACCAGAGTAGGAAAGGTTCCAAACGGAATCAATAGTGTTGTCGTTCTTGTTATTGTACTGGATCAATTCAATCACTGGCTTTTGGTGTCTGCCGAGAGAAGTGATGGTTATATGAATGGTGAGATGGATGCTCTTGTGGTTGAGAGAGAATGTAGAGAAAAGCTGCACCTCTCAGTTGGTAGAAGGTACTTGATTCTTTTTCCGTGCCTTCCGTAAAATTTTCAAGGCACTCCGCTTGTTCCTGCCGGTAGAAAACTCCTGGGCCGTCTTGCATCTGTTATTAGTCCACTTGCAAGTAACGTGACGAGCCTGACATAAGTAGTACACATCTGCTGGAAAACTTCTAGGGCTCCCTTCCCACTGACAGACCCAAACAAAATCAGGGACTCGGTCGGTTGTCACTCATCCCCAGTAGTAGAGCCTCTTGTCAAATGACTGTCACATGCTTGTCTTCCCCAGCTACATTACGGTATGAAGCCAGAGCAGTTTGCATCTCCAAACTATTACCTAGTGACACCCTTCTTTTTGATGAAATCACAGGAATTGGAGACACTCTGTCAAAACAGAATGGCAATCGTTTCCATCCCCCCTTCAATTATTCAGGAGAAAACTGTCCATCACATGACTTGAAACTTGTCACTCCGCAAGAAATAGTTGCCGACAGACACGGATCGCGCGTGATAGGTTCGCTGATAATTACGCATAAACACTCGAGGTTTAGTTGACGACTATCGTGGACACAGTGCTACCACACCACTACTACGTCCCTCCTCCGGACAGACGGGAGCATGAAGAATCCAAAATTTTAGTATCAGTATGCCCGTGCTGCAATAAAAGTAATTGTTGAATTTCAACAACCTCAAGGCCTAGTTATCTCACCCGTAGGAGAAGCTCGGCTTTAATGAAACTGGCGAGGCCAATTCGAAGTAAGATCACAACAAAAAGAAAAAGCCAGGACAGTTATAGTAGACAGCGATAAATCTTAAGTCCTCTGCACCAATTATAGCTTGTTCGGCTTAGATATGAAACACAAATGTGTTGTGAGTGTATCATTATATAGAGTACATATAGTGATGGCGACCTTGGTACGACAATTATACTATATTCAAGGAGCTCCTCATTATGGCAACCGTTGAAACTCTTGACAAGGCACAGAGTATCATTATATCGTTCACCAGGTTGATATCGTGAGTCATAGCATGACGACGACGTAGTTTGTTGTGGGCCATTGCATGTGTGTTTGCGAAAGCTTCTGGCGGCCGCGAGTACACTATAGTTGTTAGGCCCAGGGAAGAGAGTGCCACAACCAAAATATATCATCTGGCGAGATCAAACTACATTCTTGAGAGCTTAGACCGAGGACAAAACCAGTGGCCATGTATTTATCTACCTTGTCTTGGAGAGAAACCCATCCCGTCTGGCTTGGATGCTTGGCACCTAGGATGCCGTGGCCGAAACTCATGCTTGTTCGCCGTTTTCACAATGGTGTACACATTTGCTAAAGTTGTGCAGTAATGTTTCCTAATGAGCCGCCGGTTATTGTTGAGCTCACAGGGACGAGAAAGTGTCGGCATTCTTCCGGGTGGTCGGGCACATCTAGGAACCTGGTCGTGCTGCAAAAGTTATAGCGCCGTGAAGAGATGGAAAAGGAGGATAACCTCGGCGCCAAGGAATAATGCGTCTCGTGCTTCATTGTGATATTCACGCCAAGGGGTCAATGAACCTATGGCAGCGATACCTAGACCTAGAAAGATAGACAGGGAATCGTCAGAGTAGTCTATTCAAGCAGTTGTGGGCAGGACTCAGTCTTGTGTGTAAATAACGTCGCCTATGCGTCTTCCCCGAGAGCTGTAAAGTCGACAAGGGACGCTCACAAGAAGAGGAGAGATTCGAATCAAAGAGTGCGCAAAGAACAGTGTCGTGAATCTGTACTTGTTGACTGGCAGTCTACTCGCTGGGACTGGTGTCGGGTACCGGACACTACCTCGTGGATTCTTGCGTCGAGTTTGCCAATTGATATGTCGTGAATGCGTCTCTGGGGATTCCGTGAGCAGGACTGGAGGTTTGTGTCAAAGGTCCAAATTTGCCCAGTGTTGATTTGCCGCTGTGATCTTCTTTCTGGGCACCTACTGTACAAAGACCAGCACTAGTTAGTATAAAGTGGTTGCTGTGCCAAGAGCTGCAAGGCCCTGTAAGTGCTCTACTATTAGCACTAAGACCAAGCGCGTCAACTCGCCGTTGACGCGTAAAAGCGCTATACTGTCAGGTATTTTGAAGCTTCAATGTTGCCTGGAGAACCGTGCCCCGCCCCCGCGCCGCAAAACCGTGACCTGATGATCCAATCAATCAAAACAGAAAATGACAATATCGATTCTCTGACAAGGCGAACAAACGAATGCTAAGCGGCACTCTGCTCAAAAGAGGTCAAGATGGACGGTGACTCAGTCACACTATTTTGCAAAGACAAACAGGTCTTTAAATACACACTGTTATACATTAATACTTTTGCTATAATCACCAGGTGCATTGCTTAAACTCCCAACTTGGACAACACACAACCAAGAAAAAGAATGATCCATGGGCGACAAACACCATGGCCAGTATCCAAAATGCTTCCAGAAAGATAGACCAAGCTACTGCAAGAAGTTGCTTGTTCTCTCTTCACGGTAACCTTAAGGTCTCAGCCAAAGTTTGAGAAACGACATCCCAGGGAAACAGCCAAGCATCAAGCAACGAGCGACCAGCGCGTCAGAAGCAGAAAAAGTTTCAACCAGAAAGCAATACTGATAGGCCAAGAGCAGAGAAAGAATCTCCAAATCACTACATGTGATCATCGTGAGCAGCCAGCGCTTCCCAGAATGCTTAGACGAAAAAGAGCTCCGAGCATGACCGGAACGAAAGCCGTCCATATGTCTTAGGTCAGCCCCCACTTTTCCACAACTGTACCGCCGATGCTGCCCGGAGTTTGGGAGCCAGCTGGGGGCGGGACCGACGGACGAGAGAGATGGCACGATGATCCGAGCCACCTTTCCATCAAATGGCTTACCGGGTCAACCTCACTCCCTGCTAATTGCTGGCTGGCTGAGTTTCGAGCGAGGCTTGATGATTTCATATTCGAGCGATCCTCTGGTGTTAATTTCTAATTCCTGTTTATCTTCCAGTGCGCCTCTTCGATTGTCTCATTGGTCAAAGGACTCATCTCTCGATGCCCCTTCAGTTGTAGGACTAGTGGCACATTGTAACTTGATATACAATCTAGCCCTTTCCTAACCCTCCTCCATCCTCTGGGTAGTCTCCAGTATGGAGACTTCTCACGCCCCGCCCTCCCGGCCGAAACCCCAGTCCAGGGCATGCGAGGCCTGTCGGGCGGCCAAGACGCGCTGCCAGATCGGCCCACAGCCGGACATCTGCAAGAGGCAAGTCGCACGATTATATCCTCATTCTCGACTCATAAATACCTGCAAAGGTAATCCTGACTGAAACCTAGATGCTCTGATTTCAAGAGAGAATGTATCTTTCGGACTGGTCCAAGAACAAGAAGGGCCAAGGCGGCCAAGGGGTTGGTGGGCCCCTCCGGATATCTCTATAGTCTTTTGTCTTTAACCACATGCGTAGTGAAGCCGAACTGCCGCCACCCCCCGGACCTAGCAAGACCTTCAGCATCGACTTCACCATGCCCGCTGATGAGGATCCAGCAGACAGTATAGATGAACTTCGACAGCGGCACGAACGCTTCATTGACGACCTCATCCCTTCTAGCGAAGAAGAAGAAGAAGACGACGACCCAGCAATGCTGTCGCCCTCGAATGGGCCTGTCTTTGACTTTGCGAGTCTGCCCACACCGGCGTCCACCGTGAGCTCGGGGACAAGACCCATGGTGAACCTGGGCATCAAGCCACAGTTCAATCTCGACTCGGCGGAGAAGCTGCTTCAGATGTTCAGAGCCATGTTGCCATCGTGTCCTTGTGTGATACTGGACGAGGGCTCCGATGTCCGAACCATGGCCCGAGACTCGCCTTTTGTTCTCTTGGCCATCCTTGCCGCGACAAGTTGCTCCACGAGCCTCCAGGGCCATAGTCTCTACGATGAAGAGTTTCGCAAAGTTCTCGGGCTCAAATTTGTGACAGGAGGTGAACGGACACTCGATCTCCTGCAGGGTATCTTGGTCTATTGTGCCTGGTCAGTACTCTGCCAATGTCCCCAGAACGGGTACTCACATGTTATGTCCAGGTATCCTTTTCACTTGAGACCCAAGCATCGACAGGCATTCCAATATTTAAAGATGGCCACTGAAATCTCAAGTGATCTGGAATTGGATCAAGAAGAGACCTTCGCCGATCGACTAGAGGGCGGGCTCAATCTAGAAGATTTGGCTAGTGTGCGAGCTTTCATCAGTTGCTACTACCTAGTCACCGCGTCAGTATAAGACTCGTACTTAGTGGACATGTTCCAACATCGTTACTGATCAATGCGCGCAGTTTGTCAAACTCCTTTTCAAGAAACTCTGGCTTTCCTTATACTGCTTGGCTTGCCAAGTGTTGCGACCTTCTTGAGCACCAGAGCAATATTGAGCAAGATCACGTTCTAGTATGGCTAGTTCGGTATCATCATATATCTGACGAGATGACAACATTGCAAAGGAGTTACAGGAAACAGGGGTCGCAGAACGATCCACATCGTACTCTGATTTATAGGGGTCTCGAATCTCAGTTGCGAGAATGGCAGAGCCGTATTCCAACAACAATAGCCATGATGCGTAAGTGTCTACATGTATCATGACCAGTCAAGACATCACTACTCACACAGACTCCTGATAGCGTCCATCATGATTTCTAGCCTCTTCTGCAACATGCACCTGGTAGCTGCACCGTTAATGGACATGCGGCGGCCCAAAGCCAACGACAACGTTGGGCCGCTGCTCGATGCCAAACGGCTCCTTGCCGCGGTTCAAGCCACGCGCGCCTTTTTCGACTTTGCCACGGCCCTCCCCGCCGACGCCATGGCACAATTTTCCAGCGTGGACCGCACTCGACTCATTGTGGCCGTCATTGTGGCCTACCGCCTCTCGTTCCCAGTCGAGGCCTGTCCCGATTACGACGCCGCTCAGGCCCGGCTCATCCTCGACTTTGGCGCCTACCTTGAGAAGCTCTGCCGCGACCCGGCCGAGGGGACGCTGGAACCTTCCGGTCGGAAGCGGACAGATGTTTGTACCGCGTTCAGGGTGGTGCTGACGTCTCTCAAGGCCAAGTACGAGAAGAAAGTGGCGGCCGCCGTGGCAAAGGAAGAGATACGGATGAAGGCGCATGAATGTCCCATGTTTGACGGTAGTCTCGATGACTACATATCACTTTGGGATGGCCATGGCGCTCCAATTGGCGGTGCCTCGTACTCTATATCTCAGTCTAGCTCATCGGGTGTCTTGACAGATGCAGTATTAGAGGCGACACCAGCAATGACACAGGGGAAGCCTTTGGAATTCCATGACCTTTGGGCAACTATGACCTCGGATTGGGGCGCTGGAGACTTGACAGATCTCGGCTTGGGGGACGCTCAATTAGACTATAGTAGTTTCGAATAATCTATCCTCATTTTCTCCCTTCCATTTTGAGTACTGACCGAGCGCAATTAGTCGACTTCACTGTCATAACTGAGAAATATTGGTCAGCTCCTTCTCCCACTACAAATGTTCCGTCTCCAACCGAGGCCTACCGGGGTACTCTAATTTGTGCTACCACCGGCACTGATATCAGTCATCTGCCACCGAAAATTCCCCATCGCGCCCAAATCGTATACAAGGCCGTCCGGTGACTACCAATGTACCCTGTCACTGAATACCATGTCAGCCATTCACCCGCCAGAGACCCCGAAGTCGGAATGCTAGCGATTGAGTGTGGCTTTCAACCGTCCAGAAATGCAAGCCAATTGACCACCATCATTGCTTTCAAAAGATTTCCTCTCATGTCGAGATGTACTCCATCGTATAATGTGGCTTGGATGGACTATTGAACAACTTGTCAGAAAGTGACATTCACAATCAGGAACGCCACGAAATCTTAAGCATCCCCATGTACCCGTCTTACAGCAATCGGCGTGATCACCCAAAAGCGCGTGCTTACCATGTTCCAGGTTCCCAGATGATCGATCCCCTGCTTATTTGCTGCATCGGCCATGGCCTCCTCAAATCGGGCCAGTGCCTCGTTGCCCTGCGTCGCGATCCACCTGTCAGGCTTGTCTTTGCCCGCGGCGTTGGGTGTGACGAGCAGGGTCGGAATCTGGTACTCAGCGTTGCGGTTGATGACGGCCAGGATGGCATCGAGCCAATGGATCGAATCCTCCACCTCGAGGTCGTTCCACAAGCCTTGACCGAGTATGAACGCTCTAGGCCGCGGCCTCACCGCGGCCGGCTGACCTGCATGAACGCTGGCTCGGAGGCGTGCGAGCTCGTCGGGCGGGATGGGAAAGCGATTGATTTGCTCGACTTTTGACGGCAGACCAGGTTAGTATTGCGGTTAACCCATCTAGCAAGTGATCATATGCAAGCAATAGGGGCGTCTTACTGGACAGATCCATTTTCCAGCCGGGAATGAGCTTCGGGCATGCTAGGCTTTCCGGATCGTGCGTCAGGACATCTGATGTCTTGTATATACCTTGAACCGAGCACGTCTTGACATTGAACTGGTTCAAGCAAAAACAGTTCTGCCTAATCAGTCATCAGCAGCACGGTGTGGTTCGGCCCTTCCTTTGTGGCCCGCGGGATGATGCAGTTTGTAGCTTACCTTTCTTCATTGCTAAAGTTCCAGTCCGTGACAGCTCCATATCCTAGGTCTTCACGAATGAAGATGTTCAGAGCCCCAATGATATGGCGCAACATGGAGTCGCCGACCAACATGACCTGTGAGAAGCGGCCCAAAATCTGACATACCTCCTTTGTCGAGTACCAGATCATGTCACAGCCCTTGGCCGTGTACGGGGCATCCCTGCCGACCCGGCCGCCCGTGGACATGGCCTCGAGCATCGAGTTCCGGGTCCGACATCGCTGGTTGCGCGCCTCGTATAGGTCCAGGGAGGAAATTCGGCATGTTGGCCCTTGGTGGCGAAAGCTGGCGAGCGTGTTAACGTTGGATGTCAGTGTCAGGCCTGTTTCCTCCAACACGCCATAGCGTTTGTTCAAGATGTGAATGAAGAATGCCAGTAACAAGAAAACAGCCAGATAGAAGCGAATGTTTCTGTCCCTCATATTTGCTTCTGGGGGTGATTTGAACTTGGTTGTACGGAAAACCAGATCAAAATATTGTGTTGACGAAGTTGGGTCAAGGTATACGAGCACGTCAACCTGAGCTTCTACATTACCAGAGGTTTGGTGCTTTCAACGCCTACCTGTGCTACAAATATACAATAGGTACCTGTACGCATCGTGCTACTTTTGAGAAGCTTGAGCATGATGTGGCAGGCGCAGTTTGTGCATATCAATCAGTATTGCGAAGGTGCGTGCCTGTCTTGAGTTATTGGCAGTTCGCCCCTGCATTTTCCCAAATCTACTGCCAGAGGCTAGTCATAGGACGAGATAAAGTCCCGAAACTTCAGGCGGGTCGAGACCCTCATTGGGATTTGGCCAATACCCCCTTGTTGTCCTTGGACTGACCTAGGTCATGGGTTCGAATCGCCTTTGCATTTCGAGCACCTGGCTTTTTTCTCACTGTTCAATTTTTTCAGATACATGTGTTCTTTTCCCTCGTATCTGAGGATTGTTCCTTAATTTTTGTTCGAAATGGCCTGGTTCAAGCGTAGCTAATCATCCTGTCTATGGTACGAGCGACTATCTCTCAGGCCATGGGCTATCGTTACTTGAAAGGCCACGAAAATTATCCCAATATGGGGTTTTCCTTGAATGATTTTCTACATGCAGCTATTAAATGCCCAATAATCACTACTAGTGGTTGTCCAGAGTACATGTAGAAATTGTTCTCGTAATGGTATCGTATTCATCTCGTACCTATGCTATATGTTGACTTGCACAACGACAATCGAAAAACTTCCCAACAGTACATCTTGACACTGGCAATTATGGACCGTGATATGGAATTGTGTGAATGTATGCCAATCGTATACACAGGTATCTCTGCCAATATGCCAAGTATCAACACTATACTCTACAGCTTCGATCCACCTTCCAATGCCTGCGTCTTGGCCTTGTATAACTTGATCAGCTGGCGCACTGCCAAGTCGAGCATGACATCCTCGGAACCGCCAGGAATTCTAGCTCCGGGAACTTCGCGCCAAATCATTTCGGCAATCTCACCCTGGCCGCTGCGCGTGTAGCCATTACCACCAAAGAGCAGCACCGCGGTATCGGCACACTCCTTGAGTACAATGCCAGCCTGGGCCTTGAGCATGGCTGTGAGCCCACCGAGCTCGCGGTCGGCATCATCCTTGGGTAGTTGCGTCATCTGGTAGGCAAACTGCTCGACCCAGGCCGACTGGCTCTCGAGCAGGGCCCCGGCCTTGGCGAGCCGGTTGCGCACCACGGGCTGGTCGGCGAGGGGTTTGCCAAAGGCTTCGCGGCGCAAAATGTACTCAAAGGCCGCGCTGAGCGCCACGCGCGCCGTCCGCGTCGTGCCCACGGCGATGCTGAGCCGCTCGTGGTTGAAGTTGGTCATGACGTAACGCATGCCCATGCCTTCTTTTCCAATCAGATTCTCCACCGGCACCTTGACATCGTCGAGCTCAATGTAGGTCGTGCCGGCCGAAACCTGCCCAGAGACCTTGAGTCGTCTCATGTTGACGCCCGGTGTGTTCTTGAGCGGGACCACCATCATGGAGAGTCCCGCCGCCCCGGAACCTTCAGGGCCAGTACGGACGGCCATGCTAGAATAATCTGTCCAGACACCATTGGTAATCCTTTGGGGGTGTTCAAGTCAGCTAGGAGATTAGACGAGTATAAGAAGGGTCATACAAACCATTTCTTAGTACCATTCAAGATATAAAACTTGCCGCATTTACTTTTCACTGCAGTAGTCGTAATGTTGGCGACATCAGACCCGGCATCGGGCTCGGTGATGGCAATGCAGCTCCTCTTCTCACCCCTGAGCAGCTCGGGCAGGAAGCGCTCCTGGAGCTGCTGGCTACCAAACTTGATAATGGGTGGTATACCAAAGGCGAAGCCCGTGGTAAGGCTGCCGGGCGGCCCCGCCAGACCACTCCGGGCCATCTCATCGGCAAAGATGAGGCTGTGGAGGTAGTCAAAGTCTTCCACCTTGAGCCCGCCCAGAAGCTCGTGAATCCCCAGACGCTTCAGCCAAGCCACGGGCAGGGGTGCCGGCAGAGCTGGGATCAGCATGTTTACAGAGGCAAAGTCTGTAAAGACGTGCTCCGGCACTGTCTCGGCCCTTTCCCATTCTCGCGCCTTGGTCAGAAGATGCTTCTCAATGAAGGGCCGAATGGCAGCCTGCCATTTTCTGTGCGTGTCCTTGTAGATCGGACTTGGTAGGCCCAACAGCCACGGTGGTTCGGAAAAGGGGAGGGCGGTTGACATGATGACACACAACTACCAATGATGATGATTATTAGGTTGCTGATTGAAGAAAGTTTCTACTATTGAATGCAAGATGAAAATGGGTTCAACAAATGACTGTTCTCAAAATGTACTGATTGACACATTCGAGTATCTACCGTGATGCAATTACAATCTGCTGTCTAAAAAACAAATCAAAAAAACGGAAGCCCTTTTAAAAACCACCACTTGTTGGACCCCGATGGTCTCGGAAAGGGATCTTGATATGCGGGGAAACGGTACCGACCGAGGTTGACAACTATGAGTGGAACCGGAGCCAGGGGTAATCGGTGGCTGAACATCGCGGCCCAAAAAAATCTGGGGTAGGAAAAGTTGGGGGAGGATCAAGACTATGGACTACCAGTGCGGCGTAGTTGGTGAGCCCGAGTCCGTCCTGCCGAGGTACCTTTCTGAGGAGATGATTGACGTCTTGGTTCGAGCTTGGTAAAGTGCAGGAAACCGAGGAAGAAGACTGATGACCTGATCTCGCAGGCATAGCGGCAAGATTGTCAAGACCACACAGCATTGTTGTCAGTGCCTACCTAGGTAACCAGCTAACCTACCTACTTGCTGTGCCCCTGGTACATATATTACCTACCCACCTACCTAGTAGGTATGCACATACTTGTAACCTTGCCCTGGGGTCCGGTGCTAAGATTAACGGCGGGACGCGACCATATTGTGGATCGAAAATGCCCTATACTGGATCCACCACCACAGCCTTGTTAGTGGATTTGTCTGGCATTGAACCGTTGACAAATTGCAAAAAGTAGGAGTCCATCAGACCTGAGTAATTTTCAAAGTATAAACTGGATGAAACGGAAAACCGTTTTTCTTATGTGGAACACTTTGATTGCTGAATAGTTCATTCGCGCTGCGACACGCTCTCTGAAATGTTTCGGTTGTGTTTTGCTGCTCGGCAGAGCTACTTGTTTCTTGAATTTGATTCCATTTTCCCCCCTTGAGGCTCATCGACCGCCACGATTCAACCTGTAGTGAAACACCCTTCCGGGTACTTTGCCGGGCAGCAACACAACAGCTGTTGTTATTCTCCTCAAAGCGGGAAGCATGCAATGTTGATTCCTGACGCCACAGCAATTGGGAAATAAGACATTACAGCGCTCAACGGTAGGGACTGAGGAAAGCTTGTGTCTATTAGCGGCGGCAAGATCACAAGGGTACGATACCTATGGACCCAGAGCCCCCAAAGCATAGCCAGAGGATCTTGCTCTTGCTGTTTGATTTGATGGCTGGTTGCTCATGAGTGCGCCCAATTGGCCCACAGAATACCCTCCGGGATGAATGGGAATTGGATCGGCGATGCTCTTTGGTTTTACGTTTCTTGTGCATGAACTTATCGAGGTCCCCAATCGAGACTTTCCAGCCACAACATCATCTGCAGTCAGATCATTTGCTTTGAAGACAAAGAAATCGTTTTGCGAAATATCCGGAGAGGCGACTTGCGTTCCGAGCCGTTCGTTGGTTGTCTCATCTGCCGCAGAATTTGATTCCTCATTTTGTATTGCTTCTTCACGTGGGGTGCATCAAAAACACTCATCAACGAGCGAAGATTTTCTTCTTCGAGTGCCGACTGACCTAGTTGCATAAAGAGGTTCGAAAAAAAAAAAAAAAGAACGTAATGTGGCCGAAGAAGACAGTTCATTGTTCTCAGATATAGTATGGTCAATTAAGAAAATATCTTGCTGGCGTGGGGTACGTGATCACGCTCCAAGGTTCCTGCTGCAGGCACCTCCGGTTTTCAAGAGCCCAGTTGTTTTGTGGAATCAGTCAAAGGAAACATGAAGCATGGGAGTTGAGTCGCCGGATAACATATCAGCCTTGTTTCGCCCTCTTCAACGTGTGGGTTGTCTTGCTGGGCCATTGACAAAAGCTTGATACGGACTTTGCTGCTGGGAGACGCGTTGGAGTTCAAGTTCACCTAATCATGCAGCGGCCATGCGACCAGGATGACATGGATCTGTTTGAAAGAAAATGAAGGTAGAAATCAACAGTCAGGTGGCTTTCTGCGGAAGCAACCATAGCTCCCTAAAATAAATAAACAATTCAAGTATATACAAGTACCTAAGTAGGGACTGTCGAGCTTGCAGCTTGGTCGCGAGTGAGACGGCGCCCGCCAGGCAGCAACGACCCAAGGAGGCAGCTGCAGAAGTAGTACAGAGACGTTGACGAATGTGAGAAGCAAGTTCCTGATGCACGACGAGACCTGGATGTCCGGAGATCAAAAGATGTGATTCGGCCAAAAATGGAAAGATGAATGTCCGTAAGGCGGCAGTACCGCAGGACTAGCACTGGCTGCACGGTACCCTCTAGCCGATATCAGTGAGCATTGCTCCGTACATACCCAACTTTCTTTGCTTTTGTCTCCTTTTCTGAATACTGTTGTCGTGGGGGTCGACCGCTGACTGAGTGGGATTACCCTTGCTGGTGTCGTTGGAACTCTAAAACGTTTCACCGCCATGAGCTACGCAGCTGGCGGGTATGTGATGGCACTTTCCAGCCCTACGCATTCTTCGGGCCACGAATTGAATGACTCTCACAGCCAAAACTGTTTTCACTTTTCAGCGGATATAGCAAGGTCATGGTTAGGAATTCCTTGATATCGGGTGTAGTCGAAATGTTCTCCTCTACTAGGTAGCAATAACAATCTGCCTTTTTTTTTTCTCTTCTTTTTTTTTTTAAAGTTTGTGTCGCAAGCAGGCCGACTCTGGTCAGTATCTGGGTAGATTAGAATATGGCCGCTCAAAATTTCGTTTGTCTCATCAAGGTTTGAGTGCTGAGATGAGCGCGTTTGATAGCCATAACATACAAGAGCCCTGGTGTAAGCAGAATGGGGTCGGTCTTTCTTTCGTCATTGTGTGGTTCTGAGAATCTGAAACAAGTTCAAATGCAGCATAGATAAAAGGTACCGACTGCTGATACTGATCGGCCTCAAACTTGGTGGCCTACGCCTGGCGGCTGACCTCACGAATCGGATCAGTCTCCGATGACCGGAATTGTGCTGCAACGAACTTGGAATACATAGTATAAAGCTACTAGTCTCCACACATGTATTCTGATATCTGAGAAGACCCGTTGACAGTTGTGTAGGGATGTAAAGCGTATCTTGATTCTGCAACCTTGTATTCCAATAAGGCGGTCAACTGTAAGAAGAGACTGTTAACGTAATGCTGCTCTGTAAACTCTGCAAAACCCGGCTGGCTCTTTTTTGGTAATGGCAAACTATAGCACGCAGTCTCTCTCATTTCAGTCAGCGAGTCCCACCTGAAAGGACTTGTTTGAATGACAGGTACAGATTGTTGCTATCACTCCTTTGAAGACTGTGCAAGCTGAAGGGTACATTAGGGCCCCGAACCATATATGTCGGACCGAGTTGTGAGTGCTGGATCAATACTGGAAACTTATCTGTATACGAACTAGCCACGGTACATAGTCTGGAGTCCGCAAATCTTTTGCGACGGATTCTTTTGACATGGTCTTGGAAAGACGAGAGTGGAAGTGATGGTGTTATATTTCAGCGGTGCGCATGAAGTCCTGTATTTAGTCAAGTCGAAACTACAAACATGATTACTCTAAAATATGTGAGCAGTTGGAAAGATGTTCGGGCATGAGTTTAGCGAATTCCATTCAATGCCTGGAGAGCACAGTCGAGATCTGTAAGCCGCTCGTTTTCATGAGCCTGCAATTTTGTGAGTCAAATGGAGACTATCAAGAATCGCTATAATAAGCGCTCTTATTGAAAAGGAAAACAGGGAAACCGATGATATTTTAGCATACAATCTAGGTACGCAATAAAGCTCATCGATTTACCTTGGGTACCGGACTGCCGGATTGAGGGGCCGCCAAAAGGAGGGGCAACCTCAACCTGGGACCAAGCTTGGAGTAGGCTTCTGATCTGGTGGGGCCCCTAAAGCCGGATCTTCTGGTACCACTAGGTTATCCAAAGACATTGATTGACGCATGCTGGCTATTGGTAAGATAGCAGTAGAATGGTGCTACCAGCTGCAAGTACATTAGTGCTACTACACACACAGATCCACGATAACTAGCCGGTAGCGCAGTGATGAACCACTGTATTGCAGCCCGCCGATGTGGAGGGCAGAGGGAAGGCATCCTCCAGTTTGCCAGTTCACATACTATGTACTTGAAGCCCAGGGTTGGAAGTTGGGGCAGCCCCAAAGCCATTTTTTGACACTCTCCAACGGGGCACGAATACCCTGGCCCGGCTGCCCGCCATTCGATGGTCTACTAATGACCTAAGGAGTTCTAGACTCGAGAGTGGCCCTCGCGCCAAGCCAATCTAAGGCTGGTGGCTCCTAGATTGGGTCGCTCACCTGCCGCTAGACTCTTGGTCGGCGCCCAATTAGATCTGTCACTCGACATGGCCGCCAGTACTTTGCTGAAAGTACCTCGTCCTGTTTCAGTCCACTCACCAGACTCAAGCTGTCGGTCGGTAGCGGTAGTTAGGTAAGTAGGTAGGTAGGCAGACAAAGACATCATCGACTCGCATCAGGCTACTGGGAGAAAATATTCTCTGAAGCCGAAAAGAAAGTATTCCTTACCCCCTTCCGCTTTGTCCCACCAGGCTCTACAGAGTACTACTCACAATCTTGTCTAGTTAATGGTGTTATACATGAGCAGGATTTACTAGCCCGCATTGCTGGCTCCAGTATCGCGCCAATTCGTTCGCCCAAGTTACAACTTGGCTCCCGTCCATGCTTACCTTATTTTCTTTCCCACCATGTTTTTTTTTTTTTTTTTTTTGCGGCGGCGGCGGCGGCCTACCAGGCACAGGACGACGACGGCTCGACTTGCTTGATCCTCATCTCCACCATCCCCGGCAGTTCTGATGCCAGAACGCCCGCGCCGAAATAATCAACAAACCACCAAGAAATACGGTCGGCTGTAATTGGGCAGTTCCAAAAGACCGCTATTGCACTACTTACTACTAAGTTGATCACCAT